CCATCTCCAAATTTGAACTCCATCTTTGGGGGATTTCTGCTGGGGTCTGGGCCAAAGGCAAAGGCAAAGGCAATGGCAAAGGTAAAGGTAAACGATTCGTGGCAGTTAACCATTTGCGCTCACTGTTTGCCCACCATTACGAATGCATGGCGACTGTTATATAACTGTTATAATTGCTAATTGCGATCCCCGTTGTCACACACAGGCGCATGTTCCCCGTGGTGAAGATCAGTGCCTCGGGTCTGGATCCCGCCGCCATGTACACCGTCCTCCTGGAGTTCGTACAGATCGACTCACATCGCTGGAAGTACGTCAACGGCGAATGGGTGAGTCTTTTAATCTTAAAGTTCGGTTTGAATTTTTATATTTTTTGTAATTGAAATTTCAAAGTCAATAGTCTGTTTATAAGCATATAACAAAATCGAAATTTTTAGCTCTAGTGAGAAAATGACAATATAATTTCTTTATTGTATAATTTCACACTTTTTATATATTCAAGTTGGAATTTGGGGATTTTTAGTTTGGTTTGTTTAAAAAATTTGCTAGTTCTCGAGATATTTGCTTGAGATCAACCTATTTTTATATAAGCTTTTAATAAACTAGACTCTTAAAATTTAATTTAAACACACTCTAATGCCTTATATTCTTCATAAAATCAAGTTGAAAATATAATTAATCATTTTATTTTCCCCACTTTGTAGGTTCCGGGTGGCAAGGCGGAAGTTCCCCCATCGAACCCTATTTACGTACACCCCGAGTCTCCCAACTTCGGTGCCCACTGGATGAAGGAGCCCATCTCGTTTGCCAAAGTAAAGTTAACCAACAAGACCAATGGCAATGGACAGGTGAGCAAACCTCGAGACCTTAACTACTTAAGCTGTGATTACAATCAGCAATTCTCCCCCAGATAATGCTAAACTCCTTGCACAAATATGAGCCGCGGGTGCATTTGGTCCGAGTGGGTTCCGAACAACGGCACGTCGTGACCTATCCCTTCCCAGAGACCCAGTTCATTGCGGTGACCGCCTACCAGAACGAGGAAGTCACCTCGCTGAAGATCAAGTACAACCCCTTTGCGAAGGCCTTTCTCGACGCCAAAGAGCGACCGGATACGCTGTATCCACACGACACCCACTACGGCTGGCTCATACCTCCGCCCACCCACTATACGGCTGCAGCCGCCGCCGTGGCCGCTCCGCCGCTCTCCATTGCCCAGAGCCACGGACTGGTGGCCTCGTGTCCCAGTGTTTCGTCGGCCGGATCTGTGGGTCCCTCCTCGGGCGCCACTTGCGATCGCTACGGCAGATCGCTGTCCGTGCGCAGTGCGGCACCCACTCGCACCACGCCGTACAGCCGACCCAGGGTGGTTTCCGGGTCCGGATCCGGATCCAACGGAAGCGTCGGCAATGCCTCGTCCACGTCGCCCCAACCGCCGTCGGCTCCGCAAACGCCCACCAGTCTGCACTCCTCGTCCACTGGGTCCGTGAGCACCAGTGTGAGCAGCTCCAGCGCCGCCGGAATCGGTTCTGCCGCAGGTGCCGGATGCTTCAGCAGTTCCTACGCCCAATCCGGCTTCATGCCGGTCGAAGCGAGTCCCACGGCCTCCGTCTTCTCCTATCCCAGCAGCTGGCAGAGCAACGGCAACTACTGGAACGCCACCAGCGTACCAGGACCGATGCCCATGAACGTGTGCAGTGGCCGCAATATCTGTGAGTAATCCACCAGGTTGTCCAAAAGATGACCTTTTGTTTTCAAAAAATATCATATATTATCGATATAATGGTGGTATTACGTTGCTTAACAAGCTTAAAGATCTTTTAACTTGGTCAATATATGATAAACAATTTATATAATGGTACTGTTATAAATCTACTGGCATATTGTTAAATATTTTAAAAGGTGACAAGCTAATAGAGATATAGAAATTTATATACTTTTAATTGACTTAAACCAACAACACTGGTAGACTAAAAAAGGCCAAAACAAACGCTATTGATTCTGAAAGGATTTTATCTAAAGATTACTTATCCGAAGACGAAAACTTCTGATGAAATTGCAGTCAAATTATCAAATATTTAACTTCGAGAACATTTTTAAGGTCCTTAAAATCATAAGGACTTAGTTTTGGGGATAAAACAAGTTTGGATTTTGTCGACTTGTGTAATTTACACTAATGTGTTCTATTCTGATCCTTACAACTACATAGGAGCTACAATAAGCAATTTGTTTTTATATGCATGCATAAAGAGCTTTATATGCCAATTTCGAAATTATACATTCAGAAATTCCTTGATTTTGGGAAAAGTTGCCTTAATTTAAGGAATAATTACCTTAAATTTGAGCCTTTTATTCAATATTTAGAAAGACATTAGCTAAAACGACTCCCAAAAAAAAATTTGCCATAACTTCGTTTTAGATCATGTTTTCCTTAATTTTGTATGGAAGGCTCAACTTTAAGGCAATTATTCCTTATGATAAGGACATTTTTTCAAAAAATTAAGGCAACTGTAACTTAAAGTTCTACCCGACATAAAAACTTTATTACGTAATTTAAAGACTTTTAATGGGCAATTAAGAACGACCCCTTACTGACCTCCGCCCGTGTCCACTTGCAGCGTCCCACAACTCGCCGTCGCCCACGAACGGATCCCCCAGCTACACGACCTCCTCGCCCAGCTACACCATCCACCACCTGACGCCGCACAGTCACCAGTATAACATGACCCAGACGGACATCTACGGAACCGGAGTGGGTGTTGGCCCCGGGGCCGGGGTTGGGGTCGGAGTCGGGGCGTCGGGATCTCCGCAAGCGGCGTACGGAGCAGCCGCCCACCAGGTGTACCATCCCACGCCCACCTCGCCCACCCACCAGCTGTACACGAATGCGGTGCTGAATGCGCCCTCGGCCCTGAGCTATCCGGCCAGTGGCTGGCACAACGGATCCGGGGCGGAGTACGGACTGTACCAGAACGCCGCGGCCGCCTACTACCAGCCGGAGTACATTCCCCTGGAGATCGGGTAGGTTGAATCGTTGGGGAACTGTGCGCTCTTACCGCTAACGTAGCTATCAATGATTCCCCGCCAACCCGCCTTGCAGCTACGCCGCCCATCCGCTGGAGCCCGTGGAGGTATCGAAGACGCTGGACGATCCGCAGGCCGCCATGTACAAGCCGAGCGACGAGCAGGGCTCGGTCATTACGCTGGAGTGCGCCGGTGCCGCCCTGAAGAGCTCCCACGACATCAAAATAGAGTCCTCCTCGCTGGAGCACACCGTGGAGCGGGCACCCGTCTCCGGCGGAGCTGCGGTTTCAGTGGTTTCAGTGCCCACTGCCGTGGGCAGCGGAGCCCCGGCAGTCGGCGCCGACACCTGGACACCCCTCACTCCGCCCCAGAGCACGCTGCAGTGATCGGATGGCACGGATAGACACCACCCAGCCTCTAGACGCATAACCCCATGGATGTTCGATCAAATTAGCTATAAACGCCCTATGTTAGTAACGCTACTGGTAAAGTAGTAAAGCACACCCAACCGCAATCGCACCTATTGTAGAATTATCTATATGCTGTAAAACACTCTCCTATAAAGTCGTAATCAAAGTACACAACGGGTTGGTTTCAAAAGGAGACTGGGAGGTTTCAAGTTACAAAATTTAAGCTCAGTGGCTCTATGTTACATTAATCTTTGATCAAATAAGGCTTCTGTTTTTGACACTTTGTAACATAGCTACATACTACCTACCATACGTTCAATGCTCAAACATTTTAGGAAACAATTTTAATACACTGTAATAAGGATACATTTGACATGGAAAACCCTTTTTAAGCTTCAAAAACGAGTATATGCGTTTGAATCCAAAAAGCCAGAAGGAATTATTTCACTGTTTCAAAATGTAACGAGGTAAGGTACTAACAAAACAGCATAGCACATTTGCCAGCGTTAAGATTTGATGTTTTAAAACAAAGTGTAATATTTAGTAGCAACATTTTTTTCGTGCTAGACTCCTGTAAGGATTTAAGCCGTTTCCCAGGCAGTTTTTGCCACCGTGTTGCACCATAAAAGTCACACAGCTCCGGGCCACAGAGTGCAGCATTGCATCGCCATAGTAAAACAAAAGATAAAGTCTTGAGTTTGCGTGGGGTCAGCGACGAAGAGACTCCTTTGGTATTTGTAATGGCAGCTATTAAACTTAAAATCGTCTTAACAATTACGGACAATAACGATGTGAGGCCGGGAGAAACCCGGAGCCAAGTCTAACTCAGGCACCCAGCTCATTGTTGGATTCAAAGGGGTATTCAATTCAGTTCAGAAGTTTGCCCCATCCTGCGGGCCACTCGCAGCCAGACAATGGAGCAGTGAGCACTTGGCAGAGTCAGTGCCCCCGGGCCGATCTCCAGGAGGCAATCTGACAGGACCAATCCAGCAGTGAGCCCGGAATGCCCACAAAGGACCTCGGTGATAATGAGTTTGGGTTATACGCGTCTGTTGGCCGGGCCGACACAGTGCATTAGAAAGTGGATGGTAACGGCCACTAAATGTGCCGCCATTCACCTGAATTGCCGGACACCCGCACGGCAGAAATAGTTGGTGCAATTAAAATTACACGGCGGAATCATTTGTGGGAGAATGCGCACGGCAGGGCATTGGATGCGGTTTTGGATAGAATGGGTACACGGGAAAAAAAATCTGCATTCTGGCAACTTGGGAAATACATAGAATTCCTAAACCAAATGCAGTTAGGAAGGAATTGGTGAAAATATTTAATTTTATTAAACCAAAATTGTATTGCAATGGTTAACTAGGGATTTCAATTCAATTATGTTAAAATTTAAATTGTATATATTTTACTTCCGAAAAGGAGCACAATTATTAATGAAATAAGTTTTGCCAAAGTATATGCCAAGTGGCCCATAAATCTCTAGAATCCTTAAGGCGATTCAAAGTTTTTAAGTGATTTCCCAACAGTTTATCATAAAGTCTCAAGAGATGTATATTTACTCACCTGATAGTCCATCGAGTTGCCGTAGCCCATGTGATTGCAGGAGCAGGAACAGTGCTTGATATGCTGCTCCAGTTCGTCATCGATTACGGTGGCGCCGTTGGTGGCTAGATGTCCGAGTGCCTCGTGATGGAAGTGGACGTGGTCGAGTTCCCAGTGATCCTGCTGCCGGAATCGATTATCCTTTGTCGTTTCGACCAGCTCCAGTTGATTTGCAGTCGGATGTTGCTGTTGGTTCAGATGTTGCTGATGGGTCTGTAGCTGATGTGGCTGATGTTGCTGCTGCTGCTGCTGATGTGATTCCCCGGGCCAATCCAAAGAGGAGGACTTGAACATCCGCCTGCCGCCCGAACCCGCCCTTGTGGATTGCGTTTCGCGACCAGGACTGTTATGTGGACTCATTGCATTGACCTTACCGTTATCGCTCTCTTGCACTGTTAAACTGCCGATTCGCAAGAGAGCGCCGCGCTCGAAGCTTTTGGTGGATGCCTGGTGGAAAGCTTCGTACGCAACAGTTTCGTCCTCCTCAGCGTCGCTGGCATTCTGGTAGCGTCGCCCTGGCAGGCCGCCACCAGTTGCTCCGGTCACGCTGCCGTTTCCAATGGCCGCCGCCGTCGGGGTCACCGTGACCGCTGAACTGGCCGCACTGAGCATCAGGCGCAGTATTTCATTGGTGTCCTTCGAGGGCAGGGGCACGCTGCAGGATCCCGTTTCCGCTTCGGAGATTTCCTGGGGCTCCGAGTTCACTTCGTCCGACCCGTTGGACTCCTCCACTTCGATCTGTTGCGTTTGGCGGGCTCGTTGGCCCACTATCGAGGCAGCCGTGGAGTTGGCTCCGTACTTCCAGTAGGTTTTTCCAGTGCCAGCGATCCTTTGCAGGTGACTTCCGGCCGCCTGACGCTTCCGCTCCTGCAGCTGCTGGAGATTCTTGAAGGCCTTGCGAACCGGTTGCGTGTGATGTAGGGTGGCACATCTTCGCATGGGCGGCGGTGTGTATACCGGGGATACACTGTAGCTGTGCGAATGGCGACCGGGCGACAGCGAACCACTGGACTTGGCGCCCACCAAGCGGGCCTTCAACTTCCGACCAAAGCCAAGGCCACTTCCGCTTCCGGTGGCCATACCGCTTCCGGTTTGCGAGGTAAGCGAGTGGGCGGACAGGGAAAGGGCACGGCTGAATCGCAGGGCCGCTGACCTTTGCTGCTTCACGGCCATCAGTTGGCACTCATCGATCGTCGGCAACTTCAGTAGGTGCGGATGCAACTGGGCGTAGGTAAGCGATGACTTCGCACTGGCCGCTTCGCCGGTGGGATTCGGCAGCGGATCGAAGAGGTTCCTCTGGCTGAGGGCCAGGAACTCGCGCTGCTCCTCTTCCTCGAGCGCCTTCAGCGCCCGCAGGTCCCACTCGCCGGAAGACATCGTTTCGCAAAATGTTTAATCACTCATTAGATGGGTTGGATTATACCTATTGGGTATCTCACTTTTATTAACAAGGAAAGTCATTGTCGGTTGGGATAGGTAAATTTTTTATTTCAACACCATCATCTTAAAAACTAAGTAGAGAAGAGACATATTAAAAAACCCATTAATTTTGCGGTAGAGCAATATTCAAATGATTTGATTTAATTAAAACCAAAGTTTCACAATTTGGAAATTTCGTACATGTGAAAATAATATTTATATTTACTACCTCTGTTCATCTTGTCACTGTTTTTAATAAAGACCTTTTCATTACTTTATCAACATGAAAACTAAAATAAATAAAATATAACACGCACAATCCCGCCAATATTCCGTCACATTTTCCGATAAACAGTGCCGTTACTGTTGACCGATACCGCTTTCGATTACCGTTGCCACGCGGAACAGCCAGCACACTGGCCTCTATTTGGATGTGGTACCGTTACTTTATAAAGGCACTGCTAACAGCAGCAGCAACAGTTTCCGCAATAAGCGACATTGGAACTCGGTGGAAGCTGTGGATCGTAAGTGACCTGCCCCACCAAAAAAACTAAGGCAGTGGGTCGCTATGTTAATGTAATGTTATTTTAAGTTAAGGTAATGTCATTGTAAGTAGATTGTTTAAATTTAATGTTAATTTAACTAACTAACTTTAAAGAAAGATTGAACTTATACAATTTTTTCTGAAATTTGTTTTTTTATAAAGATTTAACTAAATTTTTAAAGTTCATGAATAGCTTTACAGACCTTTTGAATTTTAAATAAAATGAAAGAGTGCATCACACTCACTTACGTATTTACCGTATTTTTATTAAGCAGCCTATGTCCTTCATAATGTTAAATGATTCTTTTTGCTTTAAAGTCAGCTTCGTAATCAAAGTTACTATTTCACCTAAGAGGAAAGCTTACATCCATTGTTTTTATGAAAGGGGTTTTCCCGACTTACAGCCAATGGTGGCCCACAGGTGAGCCCGCAGGTGACAGGGCGGCAATGAAATATGCAAGTGCATTCATTTGGCATCCAAAGCAATTTTGCAGTCAGCAACACGACGCACAGCCATTTTTGTTAACCTCAACTCAAAACACTCACTTCCCCGCAATTTAACACTCAGGAAAAAATGGTTTGAAAACATAATATTAAAAACACAATTATTATTGTTTTAAAATTTAGGCGCTGCGCAAAGGACTCAAAGCTATCCATTCTTAAAAACAAATCTTTCTCCCAATTGTTTCAACCAATTTCCTGTAATATGAGTTTATCCACCAATGTATTAAACGAAAGGGGTGTTTTCTATTTTAAAGTTTGGGTTTCATTTTTTTTAAAGTGTGAACATTTCTTGCATCTTGACGGCGACACCAGTTAGCGTTACAATGCATGGCCACATTCCGGCACACCTGTACCTGCGTACATATGTATATAAGCACTTGCACATGGCACATATTGTACATCCTCTGGAGTGCTCATCCTTCATCCTGATGTATGACCATCAAGCATCGGACGGGTTGAGTGCCTAAAGGGCGGGAATCTGAAAATGGAGGGGAGGTAGGTGTTTGCAGCGTTGAAATCCCCGAACCGTGTTAATGAAATTCAAATTCAGACTGAGTCTAAAATTTGCATTAGCATATGCTACATCCATATGCAAATAATATTCTAGATACAAGGCCTCACATAATTAATAAGAAGCGGCCAAACCTTTTATTAAAACAAATAGTAGTTCAAGAACAAAACAGAGACGAAACAGTTGGCGAAACTGTATAAATATTATTTGTAAATAATAACGTGTAGATCCATAGATTCAAAATTAACAGAAGTTAAAAACAAATATACAAATGTAATATCAAACAATAGTTTTAGCGCTAAATTATTATATGAAAATGTCTTCAAAATTAAACAAAAATAGGTTTTAAACTGAAACCGAATTGGGCATTTAAAGTGCGTTGATGTCGGAGTCAAGCCATAATTTTACAAGAACATGTTGGCCAGCCACGCCCATGAGCTCGGCTCTAATTCCCTGTCACCGAGGATGTCAGAAGTCAAGATCGAAAACAAGCGAAAGTTGCCACTAGGCATCCTGTTGCGGGTCTGCGTTTAATTTCTTTCATGGCGACACTGGATTAAGTGAGCAAAAATCGAAGAGCACTCTTGTTCTGGCCAGATGCCGAACTTTGGCTGGATGGCGGGAAACATCTGCGCCGCATGTTTTGCCATGCAACATTCAACGGACCATCCAAGCAACCAAACTTTATTGAATAGAATTTCAGTTTCGTTTTCAGAAAACTTCATTCAGATTTCTGTTGTTTGGGTTCCACTTTACTCTTTGGATACGTTTTAGTCAGTTGGCCAGGATATGCTTTCCATCTCTTGACATTATTTCTTTCGAGTGCGTGATGCTGGTTAAGGTATTTTTAAGAGTAACCGTAAAGGGGGAAATCCAAACCAACTAATAAATAGCTACCATTTTAAGCTTAAGGGTATAATGTTTATGTCTCCAAAATTCTTTGTTTCGAGAAATTTATATAATTTGTAACACAGTATTAACTAAATGATTAGTTTTAATCAGGATCCTCAAAAAATTAATCTTCAAGATTTTCTTTTATATATATAATAAAATACTTCACTAGAAAAAGTAGCAAACTACAAGTCCAGAGCTCAAAGAGCGCATATAAATTCACAGCAATTGTATTTATGAAATGGTCAGGCTAAATATTGCATCCAAAATACTTGGCAGAAATTAGCGGTGCTACGAGAGGCCAAAATTCATTAAACATTTGCACACTGCATATTTGTCATGGGTCCCGAATGCGGGGCATTTCGAACGGAGGATGCACTGTTCCAGTGGAATTCCCGATGTTTTGGTCGCCCCCCGTACACAGAGTGCTCCCAAAATGCCCTGATTTATTGCCTGGATGCCACCATGCCGACATTTGGTTCCCGGCCAGCACCTTCCTAACCATTCGATGATATTTGCGTGCCAGCAGAAAACTGAAAGCCACACCACTTACTCTGTACATCTCCTCGCTTTTCAATTGTCAGATGACTGAAAAACCACTGATGACATAGTGTAAATTAGTCACTGACTTCTTGGCGTTTTGTTTTAAACAATAAAATATTACTAACATTATCTAGCAAGTTTTGTATATACTGAAATCTGAAAGGAACAGCTTAAGTTTGATATAAATAAAAAACGTATTTATAATATATTTGTTATTCAATAAGAAAATATTTATTTTCCTTCAATGCAACCTTTCATTGGTTAATTCGTTAATTTAATATTGAGCCTTTGCCTAGCAAAATGTTAATCCTCATCCTTATTATCAGAACTCATGATAGTTAAGTATAGATTTTCAAACTTCTCTTGGAATGTTAACAAATCGGATTTGCCAACAACTTCATAAAAATCCTGGCTACAAATCAACTTATAGTTAATATAGCTAAGAAGTTTATGAACAAAATCCGAGTTTCGTGGTTCCAAATGACACTTCTCCATTTCTCCTATTCCTAGAGTCGGTGGGGAAAGTTCTTCTGGTACGGGAAGATCATAATCATCGTTCTCTGTGTCGCTGTTAATTATTTTGGCCTTTTTATCTTTGATTTCCTTCAGCGAACTCTGATTTGATTTATCAAATTTTAAGCCGTGCAAGTCAAGATAGGCCTGGATCATCTTGAACCGTTCGACTTCTGGTAGGACCTCGGAGGTAGCAAGAACGTACTTCTCAAATACGTTTGGGGTCAAATGGAGTGCCTCGAAGCAATTCAATGACTTAGCAAAGCGTTTTGTCATGAGCTGCGGAGAAATAATAGAAGATTAAAAAGGCACCCATTACCCTTTCACAGAATTACTCACTTCTTCAGAAACATTGATCAGTTCCAAATTATCCATTTTATGCGAAAACTCAAACATTTTAAGCATATCGCCATACGGCATAGAATAACAATGGATTTTAAGGTGGTTAGAGCAGATGTTGGTCATTGATTTTACTAACCATTTGGATCCGCACTCGAAGAGCTCCATAATCATGGCACTTGAATAGTTGTCAAAATCATTTTCGTTTCGGGTATATGCGTACTTAAGAAAATTCTTAAAGGTTTCTGGCTTAACGTTAACCAGCGAATAAATTGTAGATTCCGCAAGGAACAAGCGATCAAAATAGTCCGATACACTAGCCAAGATGATCTTGTGGCAATCAAAAGTTTCCGATCCCACTTTGATACGGCAATCAGAGAACTTTCCTTGCTCCATGAGAAGAAAGAAAGCGGTATCAGATCTAGAGAACAAAAAAAGAGTTTTAAGGAGTGGACACGTATAACATTAGAACATACTCGGTACTCATTTCGCACTCCTTTTAGCTCCAAATTTAAATAACACTCTAAAATCGTCTGGAATATCTAAAAAATTAAAATTGGTTTTAAAGGATTTGGCAATAAATTAGTTTTTGTTTTTTTGAATATGATAAGATCGAACTCGTGTTCTAAAAATTCTATGAAAATTTTTAAATTCTGGGAATCCCCTTTATACTAAAAAATCTCTGGTCGGCACACATACATTCCTTGTGTGCTGACTGCGGCCAGGCTCTTCCTGCAGAACACTATCTTATTATCATTAGATAGATTAGTATTAACACTAAATTTTAATTAATGCACTTTGGGAAAAAAAAATAATGCACTTACCTTACGACCCTTTAAGCTCTCTGGATAATTCCAAAATGATGAAAGTCATACAATTCGATTTCTTGAACGGTTTAAAAACCTTTATCGATTAATTTTACTAATGCGTTTCCAATATCGTTTTCGCAATGATAGCCTATTTCCACCAGAAGCAGTGTGGTATTTTTAATGCAATTAATAGCCTGATTCCATTACCGTATTAATTGTCTTTTTAAATGTGCCTGATTCCATTGGCGCATTAGCATTTAGCTAATGCTACTCCGACATGTGAGTGGCACGAACAGCTGATCTGGGTTTGTTTAATTTGAATTGTGACAAATCGAAAAGAAATGAATAAAAAATATCGTATTTATTTTAAATGTGGCTTTTAGCCTTATGGGATTACGCATTTATGGAATAAATTCGCAGTAGGCAAAATGCGTTTTAATGCGCCAATGAAATCCGGTTATAACTTCCTTACAATACAAAGCATAAAAAATATTAAATATAATATATTAAAATATTATAATAAAATTGTTTACTTCTAACAAGAATTCAATTATTTTTAATATTCAAAATTTCGTTTTAAGTTTTATCAAAATCGGAATGATATAAATACCAGCGATAAACATAGTCGTTTTAAGGAATATTTAACTATTTAATAGCTGCAAGGGTACTTAAACGTTGGCTTGCCGAAGTTTGCTTCCTTTCTTTTTTAAAAATAAATTAATCGAGTTCCAATTTTCCTTTAAAAAGTCAACTGGTAACGCTGCTGAAAAGTGCTCAGTGCCTTACGTCCGTCATCTCTTTCGGATTTGGGTTTTTTGTTAAGATGCTAAACAGTGGCGCCATCTGCGAAAGCTTTTTAAGCTCTAAGGTGCTTAAAGTGCAATAAAGGTTCAATTTAAGACTTTTGTTACATTTTTCTACTTTTGCTACATTTTTAAAATAAAGGCATGACTGATATATATATAAGAATTTCAAAATGAAAATATATGAGCAAAAAATTGTAAAAAAACATTTAATATTAAATCTTGAACCCAAAAGTCATTTGTTTAAAATAAAATACCAATATTTTCTCTTACAGACTTTTGCTTATAGCAGTTATTCACAGTTAGATACAAAATAATTAATTTAAGAAATTAAACTTTTAATTGAATTAAGTTTAGTTATTTTTGTTTTAAATAAAAATTTTAATATAATAATATTATGATAAGTTTCAACGTTTTTTTCTCAATATTTTTAAATACATAGATATTGTTCTGTTTACTTAAAATGTTTCTTTCTCGCGTTTCAATTTTGTTATAAAAGTGTTATAAAGCGGAGTAGTTCATAATTGAGTTCATCTCAGGGCTCCTAAAGTTTAAACTTGACAGACGTCAAAATCGTACCGTGAGTTTGCACATTTTGAAACGAATTTCGGCTGAAAAGGTTCGGGGTAGTTTAAATAAAATAAAATATTTCCAGGCTAAGGGGATGGCAGCTCCACAAGCGCGTCCCCCCATGGATGATGAGCGCTTTAAGGCTCTGACCACATACCGCACCAAGCTTTTGGAGCACCGCGAGATCGAGTCGCGTTTGAAGTCGCTTCGGGACAAGCACAAGCTACTCAGTGTCCAGTACGAGAAGTCCGAGGATGACCTGCGGGCGCTGCAGAGCGTGGGCCAGATGCTCGGGGAGGTCCTCAAGCAGCTGACCCCGGACAACTTCATTGTCAAGGCTTCGAATGGACCGCGCTACGTGGTCGGATGTCGGCGGCAGATCAACAAGGATAAACTTAAGGCCGGCACTCGGGTCGCCCTCGATGTGACCACTCTGACCATCATGCGCTACTTACCGCGCGAAGTGGATCCCCTGGTCTACAACATGACGCACGAGGATCCGGGAAACGTCAACTACGCCGAGATCGGCGGTCTTGGCCAGCAGATCCGCGAGCTACGCGAGGTCATTGAACTGCCGCTCCTCAATCCAGAGATCTTCCTGCGCGTGGGTATCAGTCCGCCCAAGGGATGTCTGCTCTATGGGCCACCTGGCACCGGCAAAACCCTCCTGGCCCGTGCCATCGCCTCCCAGATGGACGCCAACTTTCTAAAGGTGAGTAATATACCTGTGTAATGTGGTTCCGGGGTGATGATTTCTTTGGGAAATGACAAAAATTACGCTTTACATACAAAAAATGGCTGGTATAATAATACAATTAGGTTAAATAATTGACAATGCCACCCAATCGTGACCAAAAGGTCTTCCTCTCAGTCGCTTATGGTGTAAGCTTTGATGCATCATTAAATAAAATTAGTTAATACAAATTTGTAATGTTTTTTTTTTGTTAGGATTTCGACTATTTGAGTCTATATCAAAATTTAAGAACTTAAAAAGCTTGTGTGAAACAAGTATTTAATAGAACTGTTTAGATACGGCCGATCCTAACAAATGTATGATTAGAAAAGGTAAGCTTTTTTTATTTTGTGATAAATAAAGTATTTGACTTTTATAAACTGTTGAGTGCGAATCAATTTTTTACAAATTTTTCAAAAGTAAATGAAAAAGAAACAGAAGTGTATAAAGTTAAGGGCTTAAAAGCTATACCTTACGATATTAATATATTACCATATCCGAAGGTGGTTTCATCGGCCATTGTGGACAAGTATATTGGAGAGAGTGCCCGTCTAATTCGCGAGATGTTTGCATACGCCCGCGACCACCAGCCGTGCATCATATTCATGGACGAGATCGACGCCATCGGAGGACGACGTTTCTCCGAGGGAACTTCCGCCGATCGCGAGATCCAGCGCACGCTAATGGAGCTGCTCAACCAGATGGACGGCTTTGATGCCCTGGGCCAGGTAAAAATGATCATGGCCACCAATCGGCCGGACACACTGGATCCTGCCCTCCTGCGTCCAGGTCGCTTGGACCGCAAGCTCGAGATTCCGCTTCCCAACGAGGTGGCTCGCATGGACATCCTCAAGATTCACGCCGGACCACTGTCGAAACGCGGGGAAATTGACTACGAAGCGGTGGTTAAGCTGTCGGACATGTTTAATGGCGCCGATCTACGGAACATTTGCACGGAGGCCGGGCTGTTTGCCCTGCGCTCCGATCGAGAGTATGTTGTGCAGGAGGATTTCATGAAGGCTGTTCGCAAAATTGCCGACAACAAGAAGTTGGAATCGAGGTTGGACTACAAGCCCATTTAGAAATCGATTGTGCGACTTATTTAAATAAAAGACTGTCATAAAACGCTGTCAATTGCCAGCACAAAACCGATCTCAGATTAAAGAAACCATCTAAACAATCCGAAATTAGGATAAATCTAAACAATTCGAAATTAGTATCCTAATATCTACCTCAAAATAATTTGTAGTATCGATACTAAAACATTTTCTCGAAGCGGGTGTATACGAATGCTAGGAAATATATGTAGGAAATAAAAAAAATAAAATTTCGGAAACAGGTTTTAAATAAATTAAATTAAAATTAAGGAAGCAAAAGCACCTTAGTCTAGGATGTGATGTTGCAGAAAGCTCGACAAACGTTTCCAATAAAAAATTACCATTAAAAATAATGTTATATTTGCTTTGCTATGCTGTGAAAAGTCATTTCATTTGACTTTGCTTTTGCTTCGACAGCATTTCGAACTGTCAAAAGTAAAGAATATCATTGCTTTCGTGTTGCTGTAAGCAATTGGAAAGAATATTATATATTCATAAAAAATGGTGAAACAAAACTTTTTAAAATAAAGTAATTTTCTCCATTATTACTTTTACAGTGACAGTCGGATTTTGCTTCCCGAAGTTCCCTGAAGTCAGAAACATTGCTTCTGCTTTTGTTGATAATGTTGTTCATTTGCTTTCAGCAAGTGTTCAAAGCAACAGCACAGCCAAAGAAAAACATTTAAAACGTTGAGAGCATTTTAAAACCTTGATGATAACATATTTTTTTAAACTATAGCGTTTAAAGTATGATTTAAAGTACGTTTTTTGGTTGCAAGTAATTATATTTTATCAAATAGATGGCATGGCCTTGGCCACTAAGCACTACATGCTGCGTAGGATGTTTTAGTCGCGGTGCACTTCTGGGTGGCAACATTAAAGTACTCATTCTCGCAGCTGAAGACGGTACCCTCCCGGCCATCGACGCACTCGACGTAGTTGTGGCATCCGTCCGTCTCGGTCACCTCGAAGCCATCCTGGCGGCCATCGCACCGATCGAAGGTGCACTTCTGGCTCTCGCGGGGCATACACCCCTGTCGCTCTTGGTTGAAGAAGGTCTCCTCGTTGCACTGCTGGAAAATGGGGTCGGGATCGGGGACGCCGGAGCCCAGGTCCCGGCAGTAGTAGTAGCCACGACAGGTGGCCCCGTCCGAGACGAACTTGTTGCGCACGGCCAGTTTCTTGGTGCCGCATACGTTCTCCGGCAATGGATGGCTATCGCAGACGACGAGCTTGCTGTCGATGCAAGTACCTGTGGCCACGTCGAAGTATTTGCCAGTTTCGCAGGTGTGCGGCTCCAGGACGAATTTCTTGGTGCAGGTGAAGTATTTGTTGCAGTTGGCTTCGTCGCGGAATGCCACTTTGGTCACAGGCACAATGTCGCACCACTCGAAGGTGGCGGTGCAAACAGTGTTCTCGGCGTAGACACACATCTGCTTCTCTTGATCAAAGTACATGCCTGAGGGGCAAGCTCCCTGGCCCTTTAAAACCTTTCCATCGCAGAGGAACCAATTGGCGCAGTTCAAGGTATCTCCAACATAGCCCTTTGTCGATGCCGTGCATAACTTACTTGTGTCGCAGTAACTGGTGTCCGATTTCGAATAGCATTTGTTATTGGTAAGACTGAAGTACGGCGATTTTTCAGGACAGGTTCCGGTCTCAGCGGTGACAAAGTTTTTGCACTCAATCCATTCATTGCAGGTTCCAGGCTTTCGCAGTACCGTTCCATCCTTAAAAAGGCGGCAGACGTCCTGAGTGGAATTGAAAAACTGCGTTTGAGTGCTCAGACCGACCATCAGGACCAGCAGACAGGCCTGAAGGATCAAAGAACTTGAAAGTCCTGGAATGGTTTATAGGTACATACATTAGATTACATTTCACTTTAATCACTCTGAAGAAACAGTCACTACCTCGCATTTTGAAAGAGGTTCCCCGTCACTATAACTTAAAAAAGTCAACTAACATTTAAAAGGCCCACCTCGGCCTTTTATAGAGTTCTTAACACCCTAGTGACAAATCGCAGATTTTCCCATTCGGATGACATTAATTTACTACACCTAAAAGAGATAAGATTTGGTTCTTGTCACAAACAGAGATCATCGAGTTTTCAATTATATTGTTTGCTAACTGCTTGGTATACAGTATCAAGCGTAGGTTTACGTCTGAATTTATAAAAAAAATTGATTTAAAACCTTCAAAGAATTGGTTTAAAATCTTCAGAGATAAGATTTACGAATTTACCTCAGGATAAGATTTTGTAATAATTAACCGATATAAAACCATCTGGAGTAAGAACTATCTAAAAACTGTTTGTTCAGCAAAAATGGTATTTCTTCTGTGCATAGACTTATAACAGAGAGTGTCTTTATTTTTGGAAATAAATGTTTTGTTAATCGATAAGCGTTAACCAACATATACTGTTAATTAAAGCTTAAAATGGGAAAACAGCTTTTTGAGAATAGGAATGCTCTGTGACCTCAGTAAATTTAAGTTTCATCGCTCTAGACCTAGTTTAATGTTTAGTAAACCTAAAAATAATAAAATCCTAAATTCGGTTAGTGATTTTTGTTTACAAAACTGTGTTAAAATTTCCGTTTGCACTAACCTCTTTTAAAAATCAGTGCGGTAAATATAGGCAATATTAGTAAGAGTATATGGACAGTCGATTCGCCAACTTTGTTTTATATATTGGTAGTGTTTTCGCCTTGTATCACATCAAAAAAAGTTAGAAAATTATTTATAGGTCCGTTTAGATAAGAATGTTATTAATTTTAAATTACTTTGCTATCAATTAGTGTATTGAATATAAGAATATTTTTGGGATTAAGTAATATATATAATATTAAACTCAAAATATTCCCCAGACAACATTGTTAAGAATTTTTTTCTTTAAAAAAGTATTAATATTTTCTGTTACATTACTTGTTTTAATCAGTATGATTAATATAGGCAATTAAGGGCTATGTGTGATAGTGTTTTGGCCTTGTAGAACATAAAAAACAAATAGGTACAAAATTATTGATATGTTGGTTAAGATAAGAATGCTATTAATTTTTAATTACTATCTCTATCTCTATCAAAACGTATGTTTCTTATTAATTAATATATTTAATTTAAATTCATCTCTGTGTTACCCCAAAAAGTATTGTTAAGAGGTTTCTCGACAATTTTCTCTTCACTTATTTGCAACGCGTTCATCACCTTTTCTCTTAAGAATAGGAAAACAGAGTTTCGCTTGGGGCAGGCAAAAAAAAGTTCCTATTGGGAGTAATTATGTCTTCATAATCAATGTAAACTTAGTGTCAACTATGAGATTTTGTCACACTTTTCGATTCGGAAGCGATAAGAAATCTATTTCCATTGATGACGAAGCCAATGTTGTTTATTTATTCAGATCTGATTGCCGACTGAAGGTCCGGCCAGAGTCACGCTTGCATTTTGTTGGCTTCATTCAGCAACGCGGTTACCACTTGGCACTCATTACTTGTTAATTTGTGTTTACTTTTTCCTTTGAATACATATTTTTTTCTTTCTGGTTTCAGTTCTTTAGAGGCACAGTAAAAATTCACTTCGATTAAGACACTCTGCTGATTGATTCTTATCAAAAGCACTGATTTCGAATGGTGCTAGAGTTGAAATGAGCGGGTTCCCTTGATATCTATGCACCAATCGAGCTCAGTTCTTCGATTCGAAGAAGAGCTCCTTTTTTTTCCGATCCTGCCACTTTTGAACTAAAGATCCCGTCTGATAGCCGTATTGACGATCGGTTGCGAGCCGAGTGTCGCTGATGACTGTGTATAAAACAGGCGCGACCTCTGCTTAAATCTGAGAAACCTGTTACACCTGAGAAGATTTTTATAATAGAGGCTGTATGGATGCGATGGGAGATGGGAGATGGGAGATGGCAGATCCACTCATATTTCCGCCGGGCCGTCGTCTTTTGTTGCCCCTTATGGCCTCAGACGAGCAGTCGTCTCCAGGGCGATGCGTGAAGTGTAATGGACACCGAAGAGTCTCTAAGCCTTTCCAACTCAAGTGCTTTGGTCTTAGTACAACTTTTGCTCTCCTTTCTTCCATTTAGGCCTCCCCAAGTTTGGTAATTTAATTCAAGCGTACTTGGCTAGCATTTGAATAATTAGAATTGCATTGTCTTGAGTTTCATCCCAGCTGTAGGGTCACGGAGCAGGAAGCCTCTCACCGCAGTCTTCGGCGATATGTTTCTGGTTCTTCTAAGCCCATAACAGTAATTGTCGCGAACCGATTGCATTTCTGTGACACACAGACTTCTCTCCCCCGCGATTGGGACGCTCGATCGAGTAAGCCGAGTGAAATGACAGGGAAAAGTAATTTTCGTCATTAAAAATCACGTCCGAGCTAAGGACGCATCTTCCAGCGAAGTGACAAGTTCAATGCTATTTCGGTTCATTGTTGAACCGTACGAAATGGGCTTGTTATCGGTAAATTTGAATGCTTGAGATTGCATGCAGTTCCAGGAACTCAAAACGTGTACCCATAGCGGCTATAAAAAGGTCTCCACAATCACTTTGGAATTTATGGGTTGATGGGTTGTAATTTAACTTTTCTTTCATTCGAAACTAAACTGCTTATATCCACATTATTTTTTTGAAAATCAATAAAAACTTTAATATACAAAAACATGGTTTCTCCCAAGTCAGGACCTTTTGGAGGAACAGGAATGTTTTTTTTTCGTAACATGGTCCAAAGGGTTTCCACAGCCGAGTGACGCGCTGTTTTGCACTACTGACGCCTGAATCTAACCATCATTATCATTTTTCGGACTATTTCAAACAATCCATGTTAGATAATGTTCGCCATATTATTTAATATTGGCAAAAATGGTTTACAAAAAAAACCCTTCACGGTTCAATGCCATTCAACTGGGACTTTTATTACGAGTTAAACTTCGCTTAAAGTAACCAATTTGCATTTGATATTGTTCATACAAAACAAGAAAGAAAGCAAACTTCGGCAAGCCGAAGTTCATATACCCTTGCAGCTTTTGCATGAATTAAATACTTTTGAAAACATTTAAATTATGATTTACTTGAGTATATGCTGAAAAACATTGCAGCTATGATGATTTGCAGCTCAATTATTTGATAGTTATTTTATATATTTTTATTATTTCTAAGGGAGCTATATGATATAGACGTCCGATTTTGATAAAATTTAAACCATAATTCTGAAATATTTAACCATTGCTATATGTCGAATAACTAAACAAAAAATTAAAAAACCGAAAAGTTATAATTTTTTTCATTTATTTTTCCGATTGTTCCTATGGGAGCTATATGATATAGTCGTCCGACTTTGATGAAATTTAAACCGTAAATCGGAAATATGTACCCATTACTAAATGTCGAAGAACTAAACAAAAAATTGAAAAACAGCAAAGTTATAATTTTTTCATTTATTTTTCCGATTGTTCCTATGGGAGCTATATGCTATAGTCTTCCGATTTTGCTGAAATTTAAACCGTAAATCGGAAATATTTAACCATTACTAAATGTCGAAGAACTAAACAAAAAATTAAAAAACAGCAAAGTTATAATTTTTTTTCATTTATTTTTCCGATTGTTCCTATGGGAGCTATATATATAGTCGTCCGATCCGGCTCGTTCCGACTTATATACTACTTGCAATAGAAAGACAACTTTTGGGAAAGTTTCATGCAGATAGCTTTAAAACTGAGAGACTAGTTTGCATATAAACGGACGGACAGACGGACAGACGGACGGACAGACGGACAGACGGACATGGCTAGATCGACTCGCCTAGTGATGCTGATCAAGAATATATATACTTTATAGGGTCGGAAACGTCTCCTTCACTGCGTTGCAAACTTCTGACTGAAATTATAATACCCTCTGCAAGGGTATAAAAATGACTCCTCTAGAAAATTGCTTAAAGAACCAAGTATCCCACAGTCGACCACCATAGAATATATGTAGGATTGCCTCTTATCAGCTGTACTTAAGAGAAAATTTACGATTTTCTGCCACTTCATTTTGAGCGACAACAAACGTCATTTAATTTCAAGTGTCAATAAAGCGATCGTTTTTTGCTTATCGACAAGCGTGTGGGGAGGCATAAATTAGGCAGACGCCAGGTCGGGACCCATTCAACAGTTGGTAGTCAGCAGACCTATGCCAAAAATGTTGGGTACTCTATGGGCGGTGGGGGTGTGTAGGTTGGGTGTTGGTTATGATAAAGAATCGCCGAGTCCCAGTTCCGAGCTACAGACACGCACACCTAATTACACCTGCGAACAAATCAGTTGCTGAACTAATCGAGATATAGATATGGTGATTGGTATTATCAGAAGATTGACTACCGATTCGGAGCACTCGCGGCAGTTAAATGCTGCCACTCTGCCTGGTTTGCCATTTAGTCGCTCCCGAATTTTGGACTACTTCAAAGCTGTTCGGTGAAAATGCGCAACCTTGGTTATAGTGGTAAGTGTTTCGGTTTCGTTCCTTGAAACTGGTAACCCAAATCGAAACCACTTCGCAGGCCTTTGGACGCTTTTGCTGTTGGTCGGCGGGCTTCAGGCTGCGATGGCCCAGTTGGCCAACGTTTGCCTGCACGAGGAGGATGGCGCCCGATTGCCCCTGGCCACCCACTGTGCCCGCTTTGTGGTTTGCCTAAGGGGCGAGGTCTCCATTATAGGCAGCTGTCCGCGGGGACTTCACTTCAATCGGGACCTCGGGGAGTGTGACTTCCAGTGGCGAGCCAATTGCCTGGGACTCTCAGCATTTGCCGGAGCGGATGATCAGTGCACCTGCGACTGTTGCGCCGAGGAGTGCCAAGATCCCATCGAGGATATCGAAGAAACAACCACTGCGGTCACCGAGGACTGCCCAACGGATACTACGCCCACTTCGGTGACCGATCCCTCGGACTCCACCGATGCCACTGATGCAACCTCGGATGACGATGACTCCAATACCACACCATCGAGTCCAGGTGCTGCGCCCGCTTATTGCAAAAGCTCCCGCACGAATTGTGTCGGTAAGGAAACTGGTACCTATGTCGATCTGCCCGGCATCTGCGTTAGTTTTCTCCAATGCAACAATGGCTGCGCCGAGGAGTTCCTCTGCCCCTCCGGGCTGTACTTCAACCTGGCGATAAATGACTGCGACTACTGGTGGAACGTGGACTGCATACCCACCGCCGATGCTTCGGGCGAGGTGGTAGGACCCTCGGGCACCGTCTGCTCCAGCCAGGGTGTGTGCGCCCGTCAGAAGGACGGAGCCATGTTCGAGGACCCCGACTCAAATGGATTCTTTATTTGCCAATGCCAGTGCCCGGTTGCGATGCCCTGTTCCGAGGGTCTGAAGTTCAATGAGGAGGCACAGGTCTGCGATTGGGTCAAGGACAATGGTTCGGCGAGCGTATCCTTGTCGGTTGAATGCCCCAATGGTCTGGTCTACAATGCCACCTCGGATCAGTGCGATTATCCAGCGGGCTATGTGCCCGAGGTGGCCTGCAATTCCACCGTCACAGTGTGCCAGAATCAGCCGGAGGGTGAGCTCTTCCCGGTGGAGGGAAAGTGCAACATGTTCTACAAGTGCAACTTCAACTGCGCCGTGGAGCAATATTGTCCAAACAACCTGGTCTACGATCCGTATGTTGAAGAATGCAGGTTCCCGCAAGATTATGAGTGTCAGTGGCCATATGCACCGCCCACGGGTCCCAATGCAGGACCTTCGGGAACCTCCTGCGAGAGTAACGGTCGCTGTCTGGGTCAACGCGAAGGCACGCACTTCCGTTCCACGACAAATTGCGGTAACTATGTCGTCTGCCAGTGCGAGTGCGAGGTCGAGATGGAGTGTCCTGATGGGTTGTACTGGGACCAAAACAAGCAGACCTGCAATTATAAATCCGAAGTGGTCTGCACTCTTTAAATGACCGATTGTCGAATAAAGAAAACCATTGTCAAGGCAGCTGGTCCAATCGGCCTATTTATTAATGAAACTCAGGGGTGGTAAATCAATCTAATCAGTTTTCCTGCATGAAAAGGCCGGCAGCTGTGGGCACTCAATTAAAGAGAGGAGCATAAACTTAACGATTAGAAATACCCTTTAGTCAAATAGAAGAAGGGGGTATCCATTTTGTTGTTGACTTATCTGCTTAACATCTAGAAATAATGACCATTTTGCCGCGATATTACTAAAAACAATAAGCGTTTGTGCCCATCAAAATGCTCTCACAAAAAACATTTCATTTTTATGTTTACATTTTTCTTCCTGATTAAAGCTTTCATTTTGGTTTGGAAAAAAAAAATGTTCCGACTATTAAATACCCGGTTCTTATCTAACCGACTTCCAAAAGAATATGGCCCCGAAAAGAATAGAGTCTTGGATGGCGCCATCTGCCGATACGCAAGTTCAAGCTCAATGAGAGCAAACCGCGCACCGTTGCCCGCTAACAGTTCTTTCTCTCTTAAATTAATAAAATTGAACAAAGTCCATTTTTAAGATTGCTCTTTTTTAACAATGAAGTCTTTTGTTATGAAAGGAAATAATCTAGGAACAAAAGACTACAGTTGCAACAAAAATATAATACTTCTCCAAACGAAGCAAAAACAAGAAAGGAAACTGCACACTCTTAGCTTATAGCTTTTGGCTACGGAGCTCGACAGATGGCGCCACCTAAGCTCCAAATGTTTTGTGAGGAAATGTTATGTTTGAAATTTGCTACCTGAGTAAGTAGTAGTCGGGGAACTCGACTATAGCGTTCTTTCTTGTTTTTAAAGTAATCTGCAACGTATTTGTTGAAACTGCAAAAGGAAATGAGAGAAATGTATTTCCTTTTGTACTCTTTGAGTTCACGGATTCTCTATTACGTTTTAAAAATAGTGACAATCTCTTTCCCTTGTATAACTACTGTAAATATATGCTGATAATATCAAGAATGGTTCCACATTATCACCCGCACATGCTGTGTAGTAGGAAAAGGCATTTAATTATTTTAATTGCCGGTAAATATAAAAGCCGATATGGACCGAAGAGCCATCAGTGAGCGTTTGATATGCCGAGAGCAAAGATGGCTCAGTCCAAAAGTAGTCACTATGGTAAGCATGATTGATTGAGTTTAATCGGATGGATCCTGACCCAAAATTATCCTACAGGAGTTTCGCTGTGCGTTCTGATGTTCCTCTTTGTGGGATCACTAAACGCGGAGTGTTGCACGGAGGGCGAGACCAAAGCCGATGAGGATGATTGCACCAAGTATCTGGTCTGCTGTCACGGTGAATTTAAGTCCAAGTCCTGCGAAAACGGACTGTATTGGGACCCTAAGGAGGGAGAATGCGCTGTGGATAATGGCGAATGCAAGCCGCCAACTTGTGAGGATGGAACGATCGAAGCGAATCCCGTCGACTGCGCAGGTTTTTTGGAATGCGTCAACGGAACCGTAGTGATCGTAAGCTGTCCAGACGGAGATTACTTCGATTCGGTACAGAATAGCTGTGTTCCCGACACCTGTGGAGTTTGCGTTAACTGCACCGAGGGAAGCACAAAGGCCGACCTCAACGACTGTGCCAAGTTCCAGGTATGCGTTAATGGAAAGTACGTGTCTAAAACTTGCCCCGTCGGAGATTACTGGAACTCGTTGGAAAAAGAGTGCCAAAAAGATGACGGCCAATGCAATGGCACGCCGGGGTGCACAGATGGAGAACTAAAGGTTGATCCAACCGATTGTGCAGGATACTTGTCATGTTCCAATGGTACCTTTGTGAGTGTGAAATGCCCTGAAGGAAATTACTTCAATACCATCTATAAAACTTGCGTTCCCGATACTGAGGGAGTTTGCGTGAACTGCACCGAGGGGACCCAGAAACCCGAACCCACCGATTGCACCAAGTACCAAGTCTGCTCTGGTGGCAAGTTCGTGACTAAGTCCTGCGAACCTGATTATTACTATAATAACAAAACTGCTCGTTGTGAAGTGGACGATGGTCAGTGCAAAGGTAATGGTACAACTTGTACCGACGGTGACGTAAAGGTGGATCCCACGGATTGTGCAGGATACTTGTCTTGTTCCAATGGTACCTTTGTGAGTGTCAAGTGCGATGAAGGAAATTACTTCAATACTATCTATAAAACTTGCGTTCCCGATACTGAGGGAGTTTGCGTGAAGTGCACTGAGGGTGCGATAAAGGAAAATCCTTCTGATTGCGCCGGATACTTGCAGTGCATAAACGGAAAATATGTTGCCAGGAAGTGTTCCGCTTCAATGTTCTTCAATGTCACACAGCAGGAGTGTGTGGTCGACACAGATGGTGTGTGCATCCCCAAAACCTGCGATCCGGATTGTTGTGATGTTCCCAACAACTCCATCTGGCCCGTGGAGAAGAATTGCTCTGCCTTTTTCCAGTGTGTAAATGGCAACAAATACGAGCAGAGGTGCTCCAACAACTTGCAATATAATAACAAGACGGAGCAGTGCGATTACCCCGAAAATGTGGGTTGCGACGATGGATCTGCGCCTCCAAGTGGTCCTACTGCCGGACCATCGGGAACTTATTGCGAGAGCCACGGACGCTGTGTTGGCCAGCGGGATGGAACCATGTTCCCCGATGCCAGTGGGAAATGTAGTTCCGCCTATGTCGTCTGCCAGTGCGAGTGTGAGGTCGATATGAGCTGTTTCTCTGGACTGTGGTTCAATAAGCAGATCAATTCATGCGATTGGCCTGATAATGTAAAATGCTAAATGTTTCAATAAACAGTGTTTAAAGCACCAAAATCTTTTGTGCGATTAAAGAAAAGAGATATTGGTTTTCAGTTTTATGCGTTTATTTATAGGCACCTAGCCTATTTGAGGTGAATTGGTTCAGCTAGTAAAACCAATAATCTAATAATAATAATAGGCGAGAGCTTTTACATTTGAATTCATTCGTTTAACCAGTTCTTAAATAGTATTTATTTCCAGTCTATTACATTATAACTTTTTTAATTTAGGCAAATAGATCTAGCTAATACATAAACAAAAAAATAACCCAATGTTATTACAACAATTACAGTCATTGGGTAAACCAATTTCAAAATAAATCTGTTTTCTATAGATGGCGCCAGCAGTTCTATTTTCGTGGTAAACCTCAAAGTCGAAAGCGTCATCTTTTGTGACTGCTTGCAGTCTTTTAAAATAACCGTTGGACTAAGTGTGTCGATAGATTTAGACCGAATAACCACACTCTGTCCACTAACTTTTATAGTCGCCACTTTTTGAATCCATTTGGTTTCGTCTTGCACCGCCATAATAGAAAGGTTGTTTTCTGGAACTGCGTAATTATTTAACTGTCTTCTATTCGTTTAATTTGTAATGTTCTTAAATATTTACGAAATGATTAAACCTAGTGCAACAGCTGATTTTGATTAAAATCAATGGTTTTATTGGTGGCCTTTTAAAATACAGTTACAACTGACGGGATTTGACCTTGCGAGCAGGCTTTTTCGACTTTGATTTTCTTTTTCTCTTGGTCCCCTTTTCCTTGGTCTGACATTTGGCGACCTTGGGATAGTCGCATCGTGAAGAAGCTGTATTGAAATGCAAACCTGTGGGGCAATCCATTACCAGGAACATCATGTTGCTGCATAGCATGAACTTTCCACAGTCGGATCGATGTGCCACAAGAGAGTTTTCCTTTTCATCCGAACATATTCCTCCTGTTACGGCAGGTCCATCTAATTGTTTGGCTTCCTGTGCACCAACTAAGCACTTGGCTTCTGAAGCCATCATGCAAATTCGGCGCCTTGGACTAAAGTGCTGCTGACTAGGACAAGAGCGAAGGTGGGGTTTCCTTGCCTTGCAAACATAGTACTGCCCACAGGATCCCTTCTTGGTTAGCATCACACCATCCCTTTTGCCAGCACACAATATATTCAGTAAGTCTGAAAGCTCTGTGTCCTGTATTGTAGGTCGTGGTTTTTTCAATGGTTTGACAGAAACCGGAGGGTCAGCTTTAACGATAACTTCCTCATCGTCCTCGTCACTTTCTGAACTAGATCCATCACCACGCTTACTATCCTTGCCATCGAAAATGCAATCCTCACTATCGCTCTCTTCGCAATGCAAAGTTGACGGGTTAAACAAGGTTTTTGAAGCGCAAGTTCCGATTACAGCATTTCCATCAGCACACACATAGTATCCTTTGCAAGTTCCAAACATGGGTAAAAGTTCGCCATTTTTACCATCGCATATGGACGTCTTGAAAGCGAATCCGTTCTTCGAAATAAAGCATATTCAGTTTTGCTATTTTTACAGGTTTTTGCAAACATACTTGTAACACAGCCTGTGCGCATTGTTGAAGTAAGAAACTTGCCCAAAGCAGTCCGAATAGCTTCATTTTGTTAGTAGCTATCGAGTGTTTAATCGAACTGAAACTTTCCATTCATTGAACAGCGTTTATATAGAATATCATCTATGGGAAATTTGCATGAATTGCCAATATGTAAAGTGTTAACATTTGATTGTATCGTTCATTTGAGATAGGTGCAAGAGTTCGAGTACTATCTGTATTTTCTTACTGAGAATTGATAAGTGTTCATATAAAACATATGTAACGTCTGAAAAAAGCTACAATCATTGCTGTATATGTGTGCCCAGGTTAAAGACCACTATTTTGGGAGAAGCAATCACCAAAAAAAAAAATTGTGCCTCAGAAAATGATTTAGAGTTGAAATTGTTTAACTTACTTGATTCTTTACTCATAAAGTTGGGCTAATATATTTTAGTTCGTTGGGCAAAAATATATTTAACCAAATAATCATATTATTGTCAGTTCTATTTTTAAATTTATTTATAACTCAAATGATTACAAATGATTTTCAATGGTGCATCTTCTAGACTTCTGATAATATAACACTTATCGCTACCTTACTTAGCCTAAAAGTAGGTAACGAATATAAAACCATGATGATTTTCAGCCGTTTAATACTGTTACAGTTAAATAAAGAGCATGGAATGCTTGTGGTATCTCACCAAAATTAATTGAAACGAAAACAAGAGTGGAAAGATGTTTATCATTGGTCATTATTAATAAGCTGTTGTCATTTCCTTGACCAAAATGTCTGCTTTTTTTCTTTAAGTTGTCAATAGAATGTTATCAACAATATAAGTCATTATCAGTTGAAAAAATGCCTAACGTTGATTTGATTGGCGGCGTCAATCAGTTATTATTGCTAAGAAATTTCCAAAAAGACGATCCCATTTCAGTTACTTCTAAGACGTGAGAATATAAACATCCAAAAAATTCTAGCCAACATATTTTGTAGCAAATCAACAAGTAATACTAAAAATATAACTTTTTTTATTGCCAGTTATTGTCTAAAAAGGTTTTTTAATAATATTTTTCAAGGAAAACCACGCAATGAAAGGTAAGGTTCTAATAGTCCTATTTTCAATGTGCAGTCGAGAATTTGTGTGCCCAAGATAAACAGAGAATTTATTTTATATTTATATCTTTCTAGAGTGGGCATACTTGTCGTTTACTTTGTGGCTCTTGGTAGACACTATCTGTTATGGTAGCCAAGAGCACAAAAATTATGCAATATCGGGAGTAAAAGAGTGCTTGACTTCCTCAGAAATAGATCCCAACTTCTGTCTATCCTTATCGAACGGTTTTTATAAATATCCCTATGACTGCAGTGCATATATATCGTGCAATGATTCATGCGCTGATTTGGAGTACTGCCCTGATGGAAAACTTTTTAATAATCCCATGCACATTTGTGATACACCAGAAGCTGTCGACTGCGAATCGTTACCTTATCCAACACCTTCAACTACCGAGCTCCCACTGGAAAATCCTTGTGAGGGCATTAAAAATAACACTATTTTGCCCTCTGCTGCTAATTGTAGTGAGTTCTCTGTGTGTGTAAATCAGCAAAGTGAAGTGTATCACTGTCCCTGGGAGATGCTTTTTAATCCGGATCTAGAAATTTGTGATTTTAAGGATAACGTATGGTGCTACGGTGACCGTACTACCCAAAATCCGTTGGAAACCACAGCTATTACTGCGGAGTCCTTCACGAAGTGCGAGGGCCAAAAGCTTGGAACCTTTTTCCCGGATACTCAGAATTGCCAACAGTACTACTACTGCTGGGGCAACGATTCCTACATAGTTCTACCCTGTCCCGTGGACAATTGGTTTAATCCATACACCGGTAACTGTGGTCCCGATATTTCACCGGAAGCGTGCCAAGCATTTGTGGCTACCACTACGCCTGTTATTATTACATCACCTTCGACAACTGTTGCGCCGTCCACTACGGAAGCTAATGCTAAGAATCCGTGTGTAGATCAGGAACTGGGTGCCAGCTTTCCGTTGCAATCCGACTGCAAATCATATCTGCTATGCCTGGGTAATGGCCAATCTGCGAAAGCTCAATGTCCAACAAATGCCTGGTTCGATCCACAATCAGGGGATTGTGGGCCAAATGTATCGCCCACTGCTTGCATCGAAACAACCACATCTACCACTACCATTGCCACAACTCAGGGCTCGAGTGATCCTTGTGCCGATCAAGAACTGGGAGTATCTTATCCCCTGGTGACAAACTGCCAGCAATATATTCTGTGCATGGGAAACGGGGAATCCAAAGTGGCCAATTGCATCTACAACGCCTGGTACGATCCGCAAACGGGAATTTGTGGACCCGAAGTATCACCAACAGCATGTACGGAAACTATTATTTCCACCGAATCCTCCACAAGTCAAGCCACCTCGCCAGTCACAACACCTTCTCCTACGGGGTCTACTACTACCCCTTCGGACATTTCAAAAATCTGTTCTGGAGAGAGCGATGGTTATTATGCCACGTATCCTGAGGACTGCAGTAAATACATCGTATGTGCCAGTCCTGTTCCTATAGCATTCTTCTGCCCGGAAGGCTTGTTCTTCAACGAAGCTCTTCAGAAATGCGTCGAATGGAATTTAAGCGAGTGCCCCAAGGAAGATACCACCACTACATCGCCTGGCTATACGACTCCGAAACCAGATTCTTCGATATGTTTCAATAGCACTGGCATGAATTTGCCGTACCAAGAAAATTGTCAATGGTTTGTACGATGCGTTGACGACTCCTCTTACATGATGGGCATATGTAGCAGTGAAGAGTATTTCGATCCATTGACTGGGGAATGTGGCGTTGATGTCTCCCCGGAAGCCTGTCGGGGGATCCACACTTCAACCACTATAGTTACAGAAACCACCGAAAGCTCAACAACTAAACCAAGTGCTCCAACAACGGCAATTACCCCAACTACTCCGAGTGCAGAAACTGATCCTTGTGAAGGAGCTCCTGAGGGAAAACTAGTTCCCTATCCGGATGACTGCACCAAATTCATACAATGTGTTCGGCCCTTCGCCATCGTGTTTGACTGCCACGAAGGTCAGGAGTTTAGCGCCAGTTTGGAAAGATGTATGGCTCCGTGGTATGCCAATTGTTCTATTCCGGCCACAACTACAACTGCAGCTCCCATAATAACCACCACGTTACCTTCACCGGACAGCTTTTGTGCGGATAAAATCGAAGGATCACTGGTACCTTATCCCTTAAATTGTAGCAAGTACATAGTTTGCCAGGTTCCCATCCCAGTGGGATATGCTTGTCCAGGAAGCGAAGAGTTTAGTCCTACTGCTTTGACCTGTATGGAAGCTGAGCTAGCCGGTTGCACTACAAATGGCTACCGCCTTTTGCCGGTCAATTTATTTGGAAACACTGATTCAGAAGATTCAAGCCCATCACTTTGGCAGTCCCTTAAAACGATGACAAGCTTTGTCATAGATTTTTAATGCAAACTATGTACATTTTTTTTTTTGTTATAGATTTTTGATGCAAATTATCTGAATTGTAAGCATTAAACAAAAATGTTATTAAAATGTCGTAAATGCAATTGATTTGTTTCACTGAGGATACTGGCAATCAGAGTTGGATGTGCTGCACGAAAGTTTGCTGGGATTCCAATACAAGTTGCCTGGACATGTAAGGACTGTTGCCGTTGGTCCGCAATGAATAAACTTGTGGCAGTCATTGGGATACGGTATGTACGCATTGGAAACACTATTTTTGCACAAAGCATGGGGATCTATTGGTAGGAATTCAGTTTCAGCTGGCGTCCAGGATGTATATGGTGGAGTAGCAGCGGTTGGTATGGGATCAATTGGTGAAATGGTGTTTGGAGGAGGATAGGGCATCGGAAATCCCTGACAATTGGAATATTGTGGGGCCACGCACCGCTGATATTGGTCACTCCACTGATAGTTCTGCTCACAATGAAGGATTCGCTTCTCGTAGAATCGACTACAGTCTCCGGGGAATGGACTGTAGCTTACCTCGTTGCTGGGTTTCGGTGGATCGAATGAATTGCAATTTGAGTACTCCCTGTAGTCACAGCGGTAGGTAATTTGGCTCCAGAACAGGTTTTCAGGACACTGGTGCTCGAAGGCCTGTCCTTTTTGGCATGTGTAATACTTGCGACAGTCGTTGGGATATGGCAAAATTACAAGGTGGTTGGGATCGTCGTACGGTGGGCAATGTCCAATCGGCATAGAATGTTCGGCAACAATGGACTACATAGAAACTTACATTTCATAGATTATGTTCAATTCGAACGAATGGAGCACTTACTGGAACATAATTGAACTCCTCGCTATTTATAGTGGAATAGAAAGCCACTAAAACTAGGCACACAAGTGTAGGTGTTCGCCGCACTGGAAAAAAAGAATTTAATAATGCCTAATAACTTTAACACTTCAAATTTTTTCTTACTGATGGTTGAATCCAGTGAAAGCGCACTGAGAAAGTGAATGTTGTGCTTGGGTAGCACCAGCCCTTTTATACTTACAACATGCAGGCGATCGTTATCAAGTTGAAGTGTTTAACTTTGATTTATCGTAAAGAATTCCTCTTATACAAAGAAAGGCTGCAATTGTTAACAAAACAATCCTAGGAATTTAAGATTAACAATGTGCTTACACTTATTACATTTTTAGTGTCACAATGGCTTACTTTTTTATATTTTCTTGAAAAGGTTACAGCAAATTAATTATTCTTTAGATTAAAGTTACAAATCAGAATTATTTATAGTTAGCTGGCTCTTTTTTTTGGCAAACCATTATTGCCCGACGTTATTGTCTCTTCCACTTGACCGGACAAGCTTACCGGTTCAAGGACAGAGGAGATAAAAAGGTTTATGTCTAAATTCCACTGAAGACACGGTATCGTATTGTCAATAACATGTATTTGTATATCAGTGATATATAAGAACCCAAGCGATCGGTGCTCTGCAGATGAACTGCAGAGTTTGAGCGCAGAGCAATGAAAAGTATGGGTAAAGCAGTTTTATTAATTTCGATAAATATTAATATTGATTTTTATTAGTGAAATACCAACTTTTGTTGACTGTTTCTTTAACTGTGATGTGCTTTGGGTTCTCCATGTCACAAGCTGTGGTGAAACAGGCCGTTCCTAATGACTGCCATCGATTCTATGAGATTCGCTTGCTGAGCTGTCCTCCGCAATTTATTTGGAACTCAAAGTTGGAGCGATGCGAAATGCAGGCGCTTGGTGGATGTTCCTTCACTTCTTCGGCACCAAATGGGAGTAACCGCTTTCAAAATGACTCAATTCTGGAAGTCACAAAATCACAGAATCTTTTGGAGGTATGTGACAACAAACTCGGACAGCGAATAGTTTACCCAGGTGACTGCACCCGCTTCATTCTGTGCGACTATCTGCCCTTTGTGATGACCTGTCCGCAATATCTCTTTTGGAACTCCCATCTACTTACATGTGACAAAATTTGTGTTTAGTTTTGCAAAAATACCTTTGTTTGGAACAAAGAATTAAATCAAATCACTCTATTTTTTTGTGATGTATTATTAAATATTAATTACAGTAGCAAAACGTAGAAAATATTTAAGAAATGGCAGTAAAACGCTAAAATTAATTGCGAAAAACACTTAAATGCTTAAGACCAAGCTGCATCGAAACACAAATAGGTGTTTGTAGTTGACAGTTGGCCAAGCTGTTCTATAATTGAGCCCCTTTGGAACTGATCTACTATAATATGGGTGGGTTAAAGGGATGTGGTAAACGATCCCCTAGCATTTGCCATTGGTTGGTGCCTTCGGTCGGCAGATTTTACTCCTTCCATTGGCACCGTAAACAATGTTGCAGGAGAAGGTGAAGTAGCCGCATGTCGAGGACTTTGTGAAGTATGTGGACTGGAAGTTCTTGTTCTCCTGCGGCGGATTCTTGCTGTTGTCCATGCTGCCAGTCACCGACTTGGTGACGGTGACATAGCTGTCCGGAGCTCTTGCGATGGGCTTGTCCCCTCGAGTCGGGCCCTCTTCAGCCGCGTCGGCCGAAATCTCCACCCTCTTGTTAGTGGGCAGCTCCAGAGCCTTGGTGTGGAACTTCTTTTGCACATTGACAGTGCCTCGGAATCCTGGTGGTATAGCCTCGGTGGTGGAAGGTTCGCTATTGATGGTAACCCTACCGTTCTGCTGTTGCACCACTTGGTACTTTTCACCTGCAACTGGTAGCACCACCGCCTTTTGGATTTGCGTGGGCGAGGACTGTTCGTAGGCCTTGGGCTCTGGTGTTGGCTCCAGTTTCTTAACACTGCTGGCCGACTTGGGACTCTCCTCCAGCTTGACTGGCTTCTCGTTGTAGTACTCATCCTCTTCGTATTCATCCGGGTCGGCTTCATCTTCATCGTCGTACTGTATGGGCTCCGGCTGGTCTGCTTTCCTTTCTGCCTTATCAGCCTCATCCTTGGGTTTGGTCGACTTCAACTGCAGTTCTGGCAGCCTGTCGGACTCATCGGTGAGCGCCGGTCCACTGTAAACAGCATCAGCGCGATCAGTAACTCTAAAATACACAAAAAAAAACAAATTTTATATTTGCCTTTCCCATGATGGCATATCTGTAGATGATGGATATTTTCAACTAAATATTTTTTCAAGAACTTAGAACAAGGTGCTCCTTTAAAATAATTAGAATTTTCGTTGTTAAATTGATTTATTTGTTTAAAAATTTACAAACTTTATAACACTTTACAAATAAGTATGCCCTATTTTATTTCGTTCAATTGACAACACAATTGACAGCACAATTGTTTTTGTAAATGCACATGCTTGTGGAGATGTTAGAGCCGGCATATACATACATACATAGGTAAACTTGCTGGTCACATTTTGCTATACACTAACAATTTTTTGTTCTTTCCTTGTGGTCCAATTCGTTACTGATAAGACCGAGGCAAGGCAACAACAATTACATTGTTTTTTTTTTTTGGATGGCTAAGTCAAATGAATTTTGTTTTTGTCTTTTCCTCGGCTCAATACCGAATTCTTTACTTGTGTTCGTGATCCTTTTTAAATGTGTTGGAAAATGCTCTGGCATAAGGCTGTTTGTGGGTGAGATAAGGAGAGCCATTTACCAGCGGTAAAATATAGAAAAGAGGGAAGAAAAAAATTCACGAAGAATGCAATGGAAGAGAGCGGCAAGTCTCTTGAGAGACGGAAGAAGAGGCGAGGAAGCGAGTGCACGAAGTTTTTTAAGAGAGTATGGAATTGTTGAGAGAGTGCCTCTATTTGATACCTAAGGGGTCGTGTGGAAATGAGATAGTCCTGACAGCTTTAGTTTAAACGGTTTTTAAGCGAGCAAAGTCACGCCTGATAACATAAAAACTAACTAAGCTACACAAAAACGAATGAATATTTTTGTTAAATACATTTTAAGATTTTTTTTCAAAAGGAGACCGGTTTTTTTTTTCAATTCTATAAAATGAGTTTGCCACATTTAGAAGCGTAAGAAACTTTTAAGAAAGAGCTTAACAATTCTTATAATATAAATAAATATAAATATGTATATTAAAGCGAATTCCTTTTGGGTTACTTACGCATTGACATTATCTCCGAACCGACTGATGGTGTTAAATAGCTCACGATTTTGTTCCCTGTACGATGCCACCTGCTCCTTGGTTCCCGATGCGGATTGAGCAGCACCGTGGTATGAAACGCCGTAGCTGAAATAGAAAACTATATTGTAACACTTTTCTTTAACCGCCAGGCATGCGCTTTTACTACCTGGAAGTTCCGTGAATCTGCGAGCTACTTTGACTAGAGTGGGCACCAGATGAGGACGAAGCCTGACCGCCGCCGTTGGCCGCGGGCGTATTAGCTTCCTGGCCGGGACGAAAACCGATCTGGGCTTGCGATGAGGTCTGCCCAGGACCGCTGGACTGGGCGTCAGCCAACCCACCCTTGTCATTGGCATGAACCTCGCTCTGGCTCTGTTGGATAATGCCGCCGCTCTGCGAAGAGGCCTTCGTGCCGCCGTCCTTTGCCGTCTGCACCTGGGCCTGCGACTGGGCGGGACCCCCAGATCCCTGGGCCTGACTGACGGCGCCCTCCGCAGTTCCGGTGACCTGGGCACTGGCCGCACGATCCGCATCCGATGTCATTGCGCTGGCGCTAAAGGTTCCGCCCGCACTGTATGTTCCGGACACTTGGGTCTTGGCAGTGCCTCCGTTCTTCTTGCCCTGAGCACTTGCCGAGGCCTGTCCATCGCCAATGGATGACTCGGCCTGGGAGAAGGCGTCGTCGACTCCACCTGTGCCGGCAGCAACTGGTACACCTTTAATATATTTCAATAATTATATTTTTAAGTTTCTCAATAACTCGTGTAGCTACTCACCAGCACCACCAGCGCCTCCAACACCACGAGCTCCAGGAACAACTCCAGTGCCAGCTGTGTAGCGCCCCGGTGCATCAATTTGACCGCCGACACCAGACTGTCCCGTTTGACCTGTCTGGCCACCGTATCCTGGTTGACCCACTCCTGCACCTGTCGCTCCGCCAACTCCAGGTTGAGATCCATAACCGGGTTGAGCTCCGTAACCTGGCTGAGGCCGTCCAATTCCTGGTTGGCTTCCTCCAACTCCCGGCTGAGTTCCGTATCCTGCCGATCCACCAACTGCAGGCTGACTTCCGTAACCAGGCTGTCGGCCACCCAAGCCTGCCTGTCCGCCTACTCCCGGCTGAGTTCCGTATCCAGGTTGAGAACCACCAATTCCTCCAACTCCGGGCTGACTTCCTCCTACTCCAGGTTGTGTTCCGTATCCAGGCTGAGCTCCATATCCAGGTTGAGAACCACCAATTCCTGGTTGGCTTCCTCCAACTCCGGGCTGGGCTCCGGTTCCGTATCCTGGTTGAGTTCCATATCCAGGCTGAGGGCCACCAATTCCTGGTTGACCTCCTCCAACTCCTTGCTGACTTCCTCCTACTCCAGGTTGTGTTCCGTATCCAGGCTGAGTTCCATATCCAGGTTGAGAACCACCAACTCCGGGTTGGCTTCCTCCAACTCCGGGCTGGCTTCCTCCTACTCCTGGCTGTGTTCCGTATCCAGGCTGAGTTCCATATACAGGTTGAGAACCACCAACTCCGGGTTGGCTTCCTCCAACTCCGGCCTGGCTTCCTCCTACTCCTGGCTGTGTTCCGTATCCAGGCTGAGTTCCATATCCAGGTTGAGAACCACCAACTCCGGGTTGGCTTCCTCCAACTCCGGGCTGGCTTCCTGCTACTCCTGGCTGTGTTCCGTATCCAGGCTGAGTTCCATATCCAGGTTGAGAACCACCAACTCCGGGTTGGCTTCCTCCAACTCCGGGCTGGCTTCCTCCTACTCCTGGCTGTGTTCCGTATCCTGGTTGAGTACCATATCCAGGTTGAGATGCACCAATTCCTGGTTGGCTTCCTCCAACTCCGGGCTGGCTTCCTCCTACTCCAGGTTGTGTTCCGTATCCAGGCTGAGTTCCATATCCAGGCTGAGTTCCATATCCAGGCTGAGAACCACCAATTCCTGGTTGGCTTCCTCCAACTCCTGTCTGACTTCCTCCAACTCCGGGCTGTGTTCCGTATCCTGGTTGAGTTCCATATCCAGGTTGAGAGCCATCAATTCCTGGTTGACCTCCTCCAACTCCAGGCTGACTTCCTCCTACTCCAGGTTGTGTTCCGTATCCAGGTGCAGCTCCATATCCAGGCTGGGAACCACCAAGTCCTGGTTGGCTTCCCCCAACTCCGTATCCAGGTTGAGTTCCATATCCAACTCCAGGTTGGGAACCACCAATTCCTGATTGGCTTCCTATACCTCCTGGCTGGGTGCCTCCAACTCCAGGCTGTGCTCCATATCCAGACTGACTTCCGTATCCAGGTTGAGATCCACCAATTCCTGTTTGGCTTCCTGTAACTCCAGGCTGGGTGCCTACATATCCAGGCTGGGAACCACCAAGTCCTGGTTGGCTTCCTCCAACTCCACGCTGACTTCCTCCTACTCCAGGTTGTGCTCCATATCCAGGCTGACTTCCATATCCAGTTTGAGATCCACCAATTCCTGGTTGACTTCCACCAACTCCTTGCAAGCTTCCTCCTAGTCCTGGTTGAGAACCGTATCCGGGTTGAGTTCCGTATCCCGGCTGAGCTCCATATCCAGGTTGGGATCCACCAATTCCTCCAATTCCCGGCTGAGTTCCGTATCCTGCCGATCCACCAACTCCAGGCTGACTTCCGTAACCAGGCTGTCGGCCACCCAAGCCTGTCTGTCCGCCTACTCCCGGCTGAGTTCCGTATCCAGGTTGATAACCACCAATTCCTGGTTGACCTCCTCCAACTCCTTGCTGACTTCCTCCTACTCCAGGTTGGGTTCCGTATCCAGGCTGAGTTCCATATCCAGGCTGAGAACCACCAATTCCTGGTTGGCTTCCTCCAACTCCGGGCTGGCTTCCTCCTACTCCCTGCTGTGTTCCGTATCCTGGTTGAGTTCCATATCCAGGCTGAAGGCCACCAATTCCTGGTTGACCTCCTCCAACTCCTTGCTGACTTCCTCCTACTCCAGGTTGGGTTCCGTATCCAGGCTGAGTTCCATATCCAGGTTGAGAACCACCAATTCCTGGTTGGCTTCCTCCAACTTCGGGCTGGCTTCCTCCTACTCCAGGTTGGGTTCCGTATCCTGGCTGAGTTCCATATCCAGGTTGAGAACCACCAATTCCTGGTTGACCTCCTCCAACTCCTTGCTGACTTCCTCCTACTCCAGGTTGTGTTCCGTATCCAGACTGAGTTCCATATCCAGGTTGAGTGCCACCAATTCCTGATTGGCTTCCTCCCATTCTTGGCTGTGTGCCGCCAACTCCAGATTGAGTTCCGTATCCAGGCTGAGTTCCATATCCGGTTTGAGATCCTCCAATGCCTGGTTGGCCACCTCCAACTCCAGGCTGAGTTCCATATCCGGTTTGAGATCCTCCAATGCCTGGTTGGCCACCTCCAACTCCAGGCTGAGTTCCATATCCAGGTTGAGACCCACCAATTCCAGGTTGACCTCCTCCAGCTCCTGTCTCTGTTCCTCCAACTCCACCTTGAGGTCCATGTCCTGAATGTCCATCTCCGACTCCTGTCTGCCCAGTAAAACCGGGTTGAGTAGAATAGCCAGGCGTTCCGCCTAGCATCGGTTGTCCTCCACCGATTAATGATTCGCCAGTAAGCCCAGGGCGGGTATCGAGACCAGTTTGACCTGTAACTCCTGGCTGAGTTCCGTATCCAGATTGTCCGCCAACTACTCCTGATTGACCGTCAACTCCAGGTTGGCCTCCGAATCCAGGTTGTCCGACTTCGAGTCCTGGCTGAGTTCCATATCCGGGCGATCCACCACTTCCACCAACTCCGTATCCGGGTTGAGCTCCACCAACTCCAGTCTGCCCGCCTACTCCTGGCTGAGTTCCATATCCGGGTTGTCCGCTACTGAGTCCTGATTCTCTGGGACGTGTTCCGTATCCGGGCTGTGCACCACCTACTCCTTGCTGTCCGCTCACTCCTGGCTGCCCGCCACTTTTACCTGCCTGTCCTCCAACTCCCGGCTGAGTTCCATATCCGGTCTGGCCTTCACCAGTTTCCGGTTGTCTACCTCCAATACCTGGCTGTGTTCCGTATCCAGGGGATCCTACAACTCCAGGTTGAGAACCATATCCGGGTTGTCCGCCACCGAGTCCAGATTCTCCAGGAACCCCAGGACGCACGCCACTTACTCCTTGCTGACCGCCTACTCCAGGCTGTCCGCCACTTGTTCCTGCCTGTTCGCCAAGTCCCGGCCGAGTTCCAAATCCAGGCTGAGCTCCACCAATTCCTGTCTGGCTTCCTCCAGCTCCGGTCTGTGCTCCGTATCCGGGCTGTTTGCCTGCGACTCCTGGATATCCCCCAACTCCCAGTTCTCCGGGTTGTGTTCCGCCAGTCCCAGGTGCGGGAAGATGTCCATAGCCCGGTGAGTAAGCTCCACCACCTCCAGGCTGTCCTCCGAATCCCGACTGACCGCCAAACCCTGGCTGTTCACCCACTCCGCCTTGAGTACCTGTATTAAAATTAAGATTATAAATACACTTTAATATGAAGGTACAATTAATTCAGTTGAGATCTTACCGGCACCCGGAAAGCCGACTCCACCGGCTCCACTAGCATCTAGTATTCTGCCCGACGAAGGGTAATCCGTTTGGTAGCCGGCACATCCATTGCAGTCTCCCGATGAGAACTGACTCTGAGCCTGACCCATTCCGTGGGTGCCAGCTGAAAGAGTTTTAAGTCAATCTACAAGGATGTTAAAGGATTTTTATAGAACCGGACTTACAGACAGTTGAGCGAGATCCACTTTCATTGGCCTCCGCCTCGGCCTTTCCATCCTGTTCGGGTTTGCCAAAATTTAAGTACTGAGACTGCGTTTGTCCCCTTGAACTAGTAAGACATTATTTATTTTTAGGGCACAGAATATTTTTGTAATTACTTACTAGCCTCTGACACTTCTCTTTTCTCTGTCCAAGTTGGTCAGACCAGAAATCTCGTCTTCATTCCCTAGCGATTTCTCCTGCAAGTTTTTTAAAGCGATTTAAGTTCAATGCTAATGTCAGCCTAATCTTTAAGCGTATTCAACATGTGTCTGCGAGTGTCCCCAATTTGATGCTGCTTTAATAACTGACCTTGGTCAACTTAGGTCTTATCGCCAACCATTCGAACCGAGTTCATTTACATTGAACTACTCTAGTTCCACACAGGCCAAATTCAAGGGATTCATTAACGATTCGGACACTTACGATGGCGGCTCCATTTGCGCTTGCTACGAGAAGCACAGCGCCAAGTAGCAGGCCTAAGCGAAAGGGCAACATTTCAATAAATTATTTTCTGAATCCAATTGAAATGCGTCGACGTCGTCGCAACACAACCAGCAAACTGAAAGATGAAATTAAATTGTATTATCAACACATTGTATACATGCGTGTTATTATTAGTTCATATTCCTTCGCTCTGTTTTGTGCCCGTCACTTTCTGGGGTTATCACGTTTCTTTTAAACGAGCACGCACGATGTTGTTAGATGCCAAAATAAAGTAATTGATCTTGAGTTTTATTTTAGTTTTAGGAATGATGTAATTGCTCCAACTGATTAAGTTTATATGTATTTTTAAAAGCAAACACACAAGTCCTTAGAGCTCAACTTGGTGACAGGAAATCATTATGAATAATGACAACTGGTTTGTCTTAGCAATTAACCACTTTTTTATTATATGTTGTATAAGTGTCTGTTACTTGCTGGTGCTATCACTTTTCTTTTATTGAGTCTAATTTTATTTGCGGAATGATGTTATCGCTCAAACTGATAAGCTTTACTATTTAAATTAAATATTTGAATAGGATATCAGGATAGTTCTCCCGATGTTTATTTATGTTCATAACATTTTGATTAAACTAAAAAACAAATTAGTTGGTTTTTTGTTTTTTTTTTTTTTGTATGAAATAAATATATTTTAAATTTTTTTGTCGTTAAACATTTATTATTAGTTAATTTCCCGGGTTCTTTTCACTTTTAATGTAAAAATAAAATGTTCTATACTTTAAGAAGTTCCTCTTTGGCACAAATATAATTTAAACATTTTATTAAATTTAAACGTTCACAGCACAACATTTTCCACATTTAATTAAACAAAAACATAATATAAAAATATAAAACTTTGCTCGCAGTTCCGAGTTGTTTGAAATTGCGGTTTCCTTGACCAATTTATTAAATATTTTAATTCTTAAGGGATCAATATCCACGTATTTCAAAGGCTTTATTTTAAAGTGTCCTTGCTCAAACTGTAAATCTTAGACACATACTTCTTCGCCTGCGTGAATTAGGATTCCAAGAAGATTTTCCGATTTGCTTCCGATCGCGACAACTGCTGGATTGCGAATAACACTGTTCCGTTCGAGCATGAAAACTCTAGAGCTTGAGCAGAACTCGAATTCATTGAAGGCGAGCAATTTCCAATACATTTGCATTCAGCCAGCAGCAGCATGAATATTTATGTAGGATCCACACAAGCAAAGAGTGCTCGTATGGTATCTGTGAGGCGGATCAGGGCACTTAGAGTTCCAAGCTTGGAGCTCGTCGCCAGTGCCAGTGCCATTCATTCGAGTGTCTATTCCATTAAGTATCAGATCTTTGATCGTGTCAATCGATCACTTGGTCGCCTGGCAATGGAAGGGGAACCGCTGACGTCCCCTTCGACAAATGAGTTTCTGGGGGCATTACAACATCATAGTCTTCGCCAACGGATGGGGCACTCTTTTGACCCATTTAGGGAAATGTGCTGGCATTTATTTGCATATAAAGATACGCAATTGTATATCTCATGGATACATTTTCAAGTGTGTCCCTGCCCCCAACTCATACGCTTGGCAAATGTGTTCCCTTTTTGCGTCTGGTGAACGTTTCATTAATTTAGGCTTCAATTTCCCAAGCCGCTAATTTCCATATGTTTAATTTTGATTTTTAACAAATCAAAAATTGGCGGAAGTAATTTGCCTTGATAACCTCTGACACCGAAATTTGCGTTCACTTTCTGGTTAGCCTGTCCATCGTCATATCTATATATAGAGCAACATCTACAAGCCCCCATTCAATTTTGAGTTCGGCTATTCTCTTATCGGCTGAAAGCTTCTATGACACCATGTGCTTAAATTGAACTCAAGCATTAAATTTAAATTTTTCAAAGGCCCATCGGCTGTATGGGGTGTGTTTCAAGGCTAGTAATATTTTTAATTGAAGCCTAGATTGATAAGATCAACAAATAATGGGTAGGAATTTTAAAACCCGAGTGTTCTGACTATAGAATTCCCTTTGTTGAGAGTTACCGAGAACCTAGTCCTTATTACAATAATAATTTCCAATTTTCTTTTTGAATGTAAAACGAGTTTCACATGCTATATGCTTTTGAAACAGTGGTTTTAAGATAAAATTGTAAGTCTACTGACAACATTATTTAGATTTGAATATACTTCTCTTTTCTCCGTTAAAAGGGTATAAAAAAGTACCAAGCCGCAGTCTATTGAAATAAATTTGCATACATCCAAAAAGGAAATCTATTTAGAACATCTCAAAAGCATGAATAAAATACAAATGATTGTTTTTTTTTCATTTTTTAAAGCGATAATAAATAATAATAAATAAAACAACTGCTTATAATTTATTTTTAAATCTAAAGTATATGAAAATAAATACATTTATTATTTATAAGTTTTGTTTTTAATTTTTTATATTTTTTTAATTTTATTATATAAACGGATCGAAGATCCAGCAAAATAAATACATTTTAAATCATTACTATTAATTGGTTTTACTGAGTTAAAATTGTTTTCTGAAGGTCAATCAAAGAATGCTATTTATCTGCAAAGATTCTGTAAACAAATATTAAAAACTATGTTATTTATTATGCATGGGATTAAGAAAATATTAAACTTACACTTATGTGCAGAATCGCTGCGAATTTTCGCATAATTCGCTGACAGGATTCCAGTAAAGTCCTAAACTACAACTCATTACGATACCCCTCAAGCCAAAGCACTTTATGTATTTTGAACAATCGCCTTGAAAAACATCAAAATTCATTCCCACTGCACATGAAATCGATTCATTTGCTCGCAGATTGTTGCAGTACTTGTTTGACCAATCACAGACGGAAATTTCTGGGTTCCAATAAAGAGGATCGGGACACTTACGCTCCAATGGCTCGCCGTTACTGCATTGCAAATATTTGGTACAGTCCGTTGGGTGAACAAGGAAATCTACTCCAGGGCCGCAAGTCTTTTCTTCTGGTTTCGCATTTTCCTCACTGTTGAAGCAAACACTAGGTTTCCTACTGCAGGCTAAGTTTTGATAGTCCCAATAGAGATTAGCCGGGCAATCCATAATAAATTCGTTTCCATTACTACACTGTATAAATTTGTGGCAGTTTGTTGGATGGGGTAAGTATGAGTTCCCGCTACTGCAAGAAAGCGGTGGTAAAGTTGACGACGTGGTGTCAGGGGAAGATGATGTTGAACTTGAATAAGATGGAGTTGTTTCTTGCGTTGACGAAATAAAACTACTGGTAGTATCGTCTACAGTGGTACTTTTATCCGGCATCGGAGTTGAATTCGCGATCGTAGAGCTTTCTCCGGGCTTAAATGTAGAGTCTGTAGTATTTTCTTCTGTACCTTTCGTAGAATCTTGGTCAACAGTACTACTATCGCTGGGAATGGATGTTGAAACCTCAATCGTAGTGGTGCTCTTTTCAGTTTCAGCTGTGGTGGTTTCGTCGGGAAGAGTGGTGGCATCCTCTATTGTCGTGCTATCTTTAGCAGCTGTAGTACTTTCGTCAGGAATGGGTGTGGAATCCTCAACCGTGGTACTTTCTTGAGGTTCAGCTGTTGTAGTTTCAACCGGAAGAGTAGTTGCATCATCTATTGTCGTGCTATCTTCAGGAATATTCGTTGAGTCCTGGGCAGCTGTAGTACTTTCTTCAGGAATGGGTGTGGAATCCTCAACCGTGGTACTTTCGTCCGGAAGAGTAGTCGCATTATCTATTGTCGTGCTATCTTCAGGAATGTTCGTTGAGTCCTGGGCAGCTGTAGTACTTTCTTCAGGAATGGGTGTGGAATCTTCAACCGTGGTACTTTCTTGAGGTTCGGCTTTTGTAGTTTCGTCCGGAAGAGTAGTTGCATCATCTATTGTCGTGCTATCTTCAGGAATATTCGTTGAGTCCTGGGCAGCTGTAGTACTTTCGTCGGGAATGGGAGTGGTATCCTCAACCGTGGTACTTTCTTGAGGTTCAGCTGTTGTAGTTTCAACCGGAAGAGTGGTTGCATCTTCCTTTGTCGTACTATCTTCAGGAATATTCGTTGAGTCCTGGGCAGCTGTAGTACTTTCGTCGGGAATGGGAGTGGTATCCTCAACCGTGGTACTTTCTTGAGGTTCAGCTGTTGTAGTTTCAACCGGAAGAGTGGTTGCATCTTCCTTTGTCGTGCTATCTTCAGGAATATTCGTTGAGTCCTGGGCAGCTGTAGTGCTTTCTTCAGGAATGGGTGTGGAATCCTCAACCGTGGTACTTTCTTGAGGTTCAGCTGTTGTAGTTTCAACCGGAAGAGTGGTTGCATCTTCCTTTGTCGTACTATCTTCAGGAATATTCGTTGAGTCCTGGGCAGCTGTAGTACTTTCTTCAGGAATGGGTGTGGAATCCTCAACCGTGGTACTTTCGTCCGGAAGAGTAGTCGCATTATCTATTGTCGTGCTATCTTCAGGAATATTCGTTGAGTCCTGGGCAGCTGTAGTACTTTCTTCAGTAATGGGTGTGGAATCCTCAGCCGTGGTACTTTCTTGAGGCTCAGCTGTTGTTCTTTCGTTCGGAAGAGTAGTCGCATTATCTATTGTCGTGCTATCTTCAGGAATATTCGTTGAGTCCTGGGCAGATGTAGTACTTTCTTCAGGAATGGGTGTGGAATCCTCAACCGTGGTACTTTCTTGAGGTTCAGCTGTTGTAGTTTCAACCGGAAGAGTGGTTGCATCTTCCTTTGTCGTGCTATCTTCAGGAATATTCGTTGAGTCCTGGGCAGCTGTAGTACTTTCTTCAGGAATGGGTGTGGAATCCTCAACCGTGGTACTTTCTTGAGGTTCAGCTGTTGTAGTTTCAACCGGAAGAGTGGTTGCATCTTCCTTTGTCGTACTATCTTCAGGAATATTCGTTGAGTCCTGGGCAGCTGTAGTACTTTCTTCAGGAATGGGTGTGGAATCCTCAACCGTGGTACTTTCGTCCGGAAGAGTAGTCGCATTATCTATTGTCGTGCTATCTTCAGGAATATTCGTTGAGTCCTGGGCAGCTGTAGTACTTTCTTCAGTAATGGGTGTGGAATCCTCAGCCGTGGTACTTTCTTGAGGCTCAGCTGTTGTTCTTTCGTTCGGAAGAGTAGTCGCATTATCTATTGTCGTGCTATCTTCAGGAATATTCGTTGAGTCCTGGGCAGCTGTAGTACTTTCTTCAGGAATGGGTGTGGAATCCTCAACCGTGGTACTTTCGTCCGGAAGAGTAGTCGCATTATCTATTGTCGTGCTATCTTCAGGAATATTCGTTGAGTCCTGGGCAGCTGTAGTACTTTCTTCAGGAATGGGTGTGGAATCCTCAACCGTGGTACTTTCGTCCGGAAGAGTAGTCGCATTATCTATTGTGGTGCTATCTTCAGGAATATTCGTTGAGTCCTGGGCGGCTGTAGTACTTTCGTCGGGAATGGGTGTGGAATTCTCAACCGTGGTACTTTCTTGAGGTTCAGCTGTTGTAGTTTCAACCGGAAGAGTGGTTACATCTTCCTTTGTCGTACTATCTTCAGGAATATTCGTTGAGTCCTGGGCAGCTGTAGTACTTTCGTCAGGAATGGGTGTGGAATCCTCAACCGTGGTACTTTCGTCCGGAAGAGTAGTCGCATTATCTATTGTCGTGCTATCTTCAGGAATATTCGTTGAGTCCTGGGCAGCTGTAGTACTTTCTTCAGGAATGGGTGTGGAATCCTCAACCGTGGTACTTTCGTCCGGAAGAGTAGTCGCATTATCTATTGTGGTGCTATCTTCAGGAATATTCGTTGAGTCCTGGGCGGCTGTAGTACTTTCGTCGGGAATGGGTGTGGAATTCTCAACCGTGGTACTTTCTTGAGGTTCAGCTGTTGTAGTTTCAACCGGAAGAGTGGTTACATCTTCCTTTGTCGTACTATCTTCAGGAATATTCGTTGAGTCCTGGGCAGCTGTAGTACTTTCGTCAGGAATGGGTGTGGAATCCTCAACCGTGGTACTTTCGTCCGGAAGAGTAGTTGCATCATCTATTGTCGTGCTATCTTCAGGAATATTCGTTGAGTCCTGGGCGGCTGTAGTACTTTCGTCGGGAATGGGTGTGGAATTCTCAACCGTGGTACTTTCTTGAGACTCAACTGTTGTACTTTCGTCCGGAAGAGTAGTTGCATCATCTATTGTCGTGCTTTCTTCAGGAATATTCGTTGAGTCCTGGGCAGCTGTAGTACTTTCTTCAGGAATGGGTGTGGAATCCTCAACCGTGGTACTTTCGTCCGGAAGAGTAGTCGCATTATCTATTGCCGTGCTATCTTCTGGAATATTCGTTGAGTCCTGGGCAGCTGTAGTACTTTCTTCAGGAATGGGTGTGGAATCCTCAACCGTGGTACTTTCTTGAGGTTCAGCTGTTGTAGTTTCGTCCGGAAGAGTAGTTGCATCATCTATTGTCGTGCTATCTTCAGGAATATTCGTTGAGTCCTGGGCAGCTGTAGTACTTTCGTCGGGAATGGGAGTGGTATCCTCAACCGTAGTACTTTCTTGAGGTTCAGCTGTTGTATTTTCGTCCGGAAGAGTAGTTGCATTATCCATTGTCGTGCTATCTTCAGGAATATTCGTTGAGTCCTGGGCAGCTGTAGTACTTTCTTCAGGAATGGGTGTGGAATCCTCAACCGTGGTACTTTCGTCCGGAAGAGTAGTCGCATTATCTATTGTCGTGCTATCTTCAGGAATATTCGTTGAGTCCTGGGCAGCTGTAGTACTTTCGTCGGGAATGGGAGTGGTATCCTCAACCGTGGTACTTTCTTGAGGTTCAGCTGTTGTAGTTTCAACCGGAAGAGTGGTTGCATCTTCCTTTGTCGTGCTATCTTCAGGAATATTCGTTGAGTCCTGGGCAGCTGTAGTACTTTCTTCAGGAATGGGTGTGGAATCCTCAACCGTGGTACTTTCTTGAGGTTCAGCTGTTGTAGTTTCAACCGGAAGAGTGGTTGCATCTTCCTTTGTCGTACTATCTTCAGGAATATTCGTTGAGTCCTGGGCAGCTGTAGTACTTTCTTCAGGAATGGGTGTGGAATCCTCAACCGTGGTACTTTCGTCCGGAAGAGTAGTCGCATTATCTATTGTCGTGCTATCTTCAGGAATATTCGTTGAGTCCTGGGCAGCTGTAGTACTTTCTTCAGGAATGGGTGTGGAATCCTCAACCGTGGTACTTTCGTCCGGAAGAGTAGTCGCATTATCTATTGTGGTGCTATCTTCAGGAATATTCGTTGAGTCCTGGGCGGCTGTAGTACTTTCTTCAGGAATGGGTGTGGAATCCTCAACCGTGGTACTTTCGTCCGGAAGAGTAGTCGCATTATCTATTGTCGTGCTATCTTCAGGAATATTCGTTGAGTCCTGGGCAGCTGTAGTACTTTCTTCAGGAATGGGTGTGGAATCCTCAACCGTGGTACTTTCTTGAGGTTCAGCTGTTGTAGTTTCGTCTGGAAGAGTAGTTGCATCATCTATTGTCGTGCTTTCTTCAGGAATATTCGTTGAGTCCTGGGCAGCTGTAGTACTTTCTTCAGGAATGGGTGTGGAATCCTCAACCGTGGTACTTTCGTCCGGAAGAGTAGTCGCATTATCTATTGTCGTGCTATCTTCAGGAATATTCGTTGAGTCCTGGGCGGCTGTAGAACTTTCGTCGGGAATGGGAGTGGTATCCTCAACCGTGGTACTTTCTTGAGACTCAACTGTTGTACTTTCGTCCGGAAGAGTTGTCGGATTATCTATTGTCGTGCTATCTTCAGGAATATTCGTTGAGTCCTGCGCAGCTGTAGTACTTTCGTCAGGAATGGGTGTGGAATCCCCAATCGTGGTGCTCTTTTCAGTTTCGGTTGTAGTAGATTCGACCGGAGTTATGCCATCCTTAGACGAACTGTTTTCTTCAGGGTTTAGCATTAAATGTGTTCCGGTTGTATTACTTTGGACTTGAGTCGGTAATGAACTTTTTTTTGTTAACACTTTTATTTCATTTGTATTGTTCGTTGTGTTTCTTGTTTTTTCTTTTAGTGCCCCAACATCTTGTTTCTGTGATTTATTAAGATTATTTTTATCATGAGACAAATTACTATTAAAAGAATATTTAATAGGTATGCCTTTATTAATTTTATTGCCTTGCACTTGAAAAGTTTCTGTTTGGTCGGGCTTTGCATGCACTTTTTTTGTAAGTACCACTGTTAAAACCACACATAGTATAAAATACCTACAGGACGACTTATAATAATTCATTGTAACCGATTAACGTTCGAGTTTTATAGAGACATTTGGTCAAATGATACCTGCGCTGTGTGCATTCAATATTTATAACCCAATGAAAGCTCATTCCCCACTTATCTGGTATTTTTTTTGCGAAGCCCGTTATCTTTAAGAGGAACTCAATTGAGCAGCCGTCTACTGAAAACCAATTACGTTCAATTGTTTTTCTTTATTTTGTTTATTATGTATGTACATTTTTTCGTGTGCTTACAAAATTCTACTTCATTTAATAGCGGTTATTGCACCTCGTAGTCGTCAGAGAATTTTACTTCATTGTCGCAAGTATAGTCACACGCCTGGAGAGGTTGGTTCCAGTACAGTCCGTTTGGACAGCTAAGTTTGAACCCAATGTTATAGACACATTGGATAAATTTTGTGCAATCGGGCGGATAGGGTAAAAATGGCAGTCCAGAGGCACAGCTCAAGGATGGTGACTTCGTGGTCTCATTTCCTTCATCGGTACAGTACTGCGACTCCCAGGCGCACACATTGAGTTCAGGATCCCAATACAGTCCGTCTGGACACATTTTTAAGATTCCCTCTCCGTTCAGGCATTGATAGTATTGCCTGCAGTCAGGTGCTGGAAGAAATTGGTCTTCGTCATCACACAGGACAGGTGGTGGCAACGTTGTTGTAGGAACCTCCGTAGTTTCATCTGTTGCAGACATAGTGGAAGTATCTTCTTCACCGAACGCCGTTGAACTCACAAAGAGAGCAAACAATCCAATAATATGAAAGCCTGTAATAAGTGTATAAATGAAGAAAAACAATATTTTTTTACAATAGGACAGCAATTTTAAATTACCTCTCATGTTTTTTAATGGGTCGTTTCGCCAAAGTATAACTTTTTACTGACGATCCGTGCTTATATAGCATTGGCTTTCCGTTTATACTGAACTACTCTTCTTATTTATCTGTCTAATCTATTTTATTTACACGAGTATTGATAGCCAAAGGAAATCAGGTTTTGCTCCTATTATCAATTTATTGTTTCGCAATTTTCAACAATGTTGACTGCATTGTACGACTTTACAATATCATCGACAAAGATGTACCCTCTGAAATTAATACTAAAGATAAACAATGAAATAAAAATTAAAATACCAAATTAAATTGTTCAAAATTAATAAAAACAAGAAAGAAAGCAGCTATTGCAGGAATTAAACATTTTTAAAAAAACTTTAAAATTATGATTTACTTGCAAACTTCTGACTGAAATTATAATACCCTCTGCAAGGGTATAAAAAGGTATAACTTTTTAAAAACAACTACTTTAAGTATTGCATAGTATTGTATTCATTTGAGTTCTTACTGAGTATTTGGTTTTTGATTTTTTAATTAGTACACTTTATCGGCCGTCCTCACGTATATTGACTTACATTTAAACACTAAGTGTTCTGGGAATTTTAAACGCCTCAGTTACTTCAACTGAATCCGGAAACACGTAAATTGCGTATCAGAAAAAAAGTTAATATTGCTTGTACAATGTACACTACGAAGTGCTCTACATATAAATGTTGTCATAGACATTTTAAACTAATTATATTTCGAAGTAATTAAGTTTAGACAACTTAGATCATAGCCTTATAAATTCCAATATTAGCCTTATAAATTCAATATTAATAAAGTCGCAAAAACAATTCAAGTTTAAACCTAAAAGATAAGTAATTAATTACTTTTTTGTGTAACTAGGGGAAGTCCCTAGTTGAACGGCGAAACGTTTAAGTGCTAATACTTTTTTTTAGGTTTTTATACCCTTGCAGAGGGTATTATAATTTCAGAGACGTTTCCGACCCTATAATGTATATATATTCTTGATCAGCGTCAGAGTCGGTCTAGCCATGTCCATCGTTCATCAAAATCGGACGACTATAACTTAAAGTTTCCATAGAAACAATAAAAATATAAAAAAACAAGAAAGAAAGCAAACTTCGGCAAGCCGAAGTTCATATACCCTTGCAGCTATTGCATGAATTAAATACTTTTGAAAACATTTAAATTATGATTTACTTGAGTATATGCTGAAAAACATTGAAACTATGATGATTTGCAGCTCAATTATTATATAGTTATTTTATATATTTTTATTATTTCTATGGGAGCTATATGATATAGACGTCCGATTTTGATAAAATTTAAACCATAATTCTGAAATAATTAACATTGCTATATGTCGAAGAACTAAACAAAAAATTAAAAAACAAAAAAGTTATAATTTTTTTTCATTTATTTTTCCGATTGTTCCTATGGGAGCTATATGCTATAGTCGTCCGATTTTGATGAAATTTAAAACATAATTCTGAAATATTTAACCATTACTAAATGTCGAAGAACTAAACAAAAAATTAAAAAACAGCAAAGTTATAATGTTTTTTCAATTATTTTTCCGATTGTGCTAATGGGAGCTATATGCTATAGTCGACCGATTTTGATGAAATTTAAACCGTAAATCGGAAATATTTAACCATTACTATATGTCGAAGAACTAAACAAAAAAATAAAAAACAGCAAAGTTATAATTTTTTTTCATTTATTTTTCCGATTGTTCCTATGGGAGCTATATGCTATAGTCGTCCGATCCGGCTCGTTCCGACTTATATACTACCTGCAATAGAAAGACAACTTTTGGGAAAGTTTCATGCAGATAGCTTTAAAACTGAGAGACTAGTTTGCATATAAACGGACGGACAGACGGACAGACGGACAGACGGACGGACAGACGGACGGACAGACGGACAGACGGACATGGCTAGATCGACTCTACTAGTGATGCTGATCAAGAATATATATACTTTATAGGGTCGGAAACGTCTCCTTCACTGCGTTGCAAACTTCTGACTGAAATTATAATACCCTCTGCAAGGGTATAAAAATATATGTTGAACAAATGTAATTTTTCTATTTTCTAATTTTTTTTATTCTTTTTGACTTATTTATAATTTGACAGTTCAGAATTACGATTTTAGTTTTATTAAAATCGGAAAACGATTTACGCATAAATATATAATAGTAATAATATACATTTAAAAAACCAGGTTTTCATTTTTTAAAAATCGGTGGGCTGTCAAGGAAGTAATCTAAAAATAAAAAGATAAGCCGGTATGACTTTTTGGTTTACCATATACGCATTTAACCCGACACTTTAGTGTTTTTCCGTTTTATAGTTGATATAAGAACAATCTCAAAATTTGTTAGTAAATCGACATATCTTGATTGTTTTTAAACTTATAGTATAAACTTTGACGATGCTTCTTCTGTTGGAGCTTGAAAGCTGGAAATTAAATTACGCAAAAGTTAAAAATATTTGCCAAAACTAAATACTAACTTTTTTATTCGTTCTTCGCAAAAGCACACATTTAATGTGTAATAGGTTCAATAAAAATCAGCTCTCAACAATACCAAAACAAATACGTTTTACTAATATCTATTAATTTTCTCATTAAAAATCATAAATGTTTAGACAATCGTTCAAACTATTTAAGTTTCTATGATTTTGGAAAACAATATCGGGAAGTCTATATATATATATTTTTAATTTTAATTTTATACATTTTGTCCAAACTCAACTAAAAGATATAAATTGTTATCTTCTTTAAGTCGTCACTGTCCGTTTAGAATACCGTTTATTTATTATCACAAAGTCACTACCTTTACTACCGTTTGCACCAGCCCATCAGAACTGATAATAATCTTAACAGTTACTGGTACACCTATTATCTAATCACGACAACTTTCTGATAAGTCAATTACTTGATCTTGAAATCCTGATGTACAGGGAATGCCAATAATTTGGTTTTAATTAAAATTGGTAGTTGTAAGTTAAAAATTCAAAGTAAAGTTTGTAATGGCGCAAAGAGACTAGCTTAGCCATTTATAGTAAAGGTATTATTAGGCACCATAAGACCCATTCTTTCTATAAGAGCTTTAAGATTTAAACAAACTGAAAAGCATTTTTCGGAATCTTAACTTTAGATGACTTGACATAATGATTTCACTTGCTATATTTTGATTGTGCCTGTTTTATTAGATTGCTTCTATACTTTGAATTCATTATCAATCAAATTATAACAGTCTCATCATGTTTGACCAAGGTGGTGATAATGAGAACACTTTAGAGTCTTGTTTTATGCTAATTAAAGGCTGAATCTGATGCAGTAAGAAATGGTATAAATGCACCGTCAACTGAGTAGTATTCGTTGGCCTGAATTGCAAGTCGACTGATCGTTCTTACGATGAGATGTAAGTACCGGAAGAGAAACTGAATTATATCCGTTTGCATTAAAGATAAACATTTTTGGGTTCAAGTGGTCTGGATATTGATGTCGCTGCAGCTTATGCTCCTGGCAACTGCCCTTAGTGCGAGAAGATGTATTACCCCAACTAAGGCTCCAACTACCACAGAGGATCCTGATGACCCCACTGATGATCCCTGGGATCCCACGGATGACGACTCAACTGAGGACCCATCGGATCCAACGGGAAAACCCACTGAAGTGCCCACTCAACAGCCTTCGGATGCCACACCTACTGAAGAACCATCGAAGCCAACTGAAAATCCATCGGCTTCCACTGAGGAAACATCGCAACCCACAGAAGTTCCCACTGAAAAACCCTCGGATCCCACTGAAAATCCCTCGGATCCCACTGAAAATCCCTCGGATCCCACTGGTCTACCAACTGGGGAATCGTCGGATCCCACGAATGAAACCACAGAAAACCCCTCGGATCCCACGGGTCAATCTACAGAGAAGACATCAGCAGTTCCCAATGATCCCACTACTGATCCCTCGGTTCCATCGGAAGACACCACTGAGGCCCCGTCAGAAACCACATCTGAAGATTCACAGAGCTCTTCGGACGATCCGGGAAGCACTGGGACACCAACTGAAGAACCACCGAATCCGAGTGAATCAACTGCTACTCCTTTGTCCACGTTTTCACAGACGAACGGAACCACCGAACCCATTCCCAGCGTGGATGCGAATGCCTCGTGTCGGGCTCATCAGGGAGTCCAGTTCCTGCCGCATCCCTACGATTGCCATCTATACATTCACTGCAACGGGGATGTGGGGTACGTCCAGGATTGCCCCAGTGATCTTTTCTGGGATTCAATCACCCAGACCTGCGCCAAACACTGCGCCTAGGCAAATAAAGTACTAAGAATAGCATGCTCTTAAAAATCATTATTCTCCTCTACTGGGTTTCCTTGTAACTTTTGAGTGATCTTGAGCTTGAACACGACCATGTTCGTGACATTCATTCATAACTTTGCGAATTCCGAACACCAAATTTTGGGGAGTGGCTACACCGCGAGAGGTGATGACTTCCAGGAACTAAGGGCGCAGAGTTCACACCTCAATTAGACCGACATGATGGGCGCATGTCTAACATGATCAACATAATTGAAGGCGATAAGGGAAACTTAAGTCTGGCAGTCAGCGCTAATGATGTATGTATATAAAAGGCATCAAATTTTTGGCAATGATGCGGAGTACATTTCGACCATCACAAGTGGAATAATACAAGTGAACAAAATGAAAGGTGAGCACGATCCTAATGGTATATAGGACTCTAAACATTCTTTCCCATCTCCAGTTACTCTGCTAGCTGTGGTGACACTCACTGCAGTGGCTGCCCTCGTTGGAGCCGCCGATCCTGAGTGTATATATCGGAAAATTCGAGGACTCTCGAAGCATTGGCCGAAACCCCAGAGTTGCTCCAGCTACTACCGCTGCTCCTCGAAGAACACCGTCCGCACAGTGACGTGTCCGCTGGGCAAGGAGTACAATCCCAAGACCGGCAAGTGCTCCAATGCAGGACGCGGTCTGTGCATGCTCAGCCTGGTAGCTCCGCTTTCTGAGGTAAAAACTATACACTTGATTACATCCGACACTCCTTTAGTAAAAGGGTATATGGTATTCGGTCAAATGTGCCAGTATGAACTTCGAGATTTTGGAAACTCTAAAAGCTGGAGAATTTGCATTGTACATGCAGTTTCTAGTTATGTTCCAAAATGTGGCCACGCCCAGTCTAACGCCCACAAATCGCGAAAATCTGTTGTGTCACTTTGACATTTATTCGGCTAAAAACTATCGAGACACACAAAATGTTTCAAATCGAACTTTTATTTTAAAAGCTATTAGCATAATTGTACATTTTCGGTAGATGGTGCTACTAAAACCCGATTACTTTCAAGGGGGCTCACTTAGTTTGAAAATGGTTAGCTCATCTAATAGTCCATTTTATGTCTTTCACTGAAAACTAATGAAATGGCTTACTAAATAATCACCTTTTCTCTATCCCAACCCATATAATTGCAATCCCATCTGGTGCAGACCACCAATCTGTGCACCAACGAGGTGAACGGTGCTTACCTGGCCAATAGTGGTTCCTGTGCTGAGTTCTACATCTGCGATGAGCAGTTGGCCTATCCGCAGAACTGCGATTCCGGCAGTTACTTCAACGAGACACTGAGTGCCTGCATTCCGGATCCGAATGCCACTTGCTGGCAGAACCTGTGCGTCGATAAGGTGAACGGAATCTCCCTGCCAAACGAGGACAACTGCGGCAGCTACTATGAGTGCTCGGATGCGAAGACCACCCTGCAGACTTGTGCCTTGGGCAGCTTCTTCAACTCTTCGGTTGGTGCTTGCACCGTCGATACTGGAAACTCGCAGTGCTGGGTCAACTTCTGCATTGGAAAGGCTGATGGATCGGCTGTGGCCGAAAAGTCCAGCTGCTCCGTGTATTACGTGTGCTCCGACAACACGGCCACCGTCCAGGAGTGTCCCGAAGGCAGCCACTTCGTTGACAATGACTGGGGCTGCGTGCCCGGCCCTTGTCCCACGGAGGCTCCTTGCGATGATACGACGACCACAACCACCGAGCCCTGTGATGATTTGACGACCACAACCACCGAGCCCTGCGATGAGGTAACCACCATAACCACCGAACCCTGCGATGAGGTCACCACAGAACCGCCGACGTCCTGCGACTGTGGCGACGTCAAAAATACCGAATTCACTCCCTATCCGAACAACTGTCGCAAGTACTACATCTGCATCAATGGCACCCTGGTGGCCGGAGACTGCGGCAAGGGCAACATGTTCAATGCCACCCATGGCGTTTGTGTGGTGGACGAGGGGAACGAGTGCTGTGTGGTGGATTGCTCGGACGGAGATGTGAGCCTGGATGCCCAGGACTGCACGAAGTACTTCAAGTGCGTCAATGGCGCCTGGACTTCAACGCCCTGTGCAGCTGGTAGCTACTTCAACTCGGTTCTGGAAGAATGCCAAGTAGATGAGAATAATGTGTGCATTTCAAGAAAAATCACCTCCATCACTACTGACCAGTGCAGTGAACGAGATCCGCCAGCCCGCGGCAAGAACTGCTGGAGCTACCAGGTCTGCATCGATGGGCAGTGGCAGGACGAGACCTGTACCAACGACTACTACTTCGACGCCACCGTGGGCATCTGCCGGGCGGACTCGGACAACGTTTGCCCCGAAAACAGGTCGAGTGGATCGCGCCAGAAACGAAGTGCGGAGGACTGCACCTGCGAGGGCGGCATCGAGCAGGGCAGCATCGTGAGTCATCCCACCGATTGCGACAAGTACCTGATCTGCGAGAATGGCCAGCTGGTGGAGGGCCTCTGCGGCATGGGCAATGTGTTCAAGAACTGCAGCGGCGTCTGTGCCCCGGACACCAAGGCCACCTGCTGGGTGTGCTCCAACAAGCCGAATGGCTACCAAATGCCCAATCCGACCGACTGCACCAGCTACCTGACCTGCTGGAACGGCCTGGCCACGGAGCACAAATGTGGGGCGAGCGAGTGGTACAATGGCTATGGAGAGTGCGCCGTCGATGTGAACGCCAAGTGCATCAATCCCTGCACCTGCGGCAACGGCAACGTGGCCCACCCCATCTGCACCAAGTACTTCAAGTGCACGGACGGAGTGGCCCAAGTGGTCCAGTGCAACGCCGGCGAGGCCTTCGACTCCGCCACTGGTCTCTGCTCCGCCACCGTGGAGTGCTCGGCCAAGAACTGCGCCACCGCCACTGATGGCACCACCTATCCCGTGGCCGGAGACACCAGCAAGTTCTACAACTGCCTCAACCAGGTGGCGACCATTGAATCCTGTCCGGCCAACTCTGGATACTCAACAGTCCTGGGCATATGCCAGTCCCAGCCCAGTGTAAGTTACTTCAGGTCTTTATAGCATCAAATAACATTTAATTATACCAGCTTATAGCTCTATGACATAACATAGCTTTTCTTTGAAAACTTTTAACATTATTGTCTTCAAAAACATTTTAAAAATTTCTTTAGAAATTAAAGAAACAAAAATTGATCGTAGTGGCTAAAAAATTATATAGTATTACAACCAGTTTAGACAATATTAAAAGCTATAGGACTTCCGATTACAAATCAGAAAAAGTTAAATCTTTTTAAAAGAGATTGTGGCCCTTTAACCAAATCCTCATCTAGATTCTCATCTGAACTTTAATGAAACCGTCACTCAATTAAAGCTTCAATGCAGTGTCATAATACTATAAGCGATACACAAAAATGTTTTATGTATTTTTTTATGTATTGAAAACAATTGTATTCTTGACATATTTGTTTGAAATACCTTTGAGAAAATATTGAAAGATATTCTTAATTAATACATAAAAGTTTAGAATAATACTGAAAAACAATAATAATATATCTTATCATGCTTTTAATCTTAAAAATCCATTTAACCAACTCTAGTCCGATTGCAACCAGAACGTGTGCAAGACTGCCGCTGAGTACTCGACTTACCCTTCTCTGAATAACGACACCTCGACCTTTTGCATCTGCCAAGATGGTGGCGGTTATATCAACTCCTGCCCCACGGGTTTGTTCTACGACGAAACTGAAGAGAGCTGCACTTTCGTAAGTGGTATAGGTGTGTTATATTTCCAAATAATTAACCCATTATTTGTCCAACTGCAGACAGGAAACTGCGATCCTCAGGTCTGCAACGGGCAACCGGAGTACTTTGTGTCCCAGGATTACGAGGACCCGAATAGTTTCTGCCTGTGCCGCGCCAACGATCCCGTCTCAGTGCCCTGCCCCATTGGCTACACCTTTGACAGCGAGGAGCTCGAGTGCGCCCTCATTCCCCAGGCTGATGTAAGTCCCTAAGATAAGTCCAACAAATAATAGTTAACACTGTGATTTCCTATCCCCATTCTAGCCACGTTGCTGCGCCAATGGCTGTGTGGGAAAGTCGGACTTCGATACTCTTCCGGCCGTGGCTACTACCGATGGCTTCTGCGTCTGCGTGGATGAGGTTCCCCAGTACACCAGCTGTCCAGGCGACTCCCAATATGACTCTAATCTGGCTAGTTGCGTTAGCACTGGGGTATGCATTTGTTAGCGATGATGTATTGTAGTTCGGCTTTCTTTAGTTGTTATAATTATTCACAGAGCGAAACCACTTGTCCGGCAAATGGCTGTGATGCCAGCATTTGCGAGACCATGCCCGACTACGATATGTTCCCCATGGAGGGCGATTCATCCAGCTTTTGCTACTGCCTCAACTACTGCCCAATCTCCTTCGCCTGTCCCGATGACCTGGTCTTCGACTCAAAAGTTGGAATTTGCTCCGAGCCAGTGGTAAGTGTATCTCATCAGCAAATTGGAGCAAATTGGAGCAAACTAAACATTACTATGTATATTGCCAGGATCCCTGTGCTGTCTCTAAGTGCAATGCCGAACAATGTGATATCCTGGCAGAGTACACACCTTACCTGCCCAACGATGGACAGGATGGCTTCTGCTACTGCGAGGGTGGTCTGCCCAACTACTTCCCCTGTCCCGAGGGACAGGAATTCTCTACGGCCCTGGCAATTTGCAAAACGCCTGTGGTAAGACCACAACCTTAGGGTATAATTAAGACATTTAACATGATTGTTGCAACTTTTCCAGGATGGCTGTGTGACCAGCGAATGCGATGCCAGCAAGTGCGCCACCTTGAGCGATTACGTGCCCTTCCCAACGAACTCGGCCAGTGAGAATAGCAACTCCTATTGCTACTGCTATAACGGTGAGGTCTTCCTGGAACAGTGCAGCCCCGATATGGTGTACCTTCCTGAATACGAGCGGTGCGGAGTGGTGGCGGTAAGTTAATATAATATATATCCTTAGTCAAAAGTTTGAAAAGCACTTCATTTTCCGTTTAAAAAACAGATTGCTGTTTTTTTCTAATATAATGGTTTTATTCAATTATTCAATATTATCAAAAATGGATGATGGTATCCCATAGCTGTCGTATATATCTGAAGTACATTACTTAATGATAAAAACAATATATTTGTAATCATTTTTGTAATGACTGCAGGGGCATTACAACTTGTGTCCTTTTATAATTAGTGGTACAAGCTCATATATCAGAATATGTATGCACTTATAATTTCTAAACTTTGGCTTACCAAAGATAGCTTCCTTATTCGTTTAATCCATGGTTCATTTCACGGCTTTCAGGCATCCGAGTGCGTTTGCAAACCGGGTCAATGCGGCACCTCCGACGACTATTACTCCTATAGTGCTCTCAACACGACTGAGGGCTTCTGCCTGTGCGTGGCCGGAACTCCGGTCTTCAAGGATTGTGCGGCGGGTGAGGAATACGACGCCGTTGTAGGTGCCTGTCTGTCGGGGGCCTCCAAGATCACAGCCTCCAGCATCTGCGACCACACCCGATGCAACAACCGTGCCCTTCTGTCCGCCACTTTTGCCGCCTCCAATACGACCAGGGGCTACTGCACCTGCCAGGAAGTGGGCTTGTCCACCTTCGTGGGCTGTACGGACGAGCACGTTTACGAGGATAACGTGGGATCCTGTGTGATCGCGGCCTGCGACTACACCAACTGCTTGAAGCGAGCTCCGTTCGAGGCTTTTGAGGCGATGAACACCACCGAAGGATTCTGCTCCTGCGACGGCGTGGCCTCCTTCCACCATTGCGAGAAGGGATTCACGTTTGACAAGGACCAGGGACTGTGTCAGCTGAAGGACGCCATGTCGATGATCTCCTGCAACCTGATGGAGTGCGTCCGGCGAGGCCAGTTCGAGCCCTTTGCCGCCCAAAACACCAAGTCCGGCTTCTGTTCCTGCGATGACCAGGAAAAGATCAGTGTCACCTACCATCCCTGCGCCCAGGGGCAGGAATTCGTCCCCGAACTCGGCCTTTGCTCGAGCCACAGCGTCCAGAAGCGCTCCGTGGAGACGGAGGAAAACGTAAGGTCCATCTCCCTGTTCAAGAAATTCTTCCCCACACTCTTCTAAGCCGGTCACGGCCTAGCCTTCTATACTCCTATTCTACCCTATAACATTAGTTGTTATCTATGAGTTACGGTTTATGTGAATGTTCCGCTTGTTCCACTTCTATACGTATTTAATACCCAATAATGTACCTTACCCACATATGCGCTATAATAAATTCAAAATAGATGAATTACAAAATGTCGGCTTTTCATTTGTGTACCTATAGAATGGAACATGTGGATTTTGTCCATCTGTCAGATAAAGGGAAAATTTTCAACGAGATGGGGAGTTTAAGAGGGGGCATATTATTTAAAAAAAAAATTAATGGAGACCCTGATCTTTGAATAGAAATGAAAAAGAATTTTGATTTAATTTTGCGTAAAAATATAAATAGTATTTGGCATTATAACTATACTATTAAATGCATTCTGCCGTAGAAACATTAAAAATACCAAGAGCAGTTCTGTTATTTTCTGTTAGTTTCAACAAATTCTGATACTGAAAGCGGTCTAATAGTACATTTAAAAATGTTTTAAAAATTAGTACAAACTTTTTCCCTTGTTATTTCACGATAAATCCAATCTATGGGCTGCAGCTCAACAGCTCCATAATATTAATATTGTATCTTAAAAAAATGTATTATTAAATCAAGTCACATTCTTTAATATTTTTTATAGATATGTGACATGGATGAGAAGCGTTCGGTGCCAGCGAACTGTTCGCAGTACGAGGTCTGCATCGATGGCCACTGGCGGCGACGCACTTGCTCTGACCAGCGGTACTACAACCCGGAGCAGCAACGCTGCCTGGAGCCCCGCGATGACTTGGTCTGTGCCTACGCCAGGGTATCGAATCTGCCGGCCTGCAGCAGTTCCAGTGAGTCCCAGACACTTGTGGCCAAAAGTGGCAGCTGCCTGCAGTACTTCCGGTGCTCCGGTGGCAAGTGGCGTCTGCGAAACTGCCCCAAGCAGCACTACTACTCATCCGTGATAGGATCCTGTCTGCCACTGCCCAAGGGCCACGAGCAGGACCGGAATCAGACCATTTGCAGTTGGGCCAGAAACCAGACAGCTGGGTATTCCTCTCAGCACTGTCAGCACCTGGCAGTGCGTCCCTCGGCGGCGGGAGGCTGTCAGAGCTACCTCATGTGCCTGGACAACTCCTGGTGGCTGCACCAGTGTCCTCTGGGCATGTACTTCAGCCGGGAGCACAACTATTGTCTGCCCAACGATGCCGGCCAGTGCTCCCTGCCGCCGGAGCAGAGTGGGGGTGACTGCTCCGATGGGGAAAGTAGATCCCTGGTGGCCAGTTGCCACAGCTATGAGCTGTGCTCTGGTGGCCAGTGGACGAGGAAGCGCTGTGAGGAACGGGAGCAGTTTGAGCCCCTGCTGGGCTGTGTGCCCAGCGATGGGAGTTGCCAGGACAACGGGATGAGACGCATCTGTCGGGAGGGAGAACTGCGGTCGCAGTTCGGAGGCAACTGCTCCCAGTCATTCCTCTACTGCCAGGCGGAGGAGTGGCATCTGGGCAGCTGCCTGAGGGGACATAGTTTCGCCGCCCATTTAGGCAGGTGTCAGTTGCAATCGCAATGCCAACCGAAGACGAAGGATCTGGCCCCGGAGAACCAGTGTCTGGGTCAACCGGATGGCCTGAGCGTGCCCGATCCCACGGATTGCACCAGGTTTTACCTCTGTCTGCAACAGGTGACCGCCATCCCCCAGAGCTGCCCCTCTGGCAGCTTCTTCGACGCCATCCAGGGATACTGCCGACCGAACGATGGCTCCTGCCAGCTGGCCATTTGCTCGGGACAAGATGACAAGCTGGTGGCTCATCCGGAGGATTGCCGATCCTACTACAGCTGCTCCAGCCAGAATGGCACCAGTCTGCTGCAGTGTGACGAGGGCCAGTACTTTCACAGCCTGCTCTCGATCTGCCGCGTGGATCACGGCCAGTGCCGCTCGGACTCGAATTCGAGCGACTCGGAAAGTGCCCCCAAGCTGTGCTCCGGTCTCCATGGAGTGAAGCTGCCGCACGAGCTCTACTGCAACCTGTACTACGCTTGCGTCAGGGGATTAGCCGTTCCAGTGGAGTGTCCCGCACGGCATCAGTTCAATCCGGTGCTTTCCATCTGCGAACCGGAATCGCAGGCCGTTCAGCTGTGTGCCAATGGTCAGCTGCAGGGCAATGTCAGCTATGTCTACAGTTGTGGAAACCTGCAGGATGGCAGCTTCCTGGCCAATCGGACGGACTGCACCCGGTACTTCATCTGCGTCGGAGGAAGGGCCACCGCACAGCGCTGTGCCGCCGGAACCTTCTTCGATTCGGAGCAACTGCTCTGCCTTGCGGACGACGGTTCCTGCCCACTGGTGGAATCCGTTCCCGATGACGGCGGCGACGATCCCAACAACCAGCATGTGCCCCCCGATCCGTTGGTCTGCGAGGGCAAACATGGATATATAATGCCCGATCCGGCCAACTGCAACAACTTCTATCTGTGCGTCTCTGGGAAACTGCGCCATGAGCTCTGCTACACGGACCACTTCTTCAATGCCACATTGCAGCAGTGCCAGGCGTATGAGGTCAGTGCGGATGGGGATGCCCCAACGGAGAAGCCCCTAGAGACCCGGCAGTCGGAGCTGAGTGGCCTGGAGAAGACTGCAGATGCAACCGGAATCTGCAAGGATGTAGCCACCACCTTCGCCGGAATCTGTGGCGTCATCGGAAATGGTGCCTCCGTGGCGGAGCAGGGCGATTGCAGGCGGTACACCAGCTGCGACGACGACGAGCCCGTCTCCCAGCGATGTCGCAATGGGGAGAGCTTCGATAGCCTTTTGGGCATCTGCCGGCAGAACGATGGCACCTGTCTCATGGAGAACGGCGAACGGGTGGGCGTGTGCAACGGAAGACATGGCCAACTGGCACGGGATGCGGCCAACTGCCGGGGATACTTCACCTGCGTCCACGGCCAAAAGATCGAGGGCGAGTGCGACCAGGGGCAGTTCTTCAACAGATTGACCAGCAGCTGCGAACTGGACGTCCTGCAGCAGTGCAAAAGCGATTCGGAGGACGTCATCAGCGGTGCACTCTTGATCTGATTTAATTACGTTTAACTTTTGGTGGTGGTTAAATACATACATACATATACTTCAAAAGCTTAAGCAATAGTGACTTTAATGAAGTTTTAATCATAACTATTAATGGATGCCCATTCAAAACCATAAACTATTTGATAACCATACATATACATATGTATACATATGTATGTACATAGGATATTGATTACTGTTATTTTAGATCAGGGGTGCTCAAAACTTATGGCCTTATGGCAGTGCATTTACTAACACATTTAAAAAATAACACGAACACAAGTAAAGAATTTTAGTGTAAGGCCGAGGAAAAGACAAAAACAAATTTCATTTGACTTAGGCATCCAAAAAAAAAACAAACAATGTAATTGTTGTTGGCTTGCCTCGGTCTTATCAGTAACGAATTGGACCGCAAGGAAGAAACGAAAAATTGCTAGTGTAAAGCAAGATGTGACCAGCAAGCTTACTTATGTATGTATGTATGTGTATGTGCATTTACAAAAACAATTATGCACCCCTGTTTTAAATATTCTGCCAATTATTGAAGTATTAAAGAATTCCTATTAATATTTATTTTCTAAAGTTTTCAATACACAATTAAATAAGAGAAAATCAATATGTAAAACTGTGATATAGAAAGGTTATTTCTGTTAATTAAAAAAATAAGACTCAATTTTGCATGCCTTAATTTTTAAACATTACTTTTACTTCGTTATTAAAATGATAATGTCAATCAAAGCCGAAAGAAAAAAACGGAAAAACGGTCAAATCAGCACGCACTTACCCCCGAAATAACCAAACAAAGCCAGGGTCTCGGAGTTATAAGTGACGTGCATTCAATCAAAATAGATTTCCAGTCGAACAATAATAGTACTTACAACATACGAGCACCAGACATTGTCGCATTGGACTCTATTTTTATGGTCACAAATTTGAGCGAGTACGCAACAAGGGTGCGTTGTTGAGGGTGCCCCTGGGATAGCTTCATTCAAGTGCGATATTAATTTGGTCTATAGGTCAACCGCCATTACATATGTAAGAGCTAAAACGCTATGGCTACCAAAGACCCTGAGAAAAACTGACGTCATTTACCACAATCAACTCCGTGGGCAGGAAATGTTTGCCTGGACAGTCGGCCTGATTTAAAATTAGAAAGTCATCACGAAGCACCTCGTGCAGCGAGTCAAATACCATATTAATAGGATATTCGTGTTAAAAGTACCGACCGCATATCCCCCAGACCCATTCTAAATGCGTATCAAATACGGTATGGCCAGTGATGGGCAAGTATGGATTGGGTATACCTTTGTTGGCTATAAAATCTGAAAAGGTTTACTTTACTTCATATGTGAAACTTAATTCTGGTTTATATACAATTTCAATAATAATCAAGCAAATGGGAAATTTAAATATACAGTGTAAGGAGTATGTTAATGTGTAAGGCCTACAACAACTTCAAGTCATTCGATATACATATCTTGATCTCATTTGTTTTTCATTTCTATACAGCTCTTAAGAAAATTATATTTCTTCTTATCGGTGAATAGTCCCAATGGATAGCATTCCCTATAAAGGTATCCACGTAGGTACAAATGCCAAGATACCAACACTGCGGATAGTACTCCCTCCATGGTCGTATTCTCGACGTCCACTCAGCGAGAGAGAGCCGCTACTACGAGTACTACCGTGATTACCTATCTGTCCCAGAGTGTCACTGTCCACTGGCCAATGGGTCATAGCTCCAGGTCGGCCAATCGGTCGGGAACCGTCGTGGGGAGCGGTACTCCATATGCAGAGCGGGAGTGTCTAAGTGCTAAGTGCTGTTACAAGTGGTCACCAGGATGGACGTGCGAGCGTGTGCCTGGATAATGTGAACCTTGATTGAAAGATAATAACTACAAGCCACACAAAATCAATAGTGGGTCAGTTCGAACTGAAGAGAGAGAAATTAGTTAGTTACTTACAGATCCTAAGCCGATCTGATGTTGTGAATGTGAGACCGTAAGACTCATCAACTGAACTCCAGCTGCATCTGAGTGAAAGTGGAAGCCGCAAATCAATAATCGATTACTCATATACCATATTGCTGGGAACCGACAGGAGCGAATCAATAGACCTTCAATTGTTGTGATTACTTCAATGGCATGGGACTTTTCACAACTGCCGACAAACGCTGACATTTCCAGGACGTCCGTCGCACGCTTATTAGTGATCCAGGTACGAGTTCGAGTCCGCGAATGGATTTGTTTGTCTGCCGCCCATTGGCTATCCACTGACCCCCACATTGCCATACCCACACACACACAGTGCACATATCCCAATACCAAATCTAGGCCAATTATTTAGAACTATTGGCGTTCGTCCGCCTGGCAAAGTGTTCACCACTCGTAGCAACAAGTTTGATTCCCCCCCTCGCAATCTGCGACGACCCAACTGGACTCGCTCCCATGGTGCACTCCATGGTGGCTAATGTTAATGTGAAGGCATTATTCCCGATGGCATTCGCCTTCCCCCATCCCCCATACCCTTATCCAAACCCAAAGACTATATAAACACCGTCCATGGGTCAATGTCGAATGCGTGCGCGAGTTCAGCTTTTGATTGGAACGCGTTGGCAAATGAAGATACAAATACTCTTCAGGGTATAAATTAACGCCCAGCTCGAGGCCAGTAGTATAAACATACATGAATAGTTAATGTCCGCTGGACTCTCGTCGAATCGGGGGATAAAAGTATGTGCAGCAAAACAGCTTTTGATTGACAGCCCACTAGAGGGCCGAACTTGATACTTTAAATAGTTTATCATGGGTAACGGAGCAGGTGGCTCCGAAGCGAGCCTTCAAACTAGGCCAAATTATAAAGTGGCCCCAAATGACCCGCCGCCCTTCCAATTACGATCCACAGAGCTCCATGACGCCATAGCTCCTGGCCAGCGACGACGATGAGCAGTCACGAAGGAAGGTCCGGCGAGAGGTCACACGTCTTTCAGATCCGCATCGACAGCGTCGAGGATGAGAGCACCGCCCCCATAACGGAGGCCAGTTCTCGGGAGGATCTCATCAGCAGCGCAGCCCGGGAGGCCGACAGGACCAGCGAGCAGTGCCTCTTTCAGTTTCCCAGTGAGTGAAAAGGGGCAGTAATTATAGGGGACTTTCGAAAAAATTACACAGTGGCTTATGAAAGCTATTCTTAGAATATTTATAGTATAACTTTCTCAACTTTCAACCTTTTCAACTTCAACCTGCTACAAAATAATATTAATACTATCTAACTTTCGAAACTCGGTAGTTTCCTGCCAACAATAAAATTCGAATTATGGAAAGTTCGGGGTATTAATTGCTTTGACTATAATAAAATAATAATATATAATATAATAGGGACATATTCTCGTTATTGCAACTTTGAGTTGGGAAAGTTTCGGTTATTCAATTTTAATATTGGTTTAACTTAAATGTTCGTATCTTGATGAGCCAATTGTTATCATTTTTGTTTTCTAAAAATTAATTAATTAATTAATTGAAGTGGTTGCCAATTGAAACTATAAGAATAATTAATTATTTTACTTAGTATTTGTTTAACTTAAAAAGTTTTCTGTTTATTGAATTTGGGGAGAAGTCAGCTAAAAGAACTGTGGGAAGATTAGCAATGATACAAATTCCAACCCCAAAATATACAAATGATTTTCCTGCAGGATTCCTTTCGGTGCCAACGCTGCGAAGTCCGCGTCAATCCCCAGACCCCTTCACCCGGAGGCAGGTGATGTCCAGTCCGGCGAAGAGCGAGCGCCTGAGCCGCCGGAGCCAGACAAAACCACGACCACGAAGACTCAGCCAGGATAGTGGCATAGTGGCAGGCAGATTGATTGGCTACGGAGTAAGTCCGACTTATGTCTTGACTCCCCCTGATTAATAATCCAGCAACCTTTATCCACAGGAGAGTGCTCTAATTGACGCCGATCTGCAACCAAGACCACTTAGAAAGGAAAAGACAGTTGACATATACCGCTGCCAAGGGGAAGATAATGAACTAGTGGAGAATAGCAAGCCCGCCACTCCGATTCCGCCCAAAACCAAGCTGAGCGCCAATCGGACTCGAGCAGGATCAGCTGCGTATACGGAAAAGTGGCTCAACTCCTCGGTGATGCGGACCAGCAATGGCAATCCCCTGTTCCCCAAATCCAACTCGATTGCTGTGCCGCTGCCTACGCACCTGGAATCGGAATCCGCAGAACCCAGTCCCACGCAGGCCTTTGGACCCAAGATCGTGGGCAGCAATGAGGAGGACATTCCGGGCACAGCCATGCGAAGGAGCCTCGGTCTGAACTTGAGTGCCACACTGGGCTCAGCTGACCGAGTGAACCAGTCATATGAGATTATGGAGTCGTCGCACTCGAACGTTTTACCCGACCAATTTGGGTACCGCCAACTCGTACCCACGGAACGGAAGACCTCCGATGCCATGAGCTCCGTCAGCGGCAGCTACTACGGCAGTCGGAAGGCCAGCAAGAGCAATAGCCTGGGTGGCGAGTCCGGAGACGAGAGAAGGGTCAGCAAGCAGGACCGGGAGGGCTTGGACCCGGAGTCGCTGATGTTCCGGGACGGCAGACGCAAGGTGGACATGGTGCTGGCCTGGGAGGAGGAGGACCTGGGCGTCATGACCGAGGTGGAGGCCAAGAAACGCGACAACCGGCGCTGCTTCATGGAGAACCTCATCAAGGAGGGACTCGAGGTCGAGCTGGAGGACAAGTCGCAGTCCTTCAACGAGAAGACCTTCTTTTTGAAGATCCACCTGCCGTGGCGCCTGGAAACACGGCTGGCCGAGGTCATGAACCTAAAGCTGCCCGTCAAAAGATTCATCACCATATCCGTGAAACCATCTTGGGTAAGTGCCTCATATTGTAAGCCCTTTGAAAGCCCTTTAAAATCGGTGTTTTTATAAACAGGACGAGGAGAACGTTGTTCTTAGAAACGTGCAGTATTGGAAGGACGTGTGGCAGCGCATGACCAAAAGGATTCAGTTGGACCAAACCCTTTTGGAGGGAGAGACTACATTTAAGGCTGCAACAGCTGGTGGCAACCCAGAAGAGCAGTGAGTTAAACAAAATTAACAAATGCCTATGTATAGAAATCGTTAATTTTGGCTTTCAAAATTGTTCAGTTTCGTAATGCAGTAAACTGTTGTTGTTGTACTGTTTAAAGTCTTTTGACCGATCCCCTCATTTCTATGTAGCTTACTGATATGTGTATGATCTCATGAGTCAATTTACTATATTCCTTATTTTGAACGAAGATTTACTTTAAGAAGATTAATGAGGGTGTATTGAAAACGGATGACTTTATGTTTTTGAACGAGATCAAAACTTTTACTATTACTATATTAAAAATATAGTAAAATACGTAATACAACTTAACAAGTCAGCTGAGTTGATTAAAATAAAGTAAAATACTTAATACTTAGCCACTCAGCTGAGCTGATATATAATATAAATACCCAAGGCATCACAATTTTTTTTAATTTTAAACATTCATTTAAGAAAACAAATGAATATTATATTAATAACCAAAATATTATTATTATCCTGCCACAGATTTATTGTGAAGGACCGGGCGACGGCCTTCACCAGTGCGCAGCGTTCGCTGATGGTGATGCAGGTGCTCATCCGGACGCCGTTCGACGAGAGTGACCGCAATGGCATCCGGCGGCTGTTGAACGACGGCACCTACCTGGCCTGCTTCCCGCTGCACGAGGGGCGGTACGACCGGCCGCACTCCAGCGGCATCTCGCTGGACCGCCGGGTGCTCTACCAGACGTGGGCCCATCCCTCGCAGTGGTACAAGAAGCAGCCACTGTGTCTGGTGCGCAAGTACTTTGGCGACAAGATCGCGCTGTACTTCTGCTGGCTGGGCTTCTACACGGAGATGCTCGTCTACCCGTCCGTGGTGGGCTTCCTCTGCTTCATCTACGGACTGGCCACCCTGGAGTCGGAGGACAACATCCCCAGCCAGGAGATCTGCAACGAATACGGCACGGGCAACATCACCCTGTGTCCACTCTGCGACAAGGCATGCAGCTACCAGCGCCTCTCGGAGTCCTGCCTCTTCTCGCGGCTCACCTATCTCTTTGACAATCCCTCGACGGTGTTCTTTGCCATCTTCATGTCTTTCTGGGGTAAGCTGGCTATAATTCTTGACAGAAAAATAAGTCTCCTAGTTATATATTGCCTTGGACTATAAAGCTCGAAGTATACATATATGGAGCTCTGGGAAACAATTTACTCATTGAAAACATAAATATGACATAAGATACAACGCTTTTTAAATTACTATTTTAAAGATTTGTTATAACAAATAATTACAGGACTAAATTTAAAATTTACCAATAAATTTCCGTCTTTACCAAAAAGGTTCATTGTATTGCAAGTGCGATTTGAAGACTTTATAATAAAGCAATTGATGAATCTTAAACTAGATATTTTTATTGTCTTTGATTTGAATAGGTTTAATTTATTTAAAGTTTATTACAAATATTTAATATTAAACATTCATTCATATTTTATTCTTATTTCAAGTTGTGCATAAACTATGAATTTGTAATCTTTAAAACAGCCACCACATTTCTGGAACTTTGGAAACGAAAACAGTCGGTGCTTGTCTGGGAATGGGACTTGCACAACGTGGACATGGACGAAGAGAACCGTCCAGAATTTGAGACGAATGCCACAACGTTTCGCATGAATCCTGTCACGCGGGAAAAGGAACCCTACATGTCCACCTGGAATCGATCCATAAGATTTGTCATTACCGGAAGTGCTGTGCTTTTCATGGTGAGCCTGAAGTTAAACAATTACCGCGCTTAATTTTATTTATTAAATATATTTATTTGCAGATCTCCGTCGTTCTCTCTGCTGTGCTGGGCACTATCTTATATCGCATAACTCTGGTGTCTGTTATTTATGGAGGAGGAGGGTTCTTCGTAAAGGAGCATGCCAAGCTATTCACCAGTGTCACGGCTGCCTTGATCAATTTGGTGGTCATTATGCTGCTGACACGGGTAAGTCCAACTTTCAGCTACCAACATCTAAAGTTGGCTTATGCTACGTTTATCACTTGCAGATCTATCACCGCATGGCCATCAGGTTGACCAACCTGGAGAATCCGCGCACCCACACGGAATACGAGGACTCGTACACCTTTAAGATCTTCTTCTTTGAGTTCATGAACTTCTACTCATCGCTCATCTACATCGCCTTCTTCAAGGGGCGCTTCTTTGATTATCCTGGAGATGAAGGAGCCCGCAGGAGTCAGTTTTTCAGACTGAAGAACGACATCTGCGATCCGGCGGGCTGTTTGTCGGAACTTTGCATCCAATTGGCCATTATTATGGTGGGCAAACAGTGCTGGAACAATTTCATGGAGTACCTGTTTCCGAAGTTTTGGAACTGGTGGCGTCAGAGGAAGCACAAACAGGTAGTTATTGTTTAACAAACTCAATTTTAATACCATTAAAAATTATACTTTTCTTTTTAGGCCACCAAAGATGAATCACATCTGCACATGGCTTGGGAGCAGGACTACCACATGCAGGACCCAGGACGCCTGGCTTTGTTCGATGAGTATCTGGAGATGAGTGAGTATTCTGATATATTTAGATCTAAATTCAGAATCTAAGTGATCTGATCTACTCCATTATTTCCAGTTCTGCAATATGGCTTTGTCACCCTGTTTGTGGCTGCATTCCCCTTGGCCCCGCTCTTCGCGCTCCTCAATAATGTGGCAGAGATCCGCCTGGATGCCTACAAGATGGTCACCCAGGCCAGACGGCCACTGGCGGAACGGGTGGAGGACATTGGAGCTTGGTACGGCATCCTGCGGATCATCACCTACACGGCCGTCGTTTCGAATGCCTTTGTGATAGCCTACACCAGTGACTTTATACCTCGCATGGTCTACAAGTTCGTCTACTCCGAGACCCACACTTTGGCGGGCTACATCGAGCACTCGCTGTCCATCTTCAACACCTCCGACTACAAGGAAGAGTGGGGCGCTTCGGTCAGTGAGAAAGATCCAGATACCTGCCAGTATCGCGGCTACAGGTGCGTTTGACTGCCTTTTCTCACTGATGTGCTTTTTGCATAGATAGTTTTGTTTATTTGCAGAAATGGCCCCAAGGATTATGAGCCTTATGGACTGAGTCCCCATTATTGGCATGTCTTTGCTGCCCGTTTGGCTTTTGTGGTGGTTTTCGAGGTGGGTAGTTTCAAAATGTTTTTATTTTTATTATCCTCAAAAAGATCCCTCTACTGCATAGTTCAGAATTAAAGGTACTTTACTTGACTTTCCATTTCCAGCCAACAATCTTAAAAATATCTCATAAATCATAGTAAACTTAAATTACAATTTGGGCTAATTTGAAATGGTTTCTTTGCACTGTAAAGCTTCTAAGTGATTTTTAAAATTTTTAGCATGTGCTGTTTGTAATTGCAGTATTTTAAACCTCCAGCCAATTATTGAATTAATATAATAATATATTATATAATAATATATTATATATATTTTAATTCCTAGTAACATTTAAAGTCCATTGGGCTAATTTAGAATTGTTTCCTTGTACTGTCAAGTTTATGAGTGCTTTTCAAATCTTGGCTTTTAAACTTCCTGGTTGTTATTTATAGTAAAATTTAAGACAATCTGGGCTAATTTTAAATGCTTTTCTTCAACTGCAAAGCTTATAAATGATTTGTTAAATTTCAGCACGTGGTGTTTGTAATCACTGGCATCATGCAGTTCATCATTCCGGACGTCCCGTCCGAGGTGAAGACCCAAATGCAGCGGGAACAACTGTTGGCCAAGGAGGCCAAGTACCAGCATGGGATTAAGAGGGCCCAGGGCGACAACCAGGACATCATGAGCCTGTTCCGGGACACCTGCACTCGGACCTCGATCACCGGAAGCCAGGTCACTGCCCGTGGAAGCTGGGCTCGCCGCTTCAGCCGGCTGAGCGATGGACTGGATGCCCACGTGGAGGTCGCCGCTAGGCCACGAAGGTCGGTGGAGTCCACGGTGTGGGAGGTTTCCTGACACGAGGAGGAGGCCGAGAGCGAGGCCCAGGATAACAAGGGATGAGGTCCATCGGGAAGTCCTAAAGCAATGACCAATACTCGACTCCTTTCCACGATCATTAAACTAGACTTTTGAATGTGTAATTGTTGTCGAAGCTCCACAGTTTATAGTTTTTTTTGTTAAACACAAGTCTCATGCTCTTTGTAAATAAACTATTTTGAATGTTGTCTGAAGCTGTGATGTTTGGTATAGGATTGTAGCACAATGTTAGTTGGTTCAAATGAAGCAACAAAAAATAACCATTCGCCCCGTTGCCACAACAACCCATACAACATGACTTTGTTTATACCGTAGCAGCTTACATATGTATATATAAACAAATCTGACGTATAAATTGAGCAGAATTTTTTCTGAGACACAAATTATTTGACGATGAACAAGAAGCTATCGCCAGAGGATGCATTTTACGAAAACCTGACCTTGGGCCTTATAAGAACCCTATGTGAGTAGGAAATGATCCCTTCCCTGTGGCATTAACCCCTACCAATATGCTAGCCAATGTGCCGCGAGTGTGTAATGTGACTCTGGAGCGACGACAGCCACTGAACGCCTGCCAGGTGGTGAATTGGGAGCAGAGGCACTGCGTCTACCTCCCGGAAGACATGAAGAAGTTCTACCTATCCTCTGATGGATTCATTCTGAACTGGAGCTACCAATATGCACGTGAGTGGGTTCCCTATTCCTAGGTCATTTGTTGTAGCTCCCCCATTTCAGCCAACGATATCCGCCGGGTGGGTCACATCCACTTTCCACACCTGCTGCAGGTAACCCTTCTGCGTGAGAATATCGAAACTACGGCCAGCCACTCCAGCAATTCAACGGTTTTGCCCACTAGCAACTCGGATTCTCTGGCGGCGGCTAGTAGCTCGCAATCCCTTCCAGCTTCAGTTGCCGCCGGCAAGGACAAGTGGGGCAACGCAACACCTATTATAACTGCCAAGTCAAAGATATTCGAAATCAACAATGTGAACGAGGTAGCTAAGGTATGTACTCTATAACAAATTTTCGAGTTTGTAACATTATTAAACTAAATCATAATAACTCTTTATTGGATTTGATTTCAAAAATAAAATTGTAAAAATACTACATTTAAAAATCAGCCATATAATTTTGTTTTACCAATAAGATTTTAAAATATTGAAACATTTGTCTTCACTGACTCATTTGATGAATTTCTTACCAGGTGTGCATGCTGTACGAATCCACAAGCTCCAACAATCCAAAGTTTTATCTGCTGGAGCTGAGCACTCTCAGCTGGCAGTTTTTGGCGGACACTTTCAGCGAATACCTGCGGATGGCCATCGCTCATCTGGGACTGCCCTACTGGGAGCTGTGCTTCTCCACCTGCGGCCTGCCATCTTGGACGGAGCAGCTGTTCCTGCTTCTGGCGCCTCATCTCCTCGAAGAACACGAGCAAAGACGAGGGCGTGTGTTGAATCCCGCCTGCGAGCATCCATACAACATCATCGACCCAAACATTTTCCGGGGCAAACCGAAAAGCGTGGCCAAAGCGGTGACCAGCAGCACTAAACAAAATCATAAGTGACTTTCAGTAGAAAAGTAAACGATTTATTTGTGAGGGTACATAAATGCCACAAAACAATGAAATGAACATGTGCAAGGGGAATCCCTGATGATAAACTGGGTCAATATGTGGGGATAAAGAAAAATGACTAATCTTGGGGGCTAAACAAAAAACGGTCGCCGAAAGAACACTCTTTTGTTTAAAACTAGATCCACTAATTTGTTGTTTTAGTTATTAGGCATACATTCTACCTATAAAACATTTAAGCTTGGAAATTAGTTTGATTAAGATAAATCATTTGCCATAATTGTTTGTTATTTTAGTTTCTGAATTATCTTAAAAGTTAAAACATTTAGCACAACAGATCCGAATTTAGTTTGGAGTTTCCCCCATGATTCATTCTTAAAATATTGACCCACCCTACAGCAAAGGAAGTGATATGAGGGCTATGATTTGGCTACTACTTAGTAGAAGTCCGCACTCTTGTCCTCCAGATCGGCCAGCATCTTGTCCCTGATCTGCGGGCGCGGATCCTCCGTGATCTCCGTGGGCACAGCGCCCGCTTGTCCCAGCATGAACTCGAGCTCGTCGGCGGTCAGCTTGTCGCCGCGCAGCTCCAGCGGACCGATGAACTGCTTGCGCATCGATCCCTCGTGGTAGACGAAGATGGTGGGCAGGTTCTTGTCGGGGAAGTTCGGTATGCAGGTGGTGGCAACGGAGCGCAGGAACTTGGTCTGCGGGAAGCGGACGGCCAGCTGCTGCATGTGGTGGTGGATCAGGGCGCAGAGCGGAACTCCGTTGGCGTACAGGTGGAGGACCACCCAGATGCCATCGCCGGCCTTGGTGACTTCGTTGACGTAGTCCTGTCCGGAGATCTCGCGCACCGATCCGAAGCGCGCCTTTTCGGCGGTGGCCCGCATCTCGGCGATGCGTCGCTGGCGATATTGCTCCAGGACAGCCTCGTCCTCGGAGTCCTCCAGTTCGTCGAGCTCGTCCAGGGACATGTCGTCGATCGGCTTGTCCCGCTGGCCCTCATTTAGTGGCAGATCTGTGCGCCGCTGGATGGCGTCGTCCATCAGCTTCTGGATCTGATCCTCCGTGATCTCCGCCTCCTTTGCCTTGGGCCCAATGATTCCCTTGGCGCGCAGCACATCATTCCACTCGGTGTCTTCGTTTGGGTCCTACGGAAAACAAAGACACGTGAGTTTTCATTCATCATTTTCATTACCAAATATGGAATTTATTTTTGGGTGCACCAAATCACACCCACAATCGTATTTTGTCAAATAGAACCCATTTTCCGGATAATGCATAAACATTTTCATTTGAACTATCATTAAATCTTACCTGCATAATTTATGTTTATATTTCGATGAGATAAATAACTTAAATTTATTTAAATTCTGAACGCATGCACCGTTTTTGTAAACTAAAAATAAAACTGAATAATTCTAAACGAAGTGACTCATGACCAGGGACGGATCAAATATCGATACTATCGCATCCGGTCAGCCGATTAGTGATGGCAAAGTGAGCGACATTTGTCATGCCTCAAATTTTACTTGTTGATTAAAAATAAAATAAATTTAAAACATGTTTGACCATCTCGAAAAATAATAGTAATGAAATTCATATGTTTTCTTTTATAAGGTTTCAATTGCTCAAATTAAAGTGCATTCTTGAACCAAAAATATTTAAAAAATAAAAAAATTGTATTTGCCTAAAATAGTTAGAAGAAGTTGGTTTTAAAATTACTTTTCAAATCAAATGTTTATTATATCCAGTCAATATGTTTACTTTTAAGCAATTATTTTTAATAACAACCATTATTAAACACCTGTTTAACAATCCCAATACAAACAAATGAATTTTCATTTTCTATAAAATTTAAGATAATACAAAATAATGAAATTCATGTCTTTTCTTTTATTAGCTTTCAATTGCTTAAATTGAAGTGCATTCTAGTTTGAAAAGGCTAATTTTGAACAAAAAAATATGTAAAAATAAAAAAAATTGTATTTGCCGAAGATAGTTAGAAGAAGTTTGTTTTGCATTTTCAAATTAAATTTTTATTATATCCAGTCAATATGTTTACTTTTAAGAAATTATTTTGTAGAACTCTAATTTTTAAGCTTCTATTCAAGAATCCCAATACAAACAAATGAATTTTCATTTTCTTTCAAATTAAGATAATAAAAAAGGTTTTTCCATTATAGGCACAATAAAACATTTATTCAATTTTTCGAGGCAAGCGTTTTAAGAGATTATGGACATGTTGGTGCTAATTTTTAACAAACACTTTTCTTACTTTTATTAGTTTATTTAAAAACATTTTTTCTTCCGTCAAAATTTACCTATAAACCAACTTTTGAGCATTCAAATACGCAAATGAACTCATATTGTTTTATAATTTAGAAGCTTGAACAATAAGGTATTTTATTTTAAAAAAGCAATTAACAAGGTAAACCCTCAAAAGCTTTTGACTTTTAAAGCATTGATAAGAAAGAAAATCATTATAAATACAAGTTAGACATAATTAGTTACAGAAATTTAAAAAAAAAACAAATCGGAAAGACAAACCAAAATTATAATAAAAAAGGTTTTTGAAATCTCATCAATTATTTGTTGTCTGCTTTACATGTGAGGGACTCTTAAAAATATTTATTAAAACCTAAGTAAGCGCAGCTAAATGGTAAGATAAATTCTTTTTACGATTTCCTTCACAGTTTCGTGTTCGGACGTTTGAGTTTCCATTTAAGAACTTGAACTGTCCTCAGATACCTTGTAATAGTTGTTAAAATTAATAATACATATCAGGTCACCGATTTCCTCCTGGTAACCAGAAGAGGCTGCCTTGTTGCCCAAATAGATGAGATACTGCATGAACTTCTCGAACTCAGCCTCCTCCTGCAAAAGGCGTTTAAAGCGTGGATGCACAAAGTGATTCTCTTGATCCATTATAAACGACTGTGATTGAATGACTCTAAAATATTGATTTAAATTTAAGTAAATAAGAAAATGATTAAGCCACAAATGAAATTAACTTACTTGCAAAAGCGTAGTATAATAACTAGAATATTGTCGATGGTTTCCTTAACCTTGACACTCCTTCGATTTAAGAAAGCCAGGAAGGCAACCCGTTTCAAGTAGGCCGCATGCTGCTTGTACAATCCCTCGATGGAATCGACGGTGCTCAGCTCCTCCTTGAAGCTATTCCAAGTGGACTGCAGGGCTTTGGCCACCAGATGCGTCTGGAAGGAGGTCATAAAGTGCGACAACTTGTGGCGCACCATTTGCAAGTGTCGAAAGTGTGGACATGTGCGGAGTTCCGGTCCAAGCAGCTTGCCCAATTGTTGCAGATGCTCATAGGATCCTTCTAAAACGAAGCTTACATGGCGAAGCTTCAGTAGATAACCGAATATCTGTCCATATTTAGCCACCGTTTCGGGGCTGATCACCAGGTTCAATGGCCAATCCACATTACAGTGCAGCGTTAGCATGGATGTGGCTTCAAGGGACAGGAAATTCAGCGTATCCGGAATATGAGTGCAGTGGAGCGTGAGATTCTGAGACACCGTGGTCTCATCCGCCGAACAGCCAGCCAATGCATGCGTAAGCATAGTGTCGAGGATGCCCTTTTGGCAAAGGCTTTTCGGATCGATGCCCGCCCTTATTCTTCCCAGGATGCCACTCGTTAGCAATGTGCCAAACTGGCCGTCCAATAGGAAAAACAAGTTTCTGAGCTTACGGAAATGCTCGTAAATACGCAACTCCTGGAAGATCCTGAGCACTTCGTTCCGGAGCAGGGCATAGTGCGCGTTCACTGGAGCCATAACGGAGAGGTGCAGGCAACGACGGGCCATGAGTGGATTGTAGGGCTCCGGCACAGTGAGAACCGCCTTTTCGTTGGCCCTTTTCATCCCAAAGTAGGTGGGCAGATGGATAGTTGGTTTTAGGATATCCGATAATGTCTTAGTGGGTTTGGCAACTACAAGTTCAGGCTGCAGTGACTCCGAATACGAGCCTTCTTTGGTCTCACTAATATTGTTATTATTGGCAGCATCGTTGTCAACCGTTTCCCTGGGTGACAACCCAAAGATGTCCACATCGGAAGTGGTGGACATGGGGGTTAGCACCGCCAAAGGTACTTCCACGTGGAGTTTGTTAAGCTCTAGAGGTAGGAAAGGCGAGTCCTTATCTTCACGCACTGTACTACATAGCTTGCTCTCCAATGCCCGTTTTGATAGACAAGACAATGATTTTTCTTCAAAATCCTTTTCGGTCTGTGCAATACCAAACTCGCTATCTAATACACGTCGACGGTTTCTAGCACGTTCCGTATTTGAATCCGCTTGGCGTCGCCAACGATGGGTGTGCTCACTCTCGGTGGAGTTGAAACTGGAGAAACCATCGTGGTGCTCATTGCGCAGACGGTTTCTCTGCATGTCGCTCAGCTCCTCCGATTCAATGCGATTTAGATTAGCATTGATGTCGGGCGGAAGGTTCGCGTGCAATCCCGAAGTTGAGGTTGTGGTTGTGGTTTTATCCGATTCCGACTGTTGAATATGGACCTTTGTATAGCACTCCTGGAATTGGTCCGAAGAAAGAATATGCTGGCGATTGCGATCGAATTCTGTTTGGGAGTTCAGCTGCTCATTGGAATTAAGCACATCCGAGTGGCTCCGCTGAAACTGAACCACATTGGAACTCAAAGGCTGAGATTCCACCACAACTGGCTGCTCTGGTTGTACATCTATTGGATTTTGTAATACCGTTTCTGGAGGCTTTTGCGATTCTTTATTTTTTGGATGCTTTGATTCCGCATCTGAAGGCTTCTTCTGCTCTCTTGCTGCCTCCTTAACCTTATCTGTTCTCGCATCGTCTTGATCCGACGCCGATTCTGGTCGTAAATCTGTTCCTTCCACACACGATGCAAAACTGAGATCACTATATGTGCTCTGGTCCGGGCTGGTCTCTTCCTGGTGGTCTTTGCCAATCAACTCGGCTGCTAGTTGCGACACTTGCTTTTGCAACTCCAGCTTTTCTAGCTCAAGACGATTATCCTCCAACCGTTCGCTCTCCCGCTGAAAAGCCAACTCGTTGACAATCTCCTCGCGCCTCTTATCCAGCCGACTTTGCTGTTGAAGTTGCAGTTCCGCGTTGACTTGATCGTACATCAGCTTCTTCTGGTCATTCGCCTTCGACAGGAGCTCGCGCTGCTCTTCCTCCCAAGCAAGCAGATGCGACCGCGTGCGCTCCTTCATGAGATTTGCGAAGCTACGTTTGGTGGCCTTGCGCTCCTCGAAGATGCTCTGCATGCTGCACCATCCGAAGCGTTGGTAGATTACGGCATACCTGTCGGCCAGGTTGCGACGCATCCCCTTGAGCTGTTGCTCCGTTAGACAGACCACTATTTCCGGGTACTCCACATCAAAGACGGGATGCTAGTGGGTTAGGAAGGCAGCTATGAATGGTTTATCATTTGGTTTATAATCATAATCTACAAACCTGAGCGTTATAGGCCTTAAGCACCTGGTTGTACTTTCCGCATTGAAGGATGTCCTGCTCACACCCGTGCAGGAACTCCGGAATGGCCTCGTTGACCACGTGGTAGCCTCTATCGAAAAACTCCTTGCTGCACTCGTTCACCAGAGCCGGCGAAGTGTTCAGGCTGCGACTGATGAAAATTTCGTTGACGGCCTCGTCCAGCTCACCCTGGTGGATCCATCTCTGGAGCTGAACGAAGTATGTTTGGGATATGCACCGCAGCAAGTAGATGAGAACCTGCAGGAAGTCACTGTTGCCGCAAGTGTCGATGGCCAGCCAAACACAGCGCAGCAGGAAGGGGCCCGAAACCCCAGAGTCCAGGTTTACTAAACAATGAAATGAAGCTAGTGAATCACATGTCCATTTGGCGGAATGGGAGTCTTACGTTTTGGCTCACTCTTGAACACATTCTCCAGCTGATGGAGCAGCCGCATGGCAGGGCGGCAGTTGATCAGCAGCTGGGAGAGATTTTCGGCGGCCTGGGAGAGCAAAAACTCACGATTGGTGGCTAGAAAATCGACCAAAATGTTGCGCATGGCCTGTAGAAAAGTTAAAGACTTATTAAAAGTTCATGAGAAGATTAGGGATTGGACTCACCCGATTTAGGGGCCTTTCCAGACGCGCCATGGTGTTCCGATTCCACCTGGTGCGAGCACTCAGACGCCGAAAGGCGCAGCCAGAGCGCAAGAAGGGATCCACGAAATCCGCCAATATCTCGGGCAGCACAGTGCGCAATGTGGTGTTGGGCCTGAATACCAGCACCAGCTCGTCCTCCGGCGAGCTCAGGAACGTCTCTGACTGAACACCTGCTGCCGCCTTCTTAAGGTGATCTATGAGGGCCGCTTCGCCGATGTAGTAGAGAACCAGGTCCTTGTTTTGCAGAAGCTTCAATTCGTTGGTCATCATTTGATCCGAAATGAAGTATTTCTGGGGTCCGGGTTGGGCCACAAACGGGGGATCCGGCGGGGCAGGTGGGCTCTTCTTTTTGAGGACTGGCAGTCGGGGAGGTGGTTGCATTGGTTGCTCCCTGGATTCCCTCATGCGAGTCATGGTTTCTGCTAAGCCGGAGAAGGTTAAAAAGGATAGATTGAAACCGACGCGTGGCTTTTCCGGCGGAGGCGCCTTCAGGTTGGTCAGTAGAAGATCGGTGTGGGGCTGCAAGTGGAGGGGCTTTAAGACCCGTCCCATCTGATCCAGAGATTTGAGCGCTTTTGGGTTCACTGGCTCCCTGGGCAAGCGGTCTGGCAGTTCGTATAGTTTCAGTATTCCCGGCTTATACACTTTGAGGCCACGTTTGTAGTGGTTCTCCGTATTCTTCTCCGGTTCAGGATCCTTTTTAGTTTCGTGAGGATGTGCTTCATCCTTTCCTGCCAGAAGATTCTGGAAGCGGTTCAGGCTGTCCCTCCGTTTGGGATTCTTTGCCACCTCACTGCTCACCTGGCGGAGCAGCTCCAGCTTGTCTTGGGACGACATCGTCCCAGTGCGCAGCAGATCCTCATAGATTTTGGAGCGCTTCCTGGCCACCGACGCAGCTGTGGGCCGATTTGTCGCCTGCTCCTCCGACGCCAACAAAGTGGCCAGGTGGGTCACCATGTCGAAGACGCTGTGGCTGCACTCAGCCACGGATGCCATCGGAATGGGCTTTGGACTCCAAAATCATGGGATATTTACAAGAAACCAAACAAACTCAAGGACCAGGGGCCAACCACTCACGATGGTATCGATATATTGAAAATCTTGGGCTTGCTATCGAGAATTTACTTTCGATGTTAATCGATAGCTTTCTAACGGTAGATTCTGGCAACACTCAGATAATTTGAAATTTTTGAATGTATTCTCTCTATAATTATCCTTAACTCGTTGGCTTTTAAGTTAATTAATAAATGTTCTTGTTTTTAAGACAAGACAAACCTAAGCTGAACTTTTACAAATTTTTTATTAATGAAAAATATTTGATTTTCGGCAAATGTTTGAAATATACCCAGATGGATATAAGGATATTTTCCCTAATCCTTAATTAACTTGTCTGATTTCAATATTTCCTTTGAAATAAATAAAAACAAAAATTGTTATACACTAAATTAAAAAGTTTTAAATATATTGTTGTTGTTTTTTTTTTTTACAAATACACAATATTCTATTTTGCCCTTTGGCTTACAATATAAGCTTAGTTACCTTAGTTCTGTATTCGTAACACATTTAAGACATGCAGAATTTGAAATTGAATCTGTTCTAGTTTAGCAGGTTTCTCTCATATTTTTGCGTTTTACGGTTGCTTTTTTTTCTGAACTAGCGTGGGAACATCAAGAGATTAGCTTATGGCTGACGGGGTAAATGTTGTATAAACGGGAACGTTCTGTGGCTGTTGGCAGACTATTGCAAAGGTGTGGTGGCGGCGGCGAGGATGGGTTGGCCAGGTGGTGTGGCCTGCACCGAGGCCGGCGGACCCGCTGCTAATCCCTCCTGCTCGAACTTCCGGTCGTGAACGACCACGTTGCCCATTAGCACGAATCATGAGGCGCTGTTCGTCTCCCCGTTGCTCTCGTGGAAGTTGGTGCCGTTGACGATGAACGAGGTGCCCAGGCCGTACAGGTGTCCGGAGTACTTGGCATGGTCGATGTTGTCCTCGAAGAACATCTGAAAAGGGTGTAAGGTTCCATTAGGCGGGCATATAACTTGTGTCTGGATTTGGAATGGGACAGAACAAAGCAGTGAGCTAAGCGATCTAGGTAAGTATATACACCATAAAGCATTGAAAGCACATAAATCTCTACAGCAGCAAATCTAAATGGTAGCACCCAATCAGTTTGGGGAGTCCTACTTATAAATAAATTAAATTACATACCGTTTACCGATGTTGTTAGATGGTGATTTTGTATTAGTAATTCTCTTATTTTAGATTGTTATTCTTCTAATTATTCTGCAATTTTCTTGTTAATTTAGAATTATTTGGCAGCTTAAGCACTTGCTACGCTGATGAACACAGTAAACTGTGTATAAATCTATGACAGCAAAGCCCTTAAAATTGCGAAACAAAATTCAGTAAGTCATTTGACAAATTAAAATTCTACCTTCTAACTTAAAACTAAAGTAAAGCAGTTAATAACGTTTTAAGGCAAATTAGACAAATTCCTCCATTGGTAAGAAGTCATGCCGTATGAATTATATTTGAAAACAACAAGATGCTTAAGATTGCGTATGCAATGCCCAGACACCAAAGAATATAAACAAAAATGTATAAGAAAATTAATTCAAATTCATTTAATTTTCCATTCAAATCCATTTCTGTTTTCTTTTCGTCCCGCGAGCTTTAAAGCTAATAGACATGTTTCACATGATTTTAACAGTTTTAAACTAACTCAAAACACTTCAAATTATGGTTTTCATTCATAAATTGCGGCTCACTGGCACTGCAGATGCTGCAGGATATAGATAACTAAGTACATATGTGATGTATGTATGAAAATGGGCGAGTTGTGACAACCATGAACCACCTTAAACCTATTGGATGATGATGATGTTGATGATGGGCGGAGGCAAGATACGTTAGTAGTGGCAAAGGCAGGGCAACAACACTACTTTCTAGCAGTCCGAAATAGTCGGGGTCAGCGTATCGGAGCAGACGCAAGGCAAGTGAGAAAGCGATGAGCCATCGCGCTCCGGTGAACCGGGAGTGGCGGGAGGCGTGACCATATAGGAGCTCGAGGTGAGCGGATCGCAGGAGGAGCTGCTGTTGCCGGTGCCGTTGCCACTGCTGATCATCACCGAGTCATCGGGGGGACATCCCCCGATGTAGGCCTTACGGCTCAGCAGGCAGATCCGGCTGACCGACGGCTTCATGTTCATGGTGTGCTCAAGCAGGTAGGGAAAGAGTACAACGGGCGCTTCTAGCTCAAAGTGCAAATCATGTGTGTGCAGTACCTCACGCATTTTGAAGAAGGCCATGCCCGTAAGCAGGGCATCGGAACCGGCCTGATGCTGGGGGCCAACGCGCCGCAGTTCCAGCTGATCGGCCACCTCCTGCAGGCCGCCCTTCAGGTTCTTGCAGGACTTCATCAGATATTTGATGTCGAAGATATTGGGGAAGTATATGTGCAGCAGTTCGAAGAACTCGCTCTCGTCCGAGGGCAGATTCTGATCCGTGAGCAGCTTCAAAAGGTAGCCGAAATCGTAGCCAGAGTGGAAGCACAGCCACTTGATGTTGTCCACCAGCACAATGCCGGAGCTCATTAGCAGTTCGGCGAACTCAATGGGATCGATGCCGTCCTCCTCGTGCTTCTTGAACTGGATGCCAGAGTTCTGCAACAGATCTATCGAGTCCTGCGCATACATGTCCTCGCTATGGATACGAAAGGTGATGATAGAACCCCCTATTATCGCTTAAGCAGTGCCAGCTCACCTCAGGTTGAACTTGAAGTTGAACTGCCAGGTCGAGTAGCCCGGCGGCGTTTTGCCATCGTCGTCCATGAAAGTCAAACCCAATTGGATGATCCGCAGAAGGTCGACATTGCAGCGCAGCAGCTGGTAATGGTAGTCCGCCGTGGAGCGGAACTCGCCGACGGGTCGTGCCACCACGCCCGGGAACTCGGTGTCCATGGCCACATAGTGGTACTTCTGCACCACTTTGCGGATGGTGCGGAACTCCTCCTCCAGGTTATGCTTCCACACGTCCCGGATGCCGCACTCCTCGTTGCTCGGTATGTGGACTTGGCCATGTGCCGCGCCACTGATCGCCGAAGGCATTGTCTGTGAAAGGTATTGGTTCTGGTTCAAAACGACTTGGTGTTATTTATGTATATCATATTCGGGTGGATATTCTTTATGTGTGAGAGTGTATATGTTTTGGAAACCCATTGGGGCTGATAAGAAATCATTTTTAAGTATAATGGATTGAAAAACAGTATTAATAAATATATCAATATTTTTTGGAACTGAGTTTATCAAATTTAAAAAGAGTACATATTGTCGGAAATTATGTTTAACGATATTAATACAATCTATTCACTACAAACAAGTTGAATGGGTTTTTGTTTTTAACAATTTAGCACTGATCAAGATTGGTTTACCGATTTAAAAAAGAATTTCATTAATACTAAGGAGTTTCCATCCTTAAATAACAATTTCGAATATCCAAGTGTGTGGTGTTTGTGTGTATTTGGTGAGGGATCTTAAGGGTTAGCAACATAATAAAATAGCTGGACCAATTGGTTAAACACGTTAGCGCAACTAAACAAGAGTTTGTAATTGAGGTTTGGCCAATATCGCTGTTAGAAGTGCTACAATTTTGCTGCTGATACGAAAGAAGAACGAAATAATCAAACAATAACGAAACAAAGGCACGTGAAGGAATCGATTTTGATAATTTGCTTGGAGGTGGTTACTGGAGTGATGGGGATTACGATAGGCGCTACTTACATCGTCGCCGGTCGTCGCCTGGTGCGCACTCTTCGTCGCCGGATCAGCCACCTCTTCGCACTGACCTACAACCAAGCCTCAAGCAACAAGTTCCTCTTGGGTAAATGGTATTACGGTTTGGTTCTGAGGCAATGCTCTTTATCAAATGCAGGGGAATCGGAATATATATGTACAATTTAACTCTGCCCTTACAAGACTCTATCACACCTAAATCGTATCGCATTCATTAACACACTTTGAGATAACATAAGACAAGATACTTGAAGCTGATGCTGAAAATAGACAGCATTAGGCATTGTTTATTTTACAAGATTCGCTGTGGCGCAAACACAATATTATTTCTATTTTAATTAAAAATCTTAGTTTGGTTTCAGACCTTCTCATTGAGGTAATTTTGGCTTTTTATTAGAGCTGAGAGAAATTAATCCCGCCAAATCAATCTCGTTACAAGTCATAATATTAAGAAATAGAGTTTTAAGGTAATTTAATAAATCAAGTAATCTTGAATTTAAAAATGAAAGTTATAGTAAAGTGCCCTTAAAATACCTGATTTGTGAATCTTAATAAGATTTTAAATTTTGTGATTTATATTATATTGTGTGGGGTAGATATTTACGAACCCTAAGCTCTAAACAACTCCAAATATTTTAGTTTCAAGGTCTCGCTGTTTTTTACAATAATTAGAAAGTTTTTCTAATGCTCCAGGTCTATTACATTCGATATTCGAAAATCACGAATCCATTTTTTTAGAGTTTCCTATTCCAGTTACTATAGCCTGGGTCTTATCGCAACAAGCCAATACTTTTCATAACTTTTTAAACAATACATTGACGAATTTCACATTTAAAATTAAACCGTGAAAATATCACAAAATCCATTTAATTTTTGCCCCAATGAGCCCAAAAGAAAAACAGTTAGAACGCCCTAAAAAAAAACTGCACACACATACACTAGCCGCAACCACACGCATACACACGCACATGCAGCGGCATTGAAGATGCATTTGCATTTCGCTATTTTTTGCCATGGAAATCAAGGCCATGGAAACGGGCCCACCGGTCGGAAAATGCGTACACCCACTCGTTAGCCCTCGCAGCTTACCCATTTCATAATATTCGATGGCGGACTGTGTGGATTTTAGCTATTTGCACAAACTGTATGTTCCGTTCGGCGTCTCCTCGTTTTGCGCTGGTGAAGTAGGCGGCGGTGAGTAAACGGCTGGTCTCCGGCACTTTTGCTTGTCTTGCGGCGATCCTATTATGCAGGAACTTTAACTTGAAGAGCCCTCGACGTTTGGCAGCGACTTCCAATGGATTTTAATCAGCAAATATTGTTTGTGAGCCGCGCAAGTGCCATAATAAAAAAATTGCCCGTCTTACGATTTTAGTGGTGGAAAACGTCAAGGTACAAAAATATCGATATCGGTCTTACCTCTGTTTTTTGGGGGGAAATTGTTTTAAATTTTGAGTTTTAAGGAAATGTGTGACTGTGTAAAAGTGTTGAATTTTAAAAGTAAGTAAGGTATATTAATTTTACATTAGTTTGGATACAATTGCAAATAAAATATATAATCGCTGCATCAGTTTCAGTGCTGTAAAATGCTGCACTGCAGATAGTTCGCTTTAACATCCGCCTAGAGGGCGCCAGCATTGTGAATTAACCTTGTGCTGTGACAACCCTAGACTTGCAGCTGTTCGTTAAAACATCGATTATATCGGACAAAAATCGACTTTGGCCCCAGCTCTAGAAAAAAACAAATTTATTTACATTAATTCGATTTCACCGGTAAAAGTGCTTTGCTTACTATTTTAAGATTAATTATAAAGTGATATAAGCTAATAAATGTGATAAGAGCTTATAGAAAACAAGCAACAAGAGTTGCATTGTTTATTTTTGTGTTTTTTATGTTTGTGCCACTTTCCTTTGCATTAACCCATTTGTTGTTGCAAATTCTTCGAAAACTAGCTCGCGTTATAAATAAACAAAACAATTGGATCCCCTGTTTTTTCGTTTTGTTTACTTTAACTACACTACTACAAATGACAGCTTTAAGAAAAACTAGTATTTTTTTAGGTATGTGTGGGTAAAAAGAAAGTACAAAAAATGTGCAGAATTCCATTTCGCCGTCTGTCAACAATCGGCAATGATGTATGTATATATGTTCAGATACGTACATGTATGTTAGTGATCTCTCCAATTATATTATTGCCATGAACCAGGAAAGAACGGATTTCACCAGTTTCTTCAAGGGGTTAATAAACTTTTGACGCTTTACAGTTGCACGTTTTTTTCGCATTTTTATGCTTTATTAATTCCGGTTACAAATTGCCGATAAGGCACTTCAGTTAAACATTTCCATACTGCTAGTGCTTCTTATCTCACTTTTGGAATTTAATCGATAATGAATTTGCAAGGTCAACAAAATTGAATAGTTCTGCGAAAGTAAGACTAGATCCACGAGAATTTTAATTTAATACTTTTATATTTTATTTTTAACTTTACCCTAACTTAAAGCTTTTTTTCTTTATTTCTCCATTTTTCATTCCCTTTGTAAACGTAATAAACATTTTATTGAATAATGTTGCATATCACTCCAATTATATTCTAAATTAAAAACTGATCACCTAATACATACATACGTCCAAATATTTTAACAAACGCAGTTGAATTGTTTACTTTGTTCAAATCACAATATCATTGTTTGGCGGAACTAATAACATATACAATACAATTCATTCAGCACTGAAAGCTCAAAATGATTTTACAATATGCCATTTAATCACGCTTAAATTGTGATAAAATGTCTGACCTAGACAATTATGATCCAAGCAAATGTTTACCGCATTAAGCGTTGTTAAATCAATTTATCTACAGTGTATAGTTTTTTTTTTTTTTATAGTGCAATAAAATTCCACCTACTCGTTTCATAAAATGATGGAATATTATTTTTATTATAGCGTATACGTATGACATAACAAACAAATTATTCACGCTTTATTATTGTCTTCAAATTGTAAATAAATCGTCAGCAAAACAAAGTAAAACTCAATTAACGTTCACATATCTCGTGTTTGTATTTGCCTTTATCGATCGAGCAATTTGATCACGTTTTTAGCGACCCGAACCAATACTTTTAACTCTATCACTTGTTGAGCTAATTGAGGCAGTCGTGTGATCACCGATCAGTTATTCTTCAGTCTTTGGCCAGCTCTCTAACCGATTTGACCTGCTCCAGAGCTTCGAGTTTTTAGTGTAAATAATAGGAATTAAGAACTCTGGCTATTTGAAAAGAACGTGCCCTTCGAACAGAGAACAACATCAAAACATTTGTTTAAACATTTACGTGAGTTTCCAACAAATTATAATTCATTGCGTTTAGACGTTAGACTTTTTCGACTTGTATTGTTGTTGTGTGAAATTGGCCTAAATGCCTTGAAATGGAGTGTTGTGTTATTGGGTTTGGTCTCACCCTGAACAGCTAGTCAAACAATTTCATATTAAATGAACAGAGCTCTTAAAGTTAAAACGGTACACGATTAAATGCTACAAATGCCCTTATAAACTTAAAAGAAAAACCTTTTAATTTTTTGATAAACATTTTTAGTTTCTGGCGTACTTTGGTTACTTATTGATATTGATACATTAAAGCAATTTCGTTTGAAACGAATTCAGAACCAAACTAGTTTGCTGATAAGTTTGATTAATTTCACACAATCTAGTTTTCACAGTGAGCCATTTGTAATCATCAAGGGTTTGGTTCCTATTCTTGTTGATATACCACAAACTCGTATTTCTTCTATTCTTCTGAATTCTTCGGGTTTTATTTACGACTTGCTTTTTAGTAATAACATTTCTTGGCGTCTCCTTTTTTTTGGGCTTGTCTGTCACGCAGACTTCTCGTAGCCAAATATGCTAAGTAAGTCGTTGAACCTGCGATTTTTTAAAATTCATCAAGAATTGAAAGTTTAATATTTTGCGTGTATTCTCTTTCCATTTTACTTATACATAGTTTATGGCGTTTGCTTTGTATATTTTAGTCATTTTATTTAAGGTTACTTTTAATGCTTAATCCCAAAAATAAGTGTTGCTTATAAAGTTTGTGACACAATCTTCTATTATTTTTCATTAAAATGTTGGCATTTGATTTTGGCATCGGCTAAACCCATTTTAATGCCTTGTTTTCTTGTTATTATTGTTCTTCAAATTACGATTATTAACTATTTTCTTTTGTTTAATCCACAGACTCATCAGACATGACCCTCAGGGACTGGGGCTATCGCCTGCTGCCGGGTCTAAAGTGGCTGCACGGCTACACCGGTCAGGATGCAGTGGCGGACCTGATAGCCGGAGTGACGGTGGGACTCACGGTGTTGCCCCAGGGATTGGCCTATGCCACGCTGGCTGGGCTGGAGCCACAGTATGGCCTGTACTCGGCTTTTGTGGGCGGCATCGTGTACGCAATGCTCGGCAGTTGCCGGCAGGTGACGATTGGACCCACGGCACTGCTGGCACTGATGACCAGCCGGCACACTGGCTTCGGTTTGGGATCTGGTCCTGCCTACGCGATACTGCTGTGCCTCATCTCCGGCGTGGTGGAACTGGGCATGGCAGTGCTGAAGCTGGGCGCCCTGGTGGACCTAATATCACTGCCAGTCACTGTGGGATTCACATCCGCCACCGCCGTAATCATTGGCACCTCGCAGCTAAAAGGTTTACTGGGCTTGCGTGGAGGATCCGGCTCTGACTTCATCCACACCATGCGCTCGGTGTTTGGTAATCTGCATCAGGTGCGGAAAGGCGACTTTACTTTGGGATTGGTGTCCATCACAGTTCTGTTGCTGCTGCGGGTAAGTTATTGCATTTATTAAGGGGCTATACCAGTGTGACCCATAAAAAATAATGTAATTTTTGTAAATTTTTCTAAAAGAAAGTACTCGATAGAAAGTTTTGAAGTATTTTGGGCATAAGAAGGTATGTTTTCACGGTTTATTCTTTCAAAACTATTGAAAAATAATGGTGTTTTGAGGTGTAAACAAAAAAGGTACCACAACTACTAAAATTATTCCTACCGAATGAGTAACCGAAACCTAAAAAATTTAAAATGGGCAATAAAGTTTAAAGTACAATCATTAAAAAAAATATTAAAAATTCCCAAAATGGCGTAGCTTTGAAAAAAATCTGTTTTTTTGGGTTAAAAATGGTCTTTATTTCAATGCCCAACATAAAATTTTGAAGCAATCAAAAAGATCCTAGTTTATTTTAGAGTAAATACATTCAAGAATATTCAGTTTTAATTTTAATTGTTTAGTTGTATTGGCAGCAATTTTAAAACATGTTTCGAGAAAAACGCGTTGAAAGTTTAAATTTAGATGATTATACATTCATACTCCTTAGAATGCTGCCTTTCAAAAACTATATTAAGATACGATCTTGCCGCCTTGACAGGATATTTTTAAAAGTATAAACCATTTAATAAGCTAAAAAATAAAATCAATTTTCAATCGCCATAGAAACTCAAAGACGTGAAACTTGACGGAAGAATCCGGAGTTTGCGGACGCAGCAGCTGATAAGCGGTAGCATCTGGGTGATAGCCACCGGACGGAATGCTCTGGTGGTGCTGGTGACCAGTGTGCTGGCCTACAGCACGTGCGAGCAAATGGCGAGCTGTCCCTACATCCTCACCGGAAAGGTCAAGAGCGGTCTGCCAAACGTCTCGCTGCCCAAATTCGAGACTACCATTCTAGACAGAAATGGCACCGAGATCAAGCAGAACTTTGAGCAGATGGTGAGTTTACAAAACATTTATTTAAACATAGAAATAATTGTTTTTTTTTTGCGATCCTATACAATGTATATCAAGATCTACAATCTGGTTTACTTAGTGTCTTGGTTTACTTGTTTTTCTTGGGCTTTATTGTTGTAGTACTTCTGGTTTTTAATTGTCTTTCTTCTTGTATTATCTTTTCTTTTTTGAAAGTGCAAATAAATTATAATTAATTGTCAAACTCAATTTTAGTCTGCACAATGAATTATATCCGTTAAATCTTGATTAATTAAAATCTTTAATTAATATGTTTGATTCGGTTGCTTTCGAATTAATTTATTTAGTTGAACTGCAGTGGTTAACCCAATTTTCTCTCCATTTAAGCTCTCGGAATTGGGTCCTTCCATGATAATACTGCCCATTATTGCTGTGCTGGGAAATGTGGCCATCTCAAAGGCCTTTGGAGGAGCCGGGTTGAGTCCCACGCGTGAACTGGTTGCCCTTTCGATGAGCAACATCTGTGGCGCCTTCTGCAGCTCAATGCCGGTAACGGGATCCTTTTCGCGCAGTGCCGTCAACCATGCGAGTGGAGTAAGGACTCCGCTGGGAGGCTGCTATACGAGTGTGCTGGTTCTGCTGGCGCTGGGACTGCTGGCACCCTACTTCCAGTACATCCCGAAGGCGGCCCTCAGTGCGGTCATCATCTCGGCGGTGATATTCATGATCGAGTTCGAGGTCATCAGGCCGCTGTGGCGCTGCAGCCGACGGGAGCTGCTCCCGGGGGCCATTACATTCGTGATGAGCCTGGCGGTGGGCGTTGAAATTGGCCTCCTGCTGGGCGTGAGTGCCGATGTGGCCTTCCTCGTTTACCGAGCAGCCCGACCCGTGCTGAGTGTGTCCAAACTGCAGACCAGCAATGGCATTAACTACATTCTGATTCGACCCAAGCACAGTTCACTGTACTTCCCGGCCATCGAATGGGTTCGCTCGGGAATCTCCAAGGCTCTGACCACCCACGGAACCGCTCCCGTTGTCCTGGATTGTGCACATGTGCACGGTATGTTTTTTACATGAAAGATTACATTTCAGATTTGTTTTCATGGTTTATTTCTTGTAGATTTCGATTTCACGGCAGCTCGAGGAATGGGATCGTTGCAGAAGGAACTCGCCAAGGCGAATGTGCCCTTGTTCTTAATGAGTGCCCACAAGGACATCGGTGTGATACTGAAGGAGTCGACCAACATTGATTTTCCCACGATAGACTGCCCCGATGACTTGGAATTCCTTTTGGAGCAAAGTGAGCCTAGTTTTGATAGCATCGCCACACTGATCATCCTTACTGCACAACAAAACTCACGCTTCTCATTTCCTTCGCTTTCATTTGCAGTCAGTTCCGCTGTTTGATTACTTCCAAAAGCAAGAATGCCACATCTAGCACCCTCCATCTCAATTGATTCCGATTCTGAGCTCTTTGTGTAATTGCATTTTTGTTTTTCCAGCTCCCGACTATGTTCTGCATTTGCAGATCGCAGCTCCGCTTGTCCAGTCGCATCGGGTACGTTGCGATGCCGGGGAACCAACTGAACTGAGTAAACTTAATGGAAAAACTACTTAGAAACAATCAGGATATTGTTAAATTTATATGTACTTAAGTATACGTTGCGGCACAAAATCTTATTTATGGCAACTAAACCTGCAATGCATAGTTTATTAATATGCTATACTTCTTAGCATTTGTAGCTCTCTCATTTTCCTATTGCCGAATTTGGTATTCAACTGAAACACACATTTCATGTCCAACTTTCCATTCCTATGCTATGTTCCCTCAAATATATTAGGTTTAAATTGTATATATCTACTTAAGGTTTACACATTTGTTTTAAATTTTGTTTTTAATTATACTCTTAGATGTTCTCAAAAGAAAATTTTTATTATTATATGTTTGGTCTGTGTTCGTTGAATTTGTATGAGATCTTATAGATTTTTTATAACTTTGTTTAATATTAAGTTATTAAAAACCAAGCCCAAAACTATGCAACACAATTTTGAAAACATTTCGAAAGAAAAGCCCAATAATGATTAAGCATATCCCCAAAAGTCTGCAATAATTTGTGAAAGAAAACAAGTTCTCTTTTCTTAACAAAATTCGCATTTATTTAATATTTGTTATCTGTAAGAACTGATGCTTATAATAAATCAGCGGATAAAACTAATTTTTACATGCGTAGACAAAATTAAAGAGACAAAAATAGTTTTAGCTTGTTTTTAAGATTAAGAACATTCGAATTCGAAGGCAATAAATAGCAGTGAGTTAAGGTCTAGGGTAGCTCTTAAGTTATAGAATAGCGATTAGTTCGCAGGCGATACGACGAGTACAACACTACACTACACAACAACAATCGACATTTACAAATCGGTGATCTCGTGGTGAGATTCGTAAACGACGGATGCCCCGCCGCCGATGCCGCTGGTCATCCTGCCGGACTGATCCTCGCTGCTGATGGTGATCCGGGTGAGCAGCTCGGTCTGGATGCGCTTCAGCACCTCGACCACCTCGCAGAGTACGCCGCTCTGGGCGGCCTGCTGCATCGCCTCATTGGCGTCCACCAGTGCCTCGTTCAACGCTCCCAGCTCCATGCGCGCCTTTGCCCGCGCATAGTAACCCTCGTAGCTGTGCGGCTTCTGGGCAATCGCCTGCGTGGCCAAATCTATGGAGGCGTCAAGTTCCTAAAAAAGAAAGGGAAATGGTTAATCACGTTTCTGTGTTAATCCTCTCTACTATCCCTTTATATATACTCACATTAAGTTTTCGCTTGCAGCGCGACAGATTCAGCAGCAGATTGGTCCGCAGCTGGGCAAAGATGGCATTCCTCTCGAGCAGCTGCTCCAGTCCGGAGATCTTGCGCAGGGCATACTGATACCGATGGGCGGCCTCCTGGAAGCGATTCTTGCGATAGAGCACATTGCCGTCCTCCAGCAGCTTGTTGAGCAGCACCACCAGAATCTCTGGCTTGCCCATGGCCATGCTCCACGTGGTGGGTCCCAGTTTGGCACCCTTGCGCAGGAACACCTGCACGGCCTGGATGTTGCGGCAGGCGATGGCCCGATCCAGCGGCCTCATGCCATGCACATCGATGTGCTCCAGGTTGCCGCCCTGCTCGAGAATGTAGAGCACCAGGCTGGCGGCTCCCTGATAGGCGGCCAAATCCAGGGCGGTGCGTCCGTTGTGATCCTCGTGATGGCGATTGCAGCCATGTTCAATGAGCGTCCTGGCCGCCGCCAAGTGGCCCCGCAAACAGGCCCAGCTGAGGGCCGTGAAACCCTCGTGATCCTGCGCCTCCCGGGCCGCTCCTCGTGCCAGCAGCAGGTCCACCAGCTCCAGATGGCCCTCCTCCGCCGCAATCATCAGCGGCGTCTTGCGCGTCTGGCCCAGCGGCTCGTCCAGCAGAGCGCCCCGCTGCAGCAGGTGCTCCACCACGCTCCAGTGACCCTCCTTGACGGCCAGCCACAGTGCGGAGTATCCCTGTCGATTCCGGGCGTCGATCTGGGCGCCGCGTGACAACAGAATGGCCACCACATCGACGCATCCGTGACGGGCGGCGGCGGTTAGCGCCAATTCGCCACTGCTCGGCTCCATGCCATTCACGTCCAGGTCGAACTCGCTCTCGTTGAGGTCCAGCAGATCCTCCAGGATCTTGCAATGCGCCTGGGCGGCGGCTCCAATCAGTGCCTGTTGCAGGGCCTCCGATCTGGTGACATCCTGCGAGTGGGGACGCGGCGACCAGTCGCAGGCCAGCAGGTACTTGACCACACTGAGGTGACCCATCCGGGCGGCATGGACCAAAGCACAGCGCTGCGTGATGTCCAGCTGGCCGAGGCTGCTGCCGGCGGCCACCAGCGGACGCACTACGTCGCAGTGGCCACGCATGGCGGCCAGGATGAGCGGAGTACAGCCCTGGCTGTTGGTCAGACCCACATCGGCGCCGAATTCCAGCAGCAAGCTGACCATGGGCAGGATGCCCTCGTGCGCAGCAATGCAGAGGATCGGAGCTCCGCCCATGTAGTCAGTGCGGTGATTTGGCGAAGCTCCGGCCAGGAGGACCAGACGGGAAACCTTCAAGTTCGGACTGTACACATTGCGCAATGCGCCCAAAGCGGAGGAGATGTTGTCCGCCGCTCCAGCCAACCAATACGATTGCAGATCCCTTGGCGAAAGCAGGGTCAAACTGGTGCCGCCGTACAAGTGCGCCTTGAGCATGTGGTGGCCCAGTTCCAGGGTGAGCTGCGGCGACAACGGAGCCTGCAGACGGGACAGCCGGAAGGCGATGGCCGCATGTCCCAGCCGAGCGTCGCAGAGGAACTTGTTGGACTCGCCCTCGTCGCGCCGCATCAGCCACTCCCGCAGGGAGCTGTGGAAGAACATGTACGTGTTGTCCAGCCGCTTGATGAGGAACCCATCCAGCAGCTTGAAGCGCTGCATGAACTCCGGCCAGCTGAGCGACTCGCGTCCGTGGCCCAGCGCCTCCATGCTGTAGTAGATCTCGTCCAGCGTCAGCGGATATAGGGCGGCCAAACAGACGTTGAGGATGGGGGCGGCCTGCTCGAAACTGCGGGCGGTGGGAAAGCGCAGATTGAAGTGCAGCAGGAAGATCTGGGCCAGGGACACGGGCAGCACCTTGTAGCTGGACGACTTGATGACCAGCTGGCCGCGGGCAATGAGATCCAGTATGAGCTTGGCATACAGCATGGAGCCCCTGCTCAAAGACTGCAAATGCGAGACGAACTTTGTCTGCGGCTGACCGCCCGCCTGGCTTCCACTGCCACCGCCACCTCCTCCTCCTCCACCGCCAATGTTCAACCGGATCTCAGGGCTGTCGGCCAGTCGGGCGCCAATGTAGTCAAGCATGTCCTGCTGCAGCGCCTGGCCCCAACTGTCCAACGTGAGCTGCGTGTAGCTGGGCGCCTTGACCAGCTCCAGCATCTGGGTCCGCACGGTGGCCACCAGTTTCAGCCAGGCCGGAAAGTGTGGCGTGAGTTGGGCGAGGAAACTGGCTATTGTGTGGCCGTGATCGGGACGATGGTACTCCGCCTCGCAGAGGGCATCCACCAGGATGACGGCCACCTTGGCGGGAATCTTGCCCGCCCGATGCAACTGGGCCAGTGGCTCCAGTATGGCCAGCTTCATCACCCGCTCCGCATCGGCGATGCACTCGCGCACACTGAGGATGTCCTGGAGGTGCGGCTCCGACAGCAGGTAGTCCCTGTAGGCGGTCAGCTGGGGCGCTTGGCACAGCTGGGCGGCCAGGGAGTGCACAAAGTCCGGCACCTGGCAGGTGAGATTGGCGTCCGCCTGACAGAAGTGGTAGCCCACCATGTGGGAGGCCAATCCCCGCATGCGCTCACAGTGGGCGCCCAGCTGGAGCTGGCTGTAGATGCCATCGGGATCGTCCTGCATCTGCCGGCGGCCGAAGCAGGAGTACTCCACCAGTTGCAGGCAGAAGGCGGTCTTGCCGGTGCCCGGCTGTCCGTTGATCAGCACCACACGCGTCTCCGTGCCGAGCAGAATGTTGGACAGCTGCTGCACCAGCCACTGGCGACCCACGTACGGCGGATCCGGCTCCTGCAGCGGCACCTCGAAAAACAGCGGCTTGAGGGCCAGTTGAACTGCTGCCAGCGTGGAGGCTGTCACCCTGGATCCCTGGATACCCGCTGCTGCTGCTGCCGAAGAGGAGCTGGAACCGGATGCCTGCTGACCACGTGTCGATCTCCGGACATTTCCTTTGCGACTCTTGCTTGGAAGCGCTTCGTAAACGTGCAGCATGGAGCAGCCGGCCTTGAACTTGCCACACAGACTCAGTGCATCCTCCTTCAGCCCGTGACTGGTGGCCACCGACAGTTGGCTGCCGCTGAGCAGCCCGCCGCCGCTGGCCAGCGTCTGCTCCGGACTGACGTTCTGCGAGGATCCGCTCGTGGTGGTGCTGGCCGCTCCCACGCCGCTGCTGCTGGTGGTGCTGGTCGTGGAGTGGGCCGAGATGGGCTCGCAGCCACTGCCGCTGGAGCTGCTGTTGCCATTGCTGCCGGGATCGTTGAGCAGCAGGCCGAGGCGGGCGTGCAGCTGGTCCTTCTGCAGCTTGTCGTTCAGGAGCGAGGCGTGGTGGTCCAGGGCGTCGCTTCCTGCGGAAGGAGATACACAACAAATAGGATTAGGTGTGGAGTCCAACATGTGGTAAGCATGCAAAAAATTTACTAAACATTATTAAACATCAATTAGTAAACTTAAGGTTATACTTTTGAAGTGGACATTAATTAACAAGCAATGAAAAATTGCTTAAAGGGTATATAAATTACAATAACTAATAGATTTGCCCAAATAATTAAATATGATAAATATATTTATACCGTAATGTAAAAGGTATATATTAACATTTTTTGCCAATGACAGAAGATAGTTTCAAAAAGTATTTCTTCTTAAGAAATTAAATTTATTTTGAGTTCCAAAAAGTGTGAAATAAAATAATATAAAAAAATTGCGTTAAATTAAACATTTTATTACCTTTCAAATTTAAAAAAAATAAAAAATTAACAAAAATATCGTCACTTATTCAAGAATATAAAAAACTTAAGAATTAAGTGCTTAATTTATGTTCAAAAGTTAACATTGCTTGGGAACACGAATATCAAATATTTCAAAAATTAACCCTTTCAATTGACAAATCTCTTGATAAAATTTTACAATAGCCCTAAAAAAAACTGTAATGTGTATTATATAATAATAATATATATTTTTATACTATATATATTATATTGATAAACTCATTAATTTGTTAAAACGTCTTATTTAAAGGTTGAAAAAAAAAAAAAATTAAAACAAGGTGTTAGTGGACAACAATGGTGATGCAGCATGCAAACGACTGGAACTGAAGAAGGATGCACATATGAGGAGCGGAGCCATGCCTGCTAGTTGGTTCAGTCCCGCCTCACTCGAGTTGGAGGAGTTGACGCTCCACAGGGACTTGATCTTGCCGAAGACCAATGAGGACAAATGACCGGCGTAAACGGATGTTCCGGCCAAACTGAGCCTGTTCAGGCGATTTTCGCTGCTGGCTCCATGGCGAGCCGAGGTCTTCAGGTTGTGATTGCTCACATTCTTGCGACGCCTTCTTGTGACCGCCGAATCCGAGCAGGTCGATGTGTTCAGGGCATTCGACTCCTTGCCCACATTCTGGTTGTCATGGTGATGATGCTGATGCGGATGATCTAACGATGGATGCTAGGTGAGTTTTCTTTTCGATGTTGTTTTGGGAATGCAATCAAATGGGTTCCATTTGGACTCCTAAATTTGTACTTTACTTACACGTCTAACTATAATTTAATCTTTAAATGGGGTTACCTTTAATGTTATATTATATGCTAAGATGATTTTTCTTTTCGAGGTAGTTTGGGTTCCATTTGCGCTATTAAGTTGTTTGTGAATTTGAATTATAGGTGCCTATTATACTACTATTTAATATTTATATGGGATTACCTTTATTAAAATATTTAAATATGTTTACCAAGTTAAGGGATCTACTTATTTCTCAATAAAATTGTCTTTAAATAAGTGACTATTCCCAAAAAGAATTAAACAAGTTTTGTATGCCAACGCTCGAATGTGACCCTCAGTTGAACCCCCGTTCTGAACTTACCGCCTGATAGGATTGATGCCGTGTCAATGGGACAGCCCCCATTGGAGGCAGTGCGTCGATGGCCGACGCCCACTCCGCCAGCACCTCCTCCTCCTCCTCCTGATCCTCCGCCAGATCCTCCATTACCTCCTCCAGTGAGGGCACTGCGCAGATTCTTGTGGTTGAAGAACCGCCTACGCGTGGGCGGAGTGGCAAAGGCCGGTGGTGCGGCACTCAGTTCGCTGTAGGCCGACGCATGGATGTTGTGGCTCAGGCTGCTGCTGCGACTGTGGCCACTGATGCCGTTGCCGTGGGCCATCAGCTGCTTGGCGGCGGAGGCCACGGCTCCTCCGCTCAGGTGGTGCACATCCACGGTGACCGTTTGCGTGGTGCCGGTGCCGGTGGAGAATGCATTGCCATTGGTAGAGGCCACAGCCCGGGGCAGTTTGCCATTGCTCGCATAGCGGTGGTGGTAGTCCGGTGACTGTGACTCCTGGCGGTGCTGCTGCAACAAAATGTGCCAATTGAGTTAAAAACTTATCAACGATGAAAGTTAATGTACAGTGAAAAATATAAAACATCAGCTATTGTTGTCTAATTGTAATTATTTCTTTTAAAAATGGTAAAAGTCTACCTATAACCTACTTTTTGGAAAGGAATTTTATTAATTGTTGTGTAACGATTTATTTTAAATATCTTTCGAGGTTAAAATTATACCTAAATTTAATACCTCTGTTGCTTTCAAGCAATCAGATATTCTTACTATTTTTGTATATTTCTGTAGCTCATTTAACTAATTTTCTTTCAGTGTAGATGTGGCACAGCTTTCGTCAAAGTTGAGCAGGCCCCAAGGGAAAGGCGTTGCTCTTTGATTGGTCACATGTGTGGGCCATCCTAAGATGAAAGCGCTCAAATGGCCACAGATCCAAGGCACTCACAAAGCCAACGAGGTGGTGCTTCTAGGCATAAAACCCACCTTTTTGCAGCCCTAAACCAAAATGTTGTCAGACCCATCAAGTTGTGGTCTTTACCACCCGACTTAGACATAATTATCATGTCAAGATCAGGCTGGATTTGTGGGCACACTTTAAAAAATTTCCACTGAACAAATCGTGCACTTGGCCAAAATTTGTGTATTTAACCTTGATCTCTTATGTATTTTCACACATTTTGGATTTTGCAATGGGAATACCTTCTAACGCATAAAGGTGTGGAAAACCAACAATTACGGTGTTAAAATATGCTGTGAAAATAAAGTGCCAGCTTATATTTCACTAGATAATAGCTATTGAGTAACCTAACAAATAAACATATAGGTTCCAAAGAAAAGCTTGTTTGAATTGAACAAAACGTTTCGTGGTCATTGCCTAAAAAATATGTTTGGTGCTAAGTAGTTTTCGGGTCAAATGCTAGGTAACCTTATTTTTCTGAGTGCAGCTTCGTCTTTTCAAGCCTAGTGCCTGTCCATGTTGTGGACTGTTGTCCTCCGATCTGACGGGACACAGACCGAAACCAATTTCATTCACATGCGGGGCATAAGTCCCCTCGAAAGGGGTCTTAGTCATCGTCTAGTCTGTGGCTCCTTCGGTTCGGGGGCTTTCGTCTTAATGAACTGCAAATCATTTTCTGTCTGCGTTGGTTTTCGCCTTCTCTTGTTTTCCTTTGATTTTGTTTTATTTTTTTTTTTTTTTATTTGGGTAGGCCCAAAGACTGGACATGGCACAGAAAAGCTCAGAAACGTGATTTCCAGGACAGAATCGGTAACACAAACACAAACACAAACAGAAACAGAAACAGATTTAGAACCTGAGAACCAGTTTCTGGGTTCTGTGTGGGATAATAAGATGAAATTGGTTGGCTCCGCCAGACGGAGTCGGAGGCCATTAATTGACAGGCAGGAGGTGTGTGTGTGTGTGTTTGGAGGCAGGCAGGTGGCTGGGATCCAGGGAGGAGCTTTGGACTTTGGAGCCGCTCAAAAAATCCGGCGAAGGGACTGTTATGAAATTAATTGAAGGCAGAGAAACTCAAGGGATCGAACTTTTTATAGATCATCGATTAAGGCTCTAACAGAGTTGTTGAAATTGTGTTTAAGGTAGTGAAAGACTTTGGTAGCTATTCAATTTGCCCCGTTTGATGATTGTGATTTGGCTAAAGAACCCATCTGACAAGTTGCTCCGCCTGCGGATGTCTGAGTGCTCTGGTTCTCTTCCAGCAGCGGATGTCTGGGTTCAGTCACGACACAAGTCGCCCACTTCCGCTGCAGGATGTTTGGCTGAGCCAGTCTGCCCACAGACTGTCAACCGACTAACTAAGTCCACAGGCCTTTTCCTATCCATCATGTGGCTTACAAGTAAGTTCGAACTTTGAAAATCCCAATTTAATTTACGATATTAAATTCTAAATCAGGAAAAAGAAATATCAGAGTTTAAGAACTATTTTTGTATGAGCTTTGAATTAAGTATATTTAATTAAACATATACAAATTCTTGTTTAATATGTTTAAGCACCAATCTAATTTAAAGGGTTTACCAAATAAGATAGATTATTATCCTTTCTTATTATATAAGAAGAATAGGTTTCCTCAAATACTCGTTTAAAAACTGATATATGGCTACGTCCGAAATGTTTCTATAAGTGCTTTGAGTGAAGTATTATTAAACTAATCATTTGGGTTCCCTATTTTACTTTGTAAACTTAAATTTTCATTAATGTTAATTAGCAATATATACTTCATTCTTTTTAAATAGATCTGGTTTTTGCTTTGTATCCTTCCTTTTTTGTTACGAACTCTCTGAGCTCCCAGACTGTGAGTGTCTCTGATCGGCAGGCTTCAATCTTGGATCTGTGAGCTACCGGGATCAGCTGGGGAATTCCATGGCGCTGATCTGCTATCCATCGATCTGGGGATCAATAGATCCGTGGGCTGAGTTCCGCCTCTATCTCAGCGTAATTAAACTGCGGTTCGCTTTGGTCCGTTTCGATGCGCTTCACTCAACCCAATCCAATCCAATCCAACCCAACCCAATCCGATCCAATCCAATCCAAAACCAAGAGCAAGACCCAACCCAACCCCACCTTTCTTTCTTTCACTCGTGTGGTGGAAAGGCTTTCTTTAAACTAGTTCGTCGTGGGGTCTGGGATCTCTTATCGCTTCCCGCGGCGGCGTTTTAATTGGCCCCATCACTTCGATTAAGTTGTTGCCGGCACACGAGCCGTGCTTTGGAAAATAATTAACAAATTATGCCTGCCATACATGGGGCCATGGAAAATTTGAAAATTGAAAGAAAAAACATCACTTCTGAAAAGGTGATTTTCACTTTTCCCGCTCGGCAATTTGTCCGCGCGGAGACACAGAGAAAGAGGAGTTGCCGCGGCTACCGTGAAAAAGTGGCATAAAATTTGCACCGCTAGATGGAGATGATCGGAGTTAGTGAGATGGAAACAGGATGCTATTAAATAGTGTAATTTGTTAAGAAACACAGGTCAATGTTCATTAGGCGTTATGCGATCATGATGTCCATTAAACATTAATATCATATTTATTAAAATTTAAGTATCGGAGGTAATGAGATACAAACAGGATGCCTTTAAATGAAGTATTTTGTAGCGAAAGAAACAAAGTTAATAAATAATTATGGTACCATTAAAAAAAATCATTTCTAAATATTTATATATATATTATTTAGAAGCTCTTAAAAGTAGCCTTTACAGGAAAAACTTTGCTATTACTAGTTTAAATCCCAACACGAACTTCCACCAACCCACTTTTAAAAACCAATTTAAATGCTTGGCAAATTATAATCGTGAGAACACACCAGTATTTTTTTGGAGGAACAAATCATGTTAGAAATTTATGAACTGTCAACCGTTTGCTTGAACTTTGGCCGCTCCCAAACCGGCAAACAAATGAGCAGATCGAGCCAATTGACCGACTGACTACCAGCCAGAAAACTACAGTATATCGAGCAGCAAACTGCAAAACCCAACCGGATCGGATCCAAATGGCTGGAACCCCAAGGGGAGTCTCCTGCGCCGTCTCTCGTCGCATTGAGGCGCAGGTGTAATAATGCCAGCTGCCACAGAGCCGGGCCAGAAAAAGCCAGTAATTGTAATATGACAAACCCGCATTAATTTGCTCGCAAAAACTAAGGCGAAACCGAAACTGAGAAAATCGGCAGAGTCAGACTCCGAGACTCACACAGAAAGTAATTATTATGTTTTTATATATATTTAGAAAATAGAAATTCACATAAAATTAAGAGTTTGTACCCTCAAAAAACAAACAAAATCGAATTTAATAACAAAAATGTCCCTAATTTTAGGAATAATTGCATTAAGGCATTTATTTCCTTAAGTTCTTTTTTAGGCCATGCATTCCAAAAATTTAAAGTAATTGTTTTCTTAGTGTACTTGTTGTGCTAAACAAAATAAACAAAATTAGCAAAAAATGTATAGCATTCTGCAGTTAATATAAAAATTGTTTACCCTCGAAAATATACTTTTTCTTATAAAGATGTTTTTAATTAAAATAGAAAGAGCACAGAAATGAGCTTTTGTATATTTTAGATACATTTTATTATTGTAATTAGAAATAATGTGGTACTAAAAAAAATCTTAAATTTTTCTAAGTGCATGCAATGCAATTACAGCGGCGGTATTTAATGACCGAGTCCACCGAGCGGCAACAAGATTAATGGTTCATTCAAGAATTCGATTTTCGGCCACAACAACAACAACAGCAGGTTCATATCAAAATGTACGTTTTTTTTGGCTGCCATTTTTTTCTCCTTTAAATTATGAAAAATAAAATATACATCTCATGTTTAGCTGCGGGGCGTTTGCGAGAACCAACAACACAGCGTCACAGAACTTGGCGGTCCCAGACATTGTGACACCAGCCAAATGCAGCAGCAGCAGCAGCAGCACCACCACCACCACCACCACCAGCAACTCCAATGGAGTTGCCTGGCCAAGACTCGTTTAAGCCACTTCCACGAGGGTGTGGGCCCGGCCAACTGGCTGGTTAAATCAAATGATATTTCTACAACAGTTGCTTGTGTTGAAAAATAATTGTTTAAATGTCATAAAATAAACAACACAAGCCCAGCGGAGGGTCAACAAGTGTGGAGGTCTGCTGAAAACCGCAGTGAAAACTGGCCAAATTGAATAGAGTCAAAACGGCAGCTCAAAGACTTAGATTCCATTATAGATTAATTAAATTGGGGAAACGTTTGAGATCTAATGGAAGCTGGACTTAAATTAAAATCGTTTTAAGTGCCCATAATTATATAAACTAAGGCAATAATTTTGAAAACGTGGGGCACTTAAATTTAACTAAAATTAAATAAAGTTGATTAGAAAAATCGTAATAAATTTGTAGTACGGGTAATTATGAAAATAAATGTAATTAAGAGCAAGCTAAGTAGTTTGTGCCATTTAACCAGTTTTCAAGATATCTCACATAATTTATCCAAAGATTTCCACTTGGACCGCCCTCTAAACCTTGAAAACAATACAAAACACCACTCAGCATTATTCAGCCATGACAAATGTTTATGATCACGAATCGCGTATGGAGGAAAATGTTCGAGTATCATTTAGTGGGAAGCATTAGCGAATCGCATGCAAACGCTTTTGTGCGATTTTAAACGCGCTGGCATTTCAAAACCGCCCGTAAAAATCGCCCACTTTGCATTCGGCATCTAATGGCAGTCGTCGTGCTCGTTGGCGGTTTAAAAAAGTGCCCATTAAGCGGGGCCCAGTATTGTTGGTGCTCGTATCCAAAATCCAAATCCCCAGTTGCTTGGGCGCATTTTGGCCAACGATTCGATTGCGAAATCTTCTGGCTAGCATTATTAAACACACACTTTTTGTATTGTAATCATGCTTAGAATGTTGGCCGACTCTGTGGTGTTGGCTCAAATTGGTTTTCCTTGTCCCGGCGACTGCACAGAGAAAAACAAACTCAATTAGGAACAGATATCTGATATCAACTAATAACATTAAATCGAACACTTTTTTTTACCGTGTGGGGTTTGTCCACTTGAGTGGAGTGCACCGAAATCCAAGCCAAGACAAACAGCTCAATGCAAAGTGATTTCGGCACTCACAAGACTTTGTTTAATTAAGATTTTGCATTAAGTTGTGTACTCGTATGAATGTCAGCCCAATTTGAATACCAAATTTTATTAGGATCACCGAAACGTTGAAATGGATTTGCCATCGAATTGCAGGCAGTCAGGCAGTCAGGTGAAAGCATTCGCTCTGCTACTGGTAAGTGAAAAAGCTTGCCACACAATAAACAAGAGACCCGAACATTAATCAGTTGGGTAAACAAATCAAATGGCGGGAATAGTGTATATAGTAAACAAGAGACGAGATAAAGTTGTTGGGAGGGAAATACAAGTATGCCAGCAGTTATTGCGGACATTTCGACAATTGCAGCCGAATTGAGTGAGAAATTAAAGTCCACGGCGGCGGCACTACTACATGACCATAATTAATTGACAAGCTGGGAATTTGGTTTTCCATTGGCAATATAAATCAATGCTAGCCGAGGGAAAAATGCATGCTGAGCCTCTTTTCTTCGGCGAACATGGCCACGAGCGGTGAGAAAAATTAATGCATTTACTTAACGATCGATAAATCGACTCGAAAAAGCCGCTCGACGACAACCGAATTGCGCAAAAATATTATGACCATCGCCATGTGGCACATATCAAAGGCCTCCGCCAACTGTGGACCAAGATAATCCAATCCACAGCCAGATCAACAAGACCGAACACACGACCTGAGAAATTGTTTCTCAACATGCAAATGCCGTGCGATTTATTTGAGGAAGCGGCTCGCATGCCAAAAACCACCAGACACCCAAACTTAAACCACAAACTTAAACCAAGAAAAAAACAAAAACACCCAGAGATAGAGATACGAGGAGATAAACGGGTGAGATATAGAGACAGCCACCTGACTAGGTGAAATGGGTGAGAAAATATATCCATATGCCAGTATGCTAGTAATGCAAATGCTAGAAATGCAAAAGCAAATGCAAATGCAAATGCAAATGCATTTGGCAAGCGCTACCAGGCCGGGCGAAATTAAGTTGTTATTTGCCTGGCTCATTTATTTATGGCATTTCGAAAGTTGACAATCCTTTCGCTATCTGTCATCTGACCCATCGGACTTTGGACATTCAGCAGCTACCGACTTCTAACTCTCAGCCCGTTGAGTTGCAAATTGATTTTCCCACCAGCTTTCACATGAGCGGGTCAGAATAGTGATCACGATTCCCTCCTTCCCGCTGCCAAAATCTTACTTTCCACAACAACCCATAAAAATTATAACTATGTGAAGGAAGGCGCACACAAATCATAAAAGCAAATGAGCCAAAGCTGGGAAAAGATCACATACAAACGTATTTCGGTTTGTGCGTCAATCAATGAGCAATAAGCCTTTCTTTGGCTGCACCAAGCAAAAGTATTACCATAGTTGTGCATCAGTAAAAGTGTATTTCAACACAAATTAGCACTTTCTTTCTAATTTTCATTTTTATTATCCGATAAATACTACAATTGCAAGGAATATAATTGATTTTATGGTTCTTCTTTGCTTTTGAAAACGTGCATAGTACCTCAAAATATTTCTTTTTAGAAAAGTTTATGTGCCATTTTTGTTAACTGATTGGTTTTTAACGGTAGCCTGACCTCACGTATGAAATAAATATTTAAAGAGCCATTAAGGACTTGCTGATGACTTTATAAAGCAAGCCATGGGAAACCAATAAATGGTCTGGTATGGTTATGATATTTCCAATTTCCCAGACTAAAGCTTAATTTCACAAATCGTATGGTATGGGCAATTTGTGCATTTCGCGTAATATAAACTTAATATAAACTTTTTCTGTTTTTCAAACACACTGTTTATGAATTATTTTTCATATCTTAAAGGATGGAAGTACTTCCCATCTTTTAAAAATCGCATTTACTTTTGTATTTAGTTTCAGTTTTCAGTTTCCTTTGCTTAAAGCCCTTTTTTTGAGTGTAGAGCTCGGCTTAGAGTGTCATCACTTGGGATTGATTGGAGCATAAAGGTACTCTCACTCATCACACTCGCGGGGCGTCTTTAATATCACGGTCGGTGTTATTGATTTCTGGGAAAGTGAAATGCACTTTGGTGCGGTTCGGTTGGGTTTGGCGGTTACGGTTTTTTTTTTTGAGGCACTTCAGGTTGAGGTTTAGGAAGCGTTAACGTAACGAGAACAAGTTGGGCATAAAATGCATTGCATGCGCACTTTTTGTGGCGGCTTTCTAATGCCATGGCCAATAGGCGAGAGTCGTGGTCAGGTCGGTCATTTATGACCCCTCCACCTCCACTCGCTGGATTTCCCTGGGAGTGTGAAACGTGCTCGGCATGCCGAATGCCAATGCTAATGGCAATCGTAATGGAACTGCACAGGAAAATGGACCAGCCATTGCCATAAACATGAGCATCATTGTGGATGTACATCCACAACCACATCCATCCTCCATTCTCCATCCTCCAGTTGGTTAAGTACTCCACTTGAGTCCGGCTTAGTCGGGCGTAAATAATCTTGAGATGCATGCATCCACTATTGACTTATGGGTCAGGTGGGAAGAAGCATTTGGCATGCTCAGGCTCAGGTAAGACCAATCATATAGGGCGGCCCTAATGATAAGAAATGCTGTTAGGGGTTAATGAAGTTGTGGGAGCATTCAAGTAATTCGATTGGAAAAGAGAAGGGTTTTTACTAAGTTTTAAAACTGTATGCTTCACTAGACAGGTAATATTACTTATTTTATTTGTAAATAATTTATATTCATGATATTTTATAGAAGCATTTTTTTTAAAACTCCAACTACAAATGCCCAAGAAATCAACAATGCAGCGCATTGCCCAATTTAATTAGCAGCATTTTGGGTAAACAAACCGCCGACACTTTAACACCTTTTGTCAGACAAATCCGGAAACGGTCCCTTGGCCCTTCTATTATTGTTTACCTTTGGCCAAAGCTTAGAAAGTGAAAACTTTCATGATAAATCCAAATTATAAAGACCAAGCCAACACGAAGCGTTAATTGCTGTTCGTGGCTTGCACTCTTGTAAGCAATTTATTTAAAGTGTAATTATTTTCGCTGCTATTGTGTTCAATTTTGATGATGTTAATAGAGCTACGCTGCATTTTTGATGCTAATGAACTTTTATTAACATTTATATTTGCTTGGGAAAAAAATCCTAAAAAGAAGTGAAGCATTTAAAAATAATATTGTTAAAATAATTTAATTCATAACATATCCTTAATAAGCTCAGAGAACCATGGCTTCATTTTTTTCCGTGTAACTTGGCTCAACTTTGTTTGGACTTAATTTTCTCTGCATATTATGCAAATTTCACCCATTTCGCCATCGCTTCATCTGCTTTCATCCAAGAGTGTCTGCATGTTTTATCACTTTTCGCACAGCCCGTAGTCAAATTAATTTCAGTCAAAAACTTTGGCCCTGCCCTTTTGGGTTCGCTTTGAGTTGAGTTGAGTTGAGTTGGGTTGGGTTGGGTAGGTGTGCTTTATCCGCTGGCTCTTTCTTCGCCCGACTTAATGATTAATTTGGATACATGTATGTTTTATATTTCGCATTTATTGTGCTCGGACTTTTCTGCAAGGCATCTTGTGCCCGACAATGTGGCTCATATTTCTGCTGACAGGCCAACTGATGTCCAGGCCATCGTCTTTCTTCTTCTCCATTTCTCCCTTTTGTGGGCCCTATAGAAAGCAACTTTCTTTCCCATTTATCAAGGTACTGAAATTTGGCTGTTTTGGCCTTTGTTTTAATCGCTAATTGCACTTTGTGGCAGGCCACAATTTACTTGTTGGCAAATTGATATTTGGGCCAATAAAGATAAGCCGTGTAATTTGTTTTATATTTCTGCGGTCTGATGTGGGCAGTTCATTTATATGGGTTTTTGGGTTTATTTTGATTTTAATTACTGGTCAGGCGAAGTCAAAGTGAGTTAATTTTATGTGGGTGTGTTTATGATATGGCATGGACTTTAATCTGAATTGGTTCGTAAATTATATTTTGCCATTAAACTGTAAAGGCATATGGCAAATTATTTTGATTCAGTATTTAACAAATGACCACTTACTTGCAGTTGTCGTTTCTCAACAGGATTTTGCAATTAATATCAATTATTAATTACCCCATAAACTAAGAAATGTTAAATTTACCATATTTTACATAAAAGAAAATGTGTTATTGTGAACTTTTATTTTATGTTAGAATGATATATCTTGTAACTTGACCCATTCCATGGAATCATACATTGTTGCCACGCCTTCGTTAAGTGCAACGTAGATAAATGTCGAAGAGGCGGCTAATAAACATATTTCGCGGCATTTATTGAACAATTCCAGCAATTTACGTTTATTAGCGACCCACAACTAACTCGCGAAACGCTGTGAAGCCTTTGACTCATTTGCATTTTGCATGCAAATGTGGTCAGCACACATAAGTGTTTTCCAGTAGCTCAACCTGCAGCCAATTAGCGACTTACATATATTTGGTAGTGGCCTTTGCTTTGGCTCTTTGGGCGGTTTTAAAACTACCAATCGTTTTGGCTGAAACAAAAAGTTATATTTTCATGCCAGCCTTAATTACGGTCCAATTCTGATGGAAGATATTCGGAAAATTGATTAATTGTCGGTTTTGAGAATTGTTTTGAATGCGCCCAGCAGGTGGCGTTTTGAGTGTGTGCTTGCGCGCGGTTTTTGTCGCCTTCAAGTCGCGCCGTGAGTTCAATGGCGCGTTTGTGGCTTTGTTGCAATAATCAGTCGCTTGTTCGACATCGGATTATGATAGTAAATGATATGTTGGCTATGGCTATTTTCAATGTGCATTTATGCCTGATTGCAGCCATTGTTATGACCATAATTAAGCGAATCATTGTTAAGCGAGCGAAAGTCAACGTGGAAACGCTTGGCAGTATGTATTTTATAAGTGGTGGGTAATTAATGGTAATACATTCTAACAAAGCATAATATTTAGAGCTAGAAAAATACATTTAATTTTATAACAATCCTATTACAATTAATGATAAAGTTTCATAAAAGCAAGAAAGGCTGATATATGTTGAGTTAAGAAAATGTTAATATTTAATTTAAATAAATTAAAAAAAAATAAGATTCAATTTTATTATAAGGAAGCATATCCAGTTTTCAAAAGGGTATTACTTGATAAAAAAAATAGTACTAACTTTTGGTTAAGATATGAAATATTATATTCATTGGAAAGGGAGTACTGAAACCTGATCGATTATTATTGTACCACTTTACAAATTGAATATTTAGATTTCTAATCGGCATTTGAACAATAACTTGTGTATGCATAAAACTAGTTTAAGATATATTTCCCTATACCTACATTGCTTATTTAAATTGATATTAAATAACTGGATATTGAGCATGCCTTTCTCGAGAATAAATGTGTTTGCATTTGAGTTCCTGGGTCACACCCTCAATCCAACTTGAACCCATGAATATTTGCTCACATGGCGCTAAATCACGGCCAATCGAAAGTCATCGCGCTCAGTAATGAATAATTGCACAGCAGGTGGTATAAAAACAAAAAGATACCTGAGCTGTCTCACAATCGAAATCAGTTCGAGATGCGGCGATTCAGGCAGGTGTCGCACTGCACCAAGTAAATACATAAATCTCTTGCGAAATCGAAACAGCAGCCACTGGCAGAGCTAATGATACACGGCGACTGCCACACATCCATCCAATCGAATACCAATTACAATGTTTGACATTCCGCAAAGTAAAAGATACAGGCGAGTACACTAGGTGCGCTGCATTTGATTGATTGCCTTCCCCGGCTCGCGTTTTTTTGGCTTTTGCTAATCATTAATACGTGATGCTATCGAAATTGTGGATAATTAACGCCATATTTGTTGCCAGCAATGGACAATTAGACGAGGCACAGACCAAAAGGAAAAATAAATTGCATGCGAGATTAAAATCGCGCTTGGCGTTCATTTTCCTTGCGTCCGTCTAATGGGTCGAAAAACGCGCTCGAATCGCTCGTGAATCGCTGGTCGATATCGGCTTTATTTGGCGCTTTTAATGCAAACTATTTCGCATTTGAATCACTGGCATTTTCCAAGTTGATTTGTCGCCTGTGCATGTCAATCACAAACATTGAGGTACCTCGCTTTTTTTTGCGCCTGGGCATAAATATGTTTGCATTCACAGTGGCGTTTAAAATAATAGTTGTGATTTAAATGCATGGTGTAAAAGAATAAAGAATAATTAAAGCGCTGAAGTCTATTTCTTAAAATAGTACAAAAAATTTACTTGTAATAAATAAATGCAGCTTATCGAGAGGCCTTAAAGGAAATTTAAATGATTTTTTAAAGATTTCTTCCACTTTGTTAGTATTGGAATTTATGATTATCAAAAAAACTTTATTTCAAAAAATGTTTATTGTTTTTCTTGATTTTCATTTTGAATAGCAATGTTAATAAAATTGTATTTTGGATAAGCATTTTTGAGGTAATTTTTTTTCGGTTACTATAAATCGGTTCATAGCTGTCCGTTTTATATCGACCAGCTTATAACACGATTTCCAAACGATAATTAGACGGAGACCACGGGGCCAGCTGCCACTTAATCTAATGACAGTTCTCGGGCCCCACCGCAACTCACTTGGGAGGCAACTCCCCGGCTGATCGGCAATTGGCTAAACGACTTCTGGTTTGGCTCAGATAGATAGTTATGTAAAGTGTTTGGTGGCTACCAAAAGAGCCAACTACACCGATAGCTGACACACTTCCGACACTCGAGCAACGCAGGCATAACCATATCCATGTCGTTACCATCGCGAAGAAATGGAGAATCATGGCAACCGCTCCAATTGTCGCTGGCCAAAACAGAGACTGGCACTCATTCTCCGGCCATAAACTCAATTCGCTTCAATTGCCTGCCATTGAGCAAGTTTTTCCGGGCGCATCGGGACTCATCTCAAAATCACATCAACTTAAATCACATCAAATCAAATCAAACCAAACCGATTCGAATAGTATCGCGAAGAGTCGTATTAATCAGTCGCGATTGTAAAAGGAAACTTTCTTTCTTGGGCATTTCTTTGCTGGCGTTTTCAAAGGCTTTGACTTGTTTGTGTATTTGACTTAATGGCACTTAGGTGTCGAACATTTTATGATTTTACGATCGATGGTGTTATATGGCGCTGTCTGCTTTGGCTGGCTGTTGATTAATTCCGGCAAATTGGGGAGGACAACAGATGTGGGCTTTGTTTACAAAGTGTTATCTATTGAAGCGCCAATCTGAAGTTTGTTATGGAAATTGTAAATGAATTTACGTAGCTTGTACCCTAAACTTATTTTGTTTAAAAATGTTTATAAGCCAAGCTTATCTTCCATATCTTTAATATTATTTTTGTAAAAAGAAAGCTCCAATGCATAAATCCCAAAATCACTTTTCCACTTTCGCAAAAATTCAAATCAAATCTTTTGGCAACACAATATGACAATAATTAGAAATCAATTTACACGTCGGATTTGGATCACCGCCGATCTCTCCCGACTTTTGGAGCATTGTTTGTCTAGCCCGTCCTTTTTGGACTGTCGGATCAGAGTCGGCGGCCGAAATTTACATCCATGTCCATGTCATGTGTCCGAGCAACTTGGCACGTTTATGTTTGCTTATGCGCGAGTATTAAAGTCTTAAGTGAAATCCCATGTCACGTGTCAGAGAGCGGACCGAAAATACAACCCAGTCGAAAATGAAAACTAAAAACCGAAAACTGAAGCTCAAGCCCCCTTCCAAACGGAAATCAATTGAGAATCGCTATGAAATAAATACTTCAGCAAATGCGAATGTTAATAAATATGCTGCGAGAAGTCGGCAAGAAGTATGCAGAGGAAAAAAATGATTATAAATATTTTACATAGATTATTTAATAATTTGCTTCCAAGTTTACTAATTTTGAAACCTATTGAGGGCATGGGATTTTTATACAGTTTGTGAAAGAGTAGAATAGGTTTTTAATAAATAACTTTAGGTTTTTAATAACGAAAGTCTCAGAACACTATTTTATTTTATTAAAGTATTGAAAACTCTAATTAAATTAAACCGTTTAAAATCAAAAATTGGATATTTCGTACATTGTAAACTAGTTAGTTACATTTAATTTGGTTTTAACACGAAGTTAAAAAATATAATGATTTAAAATATCATTATGAAATAACATTTTCAAAAACTTTTACCTTTGTGCTTTTCCCTTAATCTAAAAAAAGAAAAATGTACAACAAATTATAAAAATTACATTGCTATTTTTGAAAAACATATGTAAGTGGTTGAGGTAATATTATTATATTTTTTTCTCTGTGCAAAGTGTGTAAATTGGTCCGGCTTAGAAAGCAGAAGACACTGGACGGTGGTCGGAGGCCTGAGGCGACGGCTGGCCGCCGAAGTGACCCAGTTTCCCCCCATCTTCATCTCCATCTCCATCTCCATCTCCAACCCCATCTCCGTTGGGATCTCCAGTTGCAGCTCCAGCCACAGCTGCTCCTCCTGCTGCCAACTGCTACCCAACTTCGTCTGCCGGCAAGCGGTGGAAAAACAAACTGTCAGTTTAACCATTTGACAGTCGCTTTGAGATACACAAGCGCAGATATGAGATACGACTACGGGTTCGAGTATCTGCAGCTACTACTACTGCGGCGACTGCATCCTGCCAGACAAGCTATCTAGCACTGGCGATCTGCTCCAGCCCCCCATCTCCATCTCCATCGTCATCCTCATCCCAATTTCCAGCCCCCCGCTTTTCCCAATCCTGAAGAATTGGCTCCCAGCGGCGCCCGACAATTGAAACTTTTGCGCCGTTTTGGCGTATTTAAAGTGACATTTGCTGACAGTCGGTCGGCGATGATCCCGATGGAAATGATTCGAGAGGATCGGCGGAGGAGGAACAGACAGTGATCTACGATACAACCCATGGTCTTTAGTCCACGAACCGATCAGTTCAGTGGGAAGAGTTATTATCGTTATTGTTAAATCAAATTCATTTAATTAAGAGGAAATTGATGGTTGTAATTGTTTGGTCGATTTTTCGTTAGGAATGACTGATTTCTCGAAAATTGACGTTTGATTTGAAGGCTGATCCGTTTAGTTAGTGAGCTGCTTTCGGTATTTTTCCATTTCTGACACAGTTATAAGGCTCAGAAGTAGACAAATTTAAAATACACTTTTTTTATATATTGTATTAAGAGTTATACTTATATTGAATCCATTTGTGTAATATCAATATTTTATGCACATATCCCTAAAAGCTTTCTAGAACCACCCAGAATAAATGATTACAACTTGGAACCGTACTTTACATAAAACAAATTGCTTCACACTCTGTTATGACTTGATTAAATGTAGATTAAACCATTTTACGATCAGCTACGCGCTTTAGCATAATTTCAAACCCAAAAAGGTATTCCGCCTACGTTTTCCATCACATTTCGTTGAACGGGAACTCTTTTTTTGGAAAATGTGTCAAAGTGGTGCTGATAACCCAAATGGGCGACAAAAGAGGCGCTTAGAAAGATGAGCGGAAATGGAAGTCGATGAGATATATAACAAAAGTCGCTTCACCGCCACTTACAAAAGAGGTTTCTTTCTCTTTTCGATTCTTCAGAGTGGATTTCTTTGGCTTTTCTTTTCTTGCCCATTTCCCTCATTTCTTTGATGGGGTCTCTTCATCTCTAGTGGCAGCATAATCAAGAGGCCATTAAAGTAAACACACTAAAGACGACGCCGATTCCCCTCCATCGCCACCTTTATATGCTGTCAGAGTCATGAAAAATACTATTTTTCTACGTGGGTTAGGGTACAAGATAAATAATAATAACCTGACTATCTAAAGAAAATGGTTAAATTTTTTTATGACTTTATATAATGTTTAAATTAGGTCATTTAGGTTTATATTTGGTAAAATCATACTTTAAATGAGCAGGGCAATGCATTTTTTAAGCAGAAAATAAGTATCGAGTTCTTCTTTACTATTTTAAAATAAATAAATATTTTAAAACAAATTATACAATTGCAATATTTACGTATTTTGAAAAATATATTGTATCCATGAGTGGTACGAATTGAAAATGTACAATCCCCCAGATACTTTCCACCACTGTTTGCTTGACGGTGAAACTGAGTATGAGGCATTTCGCGGAGTATCTTAGAGTACGCACTCACCTGCATATAGCGCGCCAGAGCCGCGTTCCTTTGGGCATGCGATCTGAGCTGCGGCTGCGGGGATCCAAGAGGACTCACAATCGTGGATGTGGATCCACCGATTCCGGTGTCGTAGCCCTGAGCATTGGCGCCATCAACATCTGCGGGAAAAAAAGGTGGAACAAATGCAAAACGATGTTAGTAATCAAGTCAAGAAATGTTTGCACAAACGCACTGGGGAAAAAATGCAAAGCTTAATTGTGGAAATGTGTGAGTGCAAAAAGTCGGGTGAAAAGTGGCACACATGTGTGGCCCTTGAGAAAGACGTTTTTCCAGTCGTATGCATTGGGTCAAAGATGATGAATGTGGGTCAAGAAGTCATCGCTGGTTCGTGAATCTTTATTGAACTGGTGGGAAAAGTGTCTTGCTAAGACTACAAAAAATGCAAATTTCTTTGTTAGACTCTCAAGTTAAACAAACAGAAAAAAACCTGTCAGATTGAGATTAAAAAAAAAAGGAAGATAAACATTTTTACTAATTTTTTTTTGCAATTAGTAAAAAGATTTTAAATTAATATTTTATGAAATTGTATTTTATTCTAACAAAACTTATTTTCTTTTGAACAAAGTAAACATAGGAAACGACTCTTTAACATTTTTGTAAATCTAAATACTCATTGCTTTTTGGTGCTATTTATTTTTCCTTGATGGGCACTTAACTATAAACTTTATATTGCAAATTTTTTTAAGTGCAACTTCTTCAAGTCCCACATAATTATCCTATCTAAATACCGTAACCACAACTGGTTGAGGTAATTTCCATACGATGAACTGTATCACTTAATTAGGTATGCAAATAAAGCAGAGCCCTGATCATAAATAAAGAGCAGCCCAGCGAAGTAGCAGGCCAGATCGTAAATTCTCACAGCAAGAGGCCTCAGAGCAGGTGACACGATCGTGTACGATTGGCAGCTAATAAATCCAGTGGCAGCTAGGGAGTTGGGCCTACGGAATCGTGTCAGCACTTGGCTGAAGACGGGCATAACTTTCGGTTTTCATGGGCATGTAACCAGTAGGAGCTGGTGGCTCAAATCCCCATTTTGAGCTCGGTCTCGTGGGCTTCTGATTTTTATGAAGTTAACCGACAATACGAACTCTGCATTTCAAACAATTTGGACGCAATCCGAATATTAATTTACCAAAAACAAAAGGTGAGTATGCCAAGAGTAGGTATCACACGATCAGAAGCCGCATTTTGCAACTCGAACCGCTATTTGAACGACTGTAGAATTCTTGAGGGTTTAGTTTTATTTTGCCAACCATGGCAAATGTAAGAGTTCTTTGAAATATATCTTATGGGATTTGATAAGTCAAAAATGCAAATCTAATTACAAGTTTTTTTGACAAGTTATACTGTTAAATATTGACAACTATTTTATTTTAACTTTTGTATCATAACTACTCTTCTTTTTAATTCATAGTATTAAAATATTGATGGAACGTATAGGTATGTATTTAAGTGATATGCCAAGCCTTATAGTTTTAAAAATAATTTTGTATTATTATATTTTTGCAGCTTTTCTCACTCCAATTTAAAGATGTGCCTTCGACCACTTAAATATCCATTTGTTTCAGCATTCCTCTACACAAAAACCAAAAAAAAAAACAAAACAAAACAAAACACCGGCCATTATTATGGTCTCAGTGCAATTTCTGTGGCATTTTGCACTCAACATGTAACAAAATATTTCCCAGCCTCATATGGCATATCCGAGAGATATGCGAAAAAAGCGGCATGAGACACCGAAAACAGCATATCTGCGGATACGGGACTGGACTGGACTGGACTACATTGGACTGGACTCACCTCTCAGCGAGCTGTTCATGCACATGGGGCACTGGTCGTTGCGGAACATGCAGGAATAGCAGCGCTCGTGGCCACAGGTGTCGATCAGTTTCCGTCTCTTGCCCTTGTCGAAGGATATGCGGCAGGAGGGGCACACGGATCCACTGGCATCGTGTTCCAGGAGACGTCGAATGGACTGGAGATCTGCAAAAGAAGATTGGCGAAGGGGACATGGTGAGTCGAGAGTCGAGAGGCAAACAGGTTCAAATATATATATGAGCACAAAGCACAAAAAAACCGAAACAGTTTAAAGCGTTTCGAAATGGTAATGAGGAAATTACGAGAAGCCCTTCAAAGGGGTCCACAGGCAGGTGTTTATTTATTATTCCTGGAATCAGAATTAGTCGGACAGACTATCATAAGCTGCAAGGCTTGGTTGATCGGTAACGTCTTATATTATTATATGAAAGATATATTATTATTATTTTTAAAAGGGTAATTGGCTAGGCATTTTTTTATTTTCTTTTTCCAAATTTACTCTGGGTAAATTGGGTATAATATAATAATTTGGAAGTATTCAACAATAAATAGAATAATTTATTAAATTACAATATGAAATTTGATATAATCAAATTAATTGAATCTTTTAAATTCTGTTAATTTTCCTCATTGAATATAATATTTATGATTAAAATTCATTATTCAAAACGGAATAGAATTATTTTCTACTAAACAGTTTAAGGTTTATAGTTGAATTTAGATACTTAGCCATTATCCTAAATAGTTTTAGATCTAAGCAATTTATCAATTATTTTAATTGGGTTAATAATATTATCTCAAAGCCTACAATTCCTATTATTCCAATTCCCTTCTCTGACTTGATTAGATGCCATTTTCCATTTCCACTCCTAACCAGATCAAACAGTCAAAAAAACAGTAACAAATTTAAATCTAAATACACAAATCTCGTTGCACTTGTTTTATGGCCACCGCCACCGTTTGCATAAATTGACTCTGTCAATTAAATCTCGTTTGTGCAACTGTCAATTGTCTTGGACCCAATCTCAGTCTCTCAGTTGGCAAAAAGAGGTATTCGCCTGTTCAGCTGTTTTTTTTAGGATCGTTTATCGTTTGTTTGGCTTTTTAGGCTGCACCTGCTCTCCTCCTTCAGTTTTTTTCCCCACAAACTGGCCATTTAAACCAATGCCGTGCGGCAATCAGCGGAATTCTTTTCTCGACTGCACTTGGCTCGTACTCGTAATTGATTTAATCTACGCCGCCTGCCTGGTTTATTATTTCTATTAGCACTTTGTCTTTCTGTGTCAATATTATGTAAAAATGCCGGCCACCAATCGTCAGCATTTTCATTTGCGTTGCTTTAATTTGCTTTTGTTTACAAATTTTGAGTGAAAAAATTGCTGACAATTGATTGGATTCGGCGGAGTTACGAAGCAATGGGAACAAATTATTTCTTGATACTAAGAACCTACATATTAAAAAAAAAACGAATAATTATGCATACTAGAGAATCGGATGAATAAAAAGACAAAAGAAGCTAAGCGATAAAATGCTGTAATAGCGAATTAACTACCTAAAAAAATGGAATATATAGTATTATTATGTCTGGCTGCAGACAACACCCAAAAAAAATTGTCATATTGTTGTTACATGGAATTTAAACCATTGGGAGTGTAAAATTTCGCAATAGGATTATAACTATTAAGAAAAGGTATATATATATACCTCGAAGGTATAAAAATTAAACTTGTTTGGCTTTTCGGTATAGAAATGAAACTAAAAAGTATAGGGTATCATATAACATCTTTCCTTTTTAGTTTAATTTCATTTTGTATTGAACTGGTAATTAGACTTTAGTTTATTTTTTGTCCCTAAGCTAAAGCTTGTACAATTTATAGAAATATTTTAGTAATGGCTGGAATTAATAAATTTTTTATGTACACTTATTTCATCCCCTCATCCGAGCAACTAGTGGCTTTAAAGAGTTAAGTTTTTGTTGCTGCCATCTGATGTTTTGCGTTCTTCATTCCCCAATTAGGCGATTAATTTAAGAACGTCAGTTGCAGTTGAAGCAAGCAGCTTGCAACCCCAACATGCATTCTGCCACCCCTGAGATGAAGTTTCCCTCGTTTTTGCGGCATCTGGTGTTGCGCCTGCGCACACGACATGCCACCGGCAATTGCTGCCGCATTTGACATTTTTCTGCAGTATGCAAATTGCCTTTTGTCTGTGGCCAAACAAATGTCAGACGGTGGCACTTGTTGATGGAACAGTTGTTCATAAGTTGTGCCATGTGCTGCCGACTCTTCGCAAGGGGTCACGCATCGGCATCGGCATCGGCATGGCCAATTGTTTGCCATCCCCATCCAAAGCAGACTTTGCAGTGAAGTTCAAAGATAAAGCCAGTCCATGTGGGCTGTGAACTGTGTGGTTACCTCCTCCTCCTTTATTCCAGGGCCTACTTGCTGATTCCTCTCCACTCCAGAGTTTGGCAGCTGCGACGGCCCACGCGGGAAAAGCAGGAGAACCGGCGAAAAATATCAAACTGCGGTTTTTGATTTGCAATAAATAAGCGAGAAAACGTTTGGCTGCTTTTATACCCAGTAAAAGAAGATCGAACGGGTAAAATCGACTTGCGGAGTTGGACTTAAAACAAATGAAAAAACTAACTTTGTAGCAAAAGAAATATTTCGATATTTTAAAGCCTTTTACTTAAACTTCTGGTTGATAATTATAATAAATATTTATTTATTTTGATGACCGAAATTTTAGCTCAAGAAATTGTTTACTTAAACTACTGGCTGATAATTATAAATTTAATGAAAATATATTGTTAATATTTTTATTAGTTCATGTTCCATAATGTAAAGTTTATAAAAATTGAGCTAAACCTTTTAATTTTGTTTTTGTTGAGGCTTGAGTTTTTAAATGACATAACATAACATTGGATGACAAATTTAATTAAACGACACAACTAATTATTATTAAAAGAAAATGATCTTTACTGTTCTACACTTACTAGGTATCCTATGGTCGATTTAAATGCTTTTTGCACTCTTTCTTGTTTTTGTCAAGTGGGCATGAATGGCTGTGGATATGGAAATGGAAGTTGGAGTATAAGTCGAAGCCCAAGAGCCTGTAATCCACTTTGCCAACCGACCGGACGTGGTTCTCGTTGGCGGTTGTCGTTGTCGTAGTCGTTGTTTCCCACTCTTTAAATCCCCCGAACAGGAATCTAAAAGCCTTCCACTCGGTCTAGGTTTTGGCCAGGCGAGGAATCTTGGCAAGCAGAAAACATACTGGCCGTCTGCCATTTGTACTTATGCAATCGATAAAGTGTTATCTGCAAGTCGGAGTCAAGTCACCTGCTGGACACGATGATTTGTTGGCTGTCCTCCCAGGTTACAATTTTCTGTGTGGGCTGGGAACGACAGCGAAGAGGTTTTGGGGCTATCGATAGTAAAGATCCGTTGAATTAAAATGTTTTTTTTTGGAACCAAAACTCTTTATATTAACGGAATTATAAACATATGACAATATTCACTGATATAGCTGTTCAAAATAAATAGTTAAATATCTACAAACTAATTGAAATATTCTCATTATGTCTATTAAAAGTATTTATAAGTTTTTTGAGTCCATTAATGTATTTGTTTCTATTAATTCTGAAGTTTCTGAAGTAGTTTAAAATATTTAAATATGCATCCTGTAAGAAAATCGTTTCCTGCCGCCTGCAATGTTTTATGCTTTGCAACTTCTATGAGGTCGCTAAGTAAAGTTGATCTTATATAGAGTGTGGGTTGCAAAAAGGTACTTAGTTGTGGAAACATTTACATTTTTGTGCATTTATCAAGCTTAGACACGCACCTTGTTCTATGGACCGTGGAAATATAGTTAATTTCATGGGTATTAAACAAATTAATTGCGTGGATGCAGTTTCGCAATTCTTGGCTCGTAAATTATGGCCAAAATGAGAAAGATCCGAGTTGCGGTTGATTTATGCGGCCAGTTGTGTAGTTCAATGCACTCTCTTGCTGCAAAATTGAATGCAACAATGGAAAAAAATGAAAAAAAAAATAAATTTCTAAATTATGCGAGGCTAGCTACTACAAGGGATCGCCTCCCCATTCAACTATTTCCATTTTTTTTTCTACGCATGCGCGGCACAATTCTGGGCTGCTGTTAGTTTGCTGTTCATTGGACTTTTGCATTGCAGCTTGCAACGCCAAGTTGCGGTCTGCGCTAAATTGATTTGAATTTTCCGCCGCATTTTCCTCTCTCTCGCTGGTCGCAATTGAATGTTAGTGACTTGCCGGTTTGCCCCCTCAAAGCTTCCAAGTTTTCGCGGCCCATGTGGGCGTTTTATTTCTGCTAAATTGGCAAACCGCAGATCGTTCGGTTATACTCTATGTAGGTGTGTGGGCGATATACTCTATCTGCGTGTCTGCATCTGTCTGCGCGCTTGTGCTGGCACTTGTTTTCCTTTATGTAATTTCTTTGCAAATTATTTTCTTAATACCCAACTCGAGCCTAATTCAATTTGCGGTTTTCTCCTTAACCGAAACGTTCCCAGCGGAATGCGAATGCCCACAGAAGGCGCAATGATGATACCCGTAGTTGTGGCGGTTTAGCCGCAAATTCAAATTTGTAAGTACATAAGTAGAAAATTGGTTCTCAGAGGAATGTGGGAATCTAAGAAGGGAATTTGCTAAGTTCATAGCAATCAGATGAAGTAACAATGGCAAAGACTACCTTTAAATTTGCAGACTAACTTTTCAAGTAAATATAGTTACTAATAGTTAATAAAATAAAAAAAATGTAAAAGGCTTTAAAAAAGTTTTGGTTATAACACTGAAACGAATGCTTTTGAAACCAATTAGCTTGGCTTTTTTTCCATTCTTTCTGCATCACTTGAATACAACTTCCTTCTCCGAAATGATTGTCGTTTGGCTTATAGTGGGGTCTATACTTCTTATCAATCCTGCGGAGTTTAATTTTATTGAGCGTAAGTCTGATAGCACTGCTCCTAAGGCTCTTCTAAAAATTAAATCTTTTAGAATGCAATAATGGAGGATCCTGCGTTTTAGAGAAATGGAGGAACCACACTCATTGGAACCTTGTTTGCATGGAATGGATGGAATTGAAAAGTGGCGAAGTGGACACATGTCCTAAGCCCTGGAAATGCT